GGCAGTTCAGAAAGCGACGCTTGGCAGTCTGGAGTCTGGGCTGCCGGCCGCGGGCCCGCTCCGTCCTTCACTGCCGTGGTGTTTGAGCCCTGCGAGGAGGTCCCTTGACCGGAGCCGTGCAGCACAAAAGCCAGCTGCAAGACGACGCAGGCAAGTTGGCAGCTGGCAGAGCAGGAAGGCAAGTAAAAGCAAGGTTTGAAGCTAGTTTCTAGGCAGTTCAGAAAGCGACGTTTGGCCGTCTGGGCTGCCGGCCGCGGGCCCGCTCCGTCCTTCACTGCCATGGTGTTTGAGCCCTGCGAGGGGAGCCGTGCAGCACAAAAGCCAGCTGTCAGACAACGCAGGCAAGTTGGCAGTTGGCAGAGCAGGAAGGCAAGTAAAAGCAAGGTTTGAAGCTAGTTTCTAGTCTGGGCTGCCGCCGCCCGCTCTGTCCTTCACTGCCATGGTGTTTGAGCCCTGCGAGGAGGTCCCTTGACCGGAGCTGTGCAGCACAAAAGCCAGCTGCAAGACAACACAGGCAAGTTGGCAGTTGGCAGTTGGCAGTTGTTGTTAGTGTAGCGGTGTCGTCGCGTACCAGCTTTCCCGGCGGCATGTTCGTCCAGCAGTGTTTCTGTGCGTCGCTTTGATTTGGCCCCTTTCCTGTTCTGAGTGAACAATTGTTCCGCAGGTTGGGCATGCGTGCTTGTGCATGCGGCCGGTGACATTGCCGCCAGCGACACGGAACTTTTTTCCGCACGCATACCTATGATCAATTTGTCCAGTTTCGATAGTGCTGTTCACATGTTGCTGGCAGAATGGACATTGGTACCCGCGCATCTGTTTGCCGCTCTTCGTTGTCACATCCGGCTCTGGCGGGCACGGTTCGTTCTGGCTGGCGGCGTCTGCAGTGGCAGCCTCAGGACTCACGGAACCCGTTGCGCAATCTGGCAGTCGCTCTTTGCAGCTTTGCATTTCTGGGGTGAGTGCACTCGTGGTTTTCTGCTTGGTCCTTGCCAGAATTTCTTGACGCACTTCGTCTATGATGGCTTGTTGCCGTCGGCTTTTCTCGCGCCGCCGCAAGGGTGTCAACCGTTGGTTCGCGCGACGCGCAATTTGACACACCAAGGCTAAGCTGATGCACGTGTTGCAAAGTTGCGTGCCATCTTGATTGTAATCGCGGCTTTTTTGCCAAGCACTAAACTCTGCATGTGGTTTTCGCTCTGAGCATTCGGCGCAGGACCAATACCCCCGCAGCTTCAGGACGCAGTCGCGGCAACAGCGTCGGTCAGCATGGCGAGCTTTCCAGGCGGCAGGGCCATAGTCCTTCTCTGGCTTGGGAACCCCACATTTGAAACATGGTTTCTTGACTTCGCATGTCAAACACACACGGAAAAAACTACATTGCCGTTGGCGATGCTTTTCCGGAAAATTGGCCTCGACATGCCACAGCTTGCACACGTTGCATTGCCACGGGGTTTCAGCATCTGCATAATGTCTTGTGCATTCGCGACACACCCGGTCCGTGTCGCTGCGCTTCCAGTGGCCAGGTGTGAACGCTGTGCTTTGTTTTCGTTCCGCGCAAGTTGAACACATGTATTCATGGTGTATTCATGGTGTATTCATGGTGTATTGCCAGATTCTGTGCTACTTCGGTGTGGGTCGAACATTTGTTTGGCACAAGCGTGAGGCACACACAAGCCTGGCGCATGTTTGGGGCAAACCTTTTGACTCGACCATGTTGAAATTCTATCAGGATGCATCCATCTACCATTCGTCTTGAAGCCCATGCAGTGTTGTCTTATGGTTTCAAAACCGTGATGAATCAATGCCCTCAGAGGTTTTTGGAAACGCTCAAAGATCAGACATGAAGCCTTAAAGTCTCGAGAAAGTCACCCAACCACAAACTTCAGAATGCACCTGTTTACACATGTATATGGCAAGGTTTATTGGACACTCCCCGAAAGGATCCAATTTATAGCAGATCAGTATACTTTTGCTGAATTTATGCTCGACTCAACATAATCATACATTATATTATCAGTTATATTGTTGTTTCCATATTTAATAGTTTAAACATCGACAACATTGATTGACTTAAAGTCCACAACATCCCGCACTTGAAGCAGCTTTGTCTTCGTCCAAAATTGCCTTCACACTTCAGATCGCATCACTGCAGAGGCTTTATCGGAGTTTCTGCCCATTATGGTTTTGCACATATTTTGAGTCTACTAGTATATACCATAGTAATATGGTCATATGATGCTGTAGCATTATATACCTCCACTCTGGTAACTCACGATAGATACTTGCTTTTCATCACGTTTCCTCATCTCCTTCTCCGTCACTGCAATGATGATAATGATGGAAGTTGGTCGCTGGGGTAGCTATCCCAATAGTCCAGGGGTCGGCGGCAGAGGGCGTAGCCCTTTAATAATTAGAAAAGGGGTGGTCCATTCGTAAATTATAGGCCTGTAGCCATTTCGGGTGGGTTCACAGGTGTCTTCGATCCTAGCGTCGACAGCCACAAATCAAGTGCCGGTTATCCAAGGACACGGTGAAGCTCAGCAAGTCACCTGAGTTGTCCCCAGCAATTTGGCCCTGTTGATAAGACTTATGATCTCAATGAGGGTGCCGACCTGCCTCACTGAGAACCGCAGATTCATGATCCAAAGTTGATATCTGGTGATATTTGGTTCCCTAAACCACGTCCCCATACTTTGTGAGAGGACAAAGGCTCAAGTTATCAACAAAAACCGCCCTTGGGACCAGGAGACATTGCGGCACCATGACGGCATTCTGCGCTGCTGGAGAAAAATGAAGACCTGCCAGCATCACCGAGGGACATCACAAGTTTCGATTTGGAGACGCCCTCCTGTCATCAAACAGTAACATGGCAAGCTGGAAACTTCCCCATTTAGTTCGATGATTTTCTCATTCAGATGTCTATGAAATTTGGGGATTTCCCAGCTAGCCATGTTTGATGACACCAGAGAGCTGGCGGATTTTCATGCGTGTTCTATCGCTGTGTTTGTCGAGGACAGATGGTGCACCCAATGGCTTGACCGGTGAATCCTGGGACGCAGGGGCCTGGCAACAAAGCTTCCGCCGACCCAATCTTTGGGTATCTCATGGATGGGTTTCAAACCATCCGAACAATATCAAAGTCAAGAAGAGATAATCAATCCATTCCGTTCTTCAGGATTTTAAAAATAAGCAGAGTCAATTCAGGAACCTGAAATAGCATATAGATGTATATGGCCGTTTTTTGGGCTGCTTCCCCCCATACAAAGACCGTCATTTGGGTTTGTCTGATAATAGGGTACCCTGGAAAAAAACATGTGTCATCCTCATCATCCTCATCATCCTCATCATCCTCATCATCCTCATGTTCATCATCCTCATCCTCATCATCATCATCATCATCATGATCATCATCATCACCATCATCATCATCATCCTCCTCATCCTCATCATCATCATCATCATCCTCCTCCTCCTCATCATCATCATCATCATCAAAATGACCACGAGAATTGGGGGGGTATCCCTCATGATCACACACACCCAGGAACTCGGCACCTGGTCTGGCACGCTGAGACCAAGGTAGGTGCCACAACTGGACGCTGGAATCGGCGACGTTGCTCGGGTCCTTGGGAAAACCATTGGGAGGACAGACTTTCCACCGGAGAAATGCTGCTCTGGATGTCCCAATCTTTCCTGGTTCATTTTGTAAAGTCGCTCTGAACTGCTCCAATTCTGAAGATGTGCAGATCACAGCATCATGAGGACCAGGTCGCAAGGCCACCATCACCAAAAATCCCAATCAGTAAGGGCTTCTTGGATTGGTTGAACCAATTTGTCACGATTTCCCTTTTGTGGGGTAGTATCTCTCTTTCCACCGACCAAGCTACATTCGATGGGCGGGTGCCTAGCCATGGATGCGGGCTACCGGAAGGCCGGTGGGGAGAATGCAGTCAGGCAGAGAGAACGGGAAAATCATGCAAAATTGTTTTGTAGAGGTACAACATTGACTGCCTGCAAAAGTATATATGCAAATAGACTTTATCTCTTGTCTCCCAAAAAAAATGGGGCCACGGCCGACTGTCGAGACTCGCAACGCGTGTCGCAACGCGTGTCGCAACGCGTGTCAATTGCCAGTCAATAAGAGGTAACCACTCTTTATCTTAATTATCCTAGATATGGGTTTCTCATGGTTTCTCTATGGGTTTCTCCACATCGCCAGTCTTTGATCGGGATATGTCACCCACATGGCTCCACGCTCCATTCCGACCTGTGAGCAAATGCTCCTCACCCACCACCATCATGCAACAAAAGAATCCCTCCAAATTCCTCGGAAGCTCTGGCAGAGGCTCTGCGCAATGGACCACTCTCCCAACTCAAAATGTAAAACTAGACATAAGGTTCACAATTGAGTCGTGAAAAGCCTGATGCTTCATGCTGGAATGGACCACCTACTCAGTTTAAGATCCTTTAATCATGACCCGAAGCCAGGTTGCACCAAGATGGCTGTCTGAAATATACTGTACCAGGCATGATAGCCAAGAATAGCCAAGAACTGTGTGTGGAGAAAGCCAAAGAAAAATGCTGCCAAACAAGCAATGCTTCAACAACAACAACAACAACAACAACACCAACACAGATGAACTCCGGCAGTTAATCCTCTCCGAGGTTCAATGTGAAGATGGGGACTTTGTTATCAGGTTCCACCAGCCACAGCTTGAGTCGACCTGACGTTGAGGTATCCAGATTTGCTGTGAGCCTGGGCCAAGCTGGAAAGGTTCGGGTGGTTGCTGTGAGCCCTGAAAAAAATGGAAAATTGGGCTGGGTATCACAGAATCTGAAGCTCACCAGGTCACCAGGATCTTTGGTCATCTTTAAAGTTCCCAAGTCGCTGTGTTCTATGAGAATCACTGGAGATCTCAAGTTCGACTTCTGGGGGATTCAAGAAACCAGGATCGAAAAGGTGACACCAATGACCAACAAATGGCTGGTTGATTCTTTGATCAGAAACCAACCAACTTTGGGAGCCAAGTGGAGCCAAAGGACAGGTACTGCCCGTTGGGTGAGAGCATCAAATCTCCTGGGTGAGCAACCCCCTCTTGGGGGTCCATGTTTGGGTGCTGCAACGCCCCTCCTGTCTCAGGTTTTTCGGACCTCAGGGCCTTACTGTAGTTTCCCATTGAGTCCGGTGAGGAGGCTTTTGATCAATACCCATCTTACCATCTATGAAATTTGAATGGATTTGGCTCGTTGTATCCGCCGTTTTCAGACAGACATTGGCGAGATCTTCTAAGTCTACCTCCCAAGTTCCTGAGTCTTCTATCCATCCTATCCAATTGCTTTAAAATGGGGATTTAAAAAAATTGTGGTACCCCGAAATCGCGTGCTTAATCCCCATCTGGTTTTGTCTGAAAATAGTAGTACCAGTAGTACCCCAAATTCGATGGTTCATCTTGATGTTCACCACTGAAATCCGCCAAAAATATGGTATACCCACCGTCTACACCGGGAACCTTATGTTCCATTACAACAAATAACAATATTGCCATTTTATATGGGTCCGTCTGAAAATTCTTGGCTATTCTATTTTCAGACTAAGACATATGGGGGTTTCCATAAATGGGGGTACCCCCACATGGATGATTTATTACGGGAAAATCCAATGTTTCAATGGATGATTTGGGGGGTACTCCTATTTCAGGAACCCCAAAATGGATCTCCGGCTCCCATGAATCTCCACGTCGCAAGTTGCGGTTGCCATTGGGACTGTCCGCGAAGCCGTAGCTAATGGCATGGCCGCGCAGGTCCAAGGGCCATGCGTAGACCTGCTGCATCTGCGACTCGCAACCTGGCAACAGGTGCAGGGAGTGGTCTGGGAAGATGATTTCAGCAACAAGAATGCAGGGATATATATATATATATTTATATTTATTTATTTATTTATTTATATATTTATTTATTTATATATTTATTTATTTATTTATTATTTATTATTTATTATGTATCATTACTATTTTTTACTATTGTATCATTACTATTTTTTATTATTACATTATTACTATTGTATATTATTACTATTATATATATATGATTATTATCATGATTATTACTATTATCATTACTATTATTATTATCATTAGTAGTAGTAGTAGTATTGTTATTGTTATTGTTACTATATCATTATTATTACTATTTTTGTTACTATTATTACTACTATTATAATTATTATTACTATTATTATTATTAGTACTATTAGTATTATCATTAGTAGCAGTAGTATTGTTATTGTTACAATATTATTATTAGTATTAGTAGTAGTAGTATTATTATTATTAATATGATTGTTGTTGTGATATTATTTTTATTAATATTATTCGTATGATATTATTATTATTACTATTATTATTATCCAACCATATGATTTGAGTTGGCTCCGTCTTGAAATGGTGTAACCCCAAAATCCACGGGTGAATCCTCATTTACCCTGTTGAAAAATGCATGATTTGGGATCATACAGCACACCATGTTCAGATGTTTACCGATGTGTGGCAATTTGAGAACTCAACGAGAAACATGATTCCATAAATCGACAGAAATGGATACAAACAAGCACCTACATTGGCACCAATGGATACACAGATAGTCAGAGAGTGATCAAATGTCCCATTTCAATATGGTCAACCAGAGGGGGTACATCTCGAAGAACCATTTGGAGATGTTCAAAGTCCCGCTTAAAATGTTGCATTTGCCAACCAACAAACTACTGGACATTGGGAACCGCAGATTGACTGGTCAATTCTCGGTCTGAAAATGTCTGAAACATAATTTTGACCCTGAAGCTTAAGCAGCTTGAAGCTAGGACGACAGAAGGGAAAAAGGCATAGTCTCAGGTGAGGCAAACAGTCAAAGCGACAAACTCAGACAACAGGACAAACAGAACAGACAACAGTGGGACATACTTCTTGAAAGACAACCAAAGTTGGACTGCAAGTGCCTGAAAATGCTTGGCTATTTTCACTATGGCGTGCCTTTCCTTGTAGGGAGCACCAACCTGAGTGTCACAGTACCAACGGAGCCTCTGCTCATCAGAAGAAATCCTGAATCTGCTGACATCGCCGCAATCCCTCCACCTCAGCGATAGGAAAAGCTGCGGCTGGGCCCTACTGATTGTGAAAATACCAGGGTGTGAATGAAAGGAAAAGATGGCAATATGATTATATTACTAGCATGTTTAACATGTTTATCCAAAAATTGTTGCCTTGAAAATAATATCATGATAGTTTAGTGCGGTACCATTTTGCAAATACAACTGGCTACAGAATGGCAAAGTTTCTGAAAAATCTATCGCTAAAAACATACCGTCATATGTGCCGGCCGCCTCAAACATGGTCTTTGTGGCTTATGTTTATCCATGACATAGTAGAAATCCTTATAAATGCCTACCATATGGTGTATACATACATATAATTATATATAATCATTATATATATATGTAATAGTATATATATTATACATATATATATATAATCATAATATACATATATACAGTATATGTATATATATATATATAATCATAATATACATATATACGGTATATGTAAATGTATATATATATATGTGTGTGATACATGGGTATTCAGGTATATCAATGGTATATAAATCCCGGATGGATCTCATCCGCCTTCCAAGGTCATCGAGGCTGCCAGGAAATCGCCCTGGAAAAGGCTGGTGCTCAGCCAGAGCTTGGCATGGCCCTCTCCATCTCCTCTGAAGGATTTTTGTTCGGGCAAGGCGGCAAGGCATGGGAGATTCCAGCAACAAACATGGGAATGTTCATCCACCTTCGGATTGTTTTTTGCCCCAAAAATAGATCAGGTAGTCAGTGAATCTTTGGGGCTATCATAAGGTACTGGTAGGGAATATGTCATGGTTCGAAATTGTCAACCACTATGTGATATTTTTCATGTCATCTATTGTTTACCGAGATGTGTGATCTTGTTAGCAATATGTTTTATTGTCAACAAGCTTGTGAAGGCTCACTGGCATGATTGAAACAATGCCTACCTATGCACTGTACATACAGACCTTTCCAATCATAAAGGATCTGCTCAAAGCACTGTTTTGCAAGCGCCCTGTTGGCGAAGGAAGCCTTCTCACGCACCTTCTTCGTCACACGATTTTGGTGGGGGATCGCATATATTGGTTGACCTCGCACAAAACCAACCGTTTTCGATACCTCTTCGAGTCTCTAGTATCCAAGGGCAGCGATACCCGATACACCAAGCGTCCACCCACCAGCCAGTTGCCATTCGGAGAGAATTGGATAAGTCTCACTGGCCAACCTGAAGTCCTGCACCAGCTTGAAAAAACATCGCCATCTTGATCTGAGTCACATTAAAATTACTTTACTTCGCGTGATCCCCACCATGACATTTATACATGTTCTTACTGGCAAATCTTCTGGCATTCTATCTGACATATCTTCTGGCATTCTATCTGGCATATCTTCTGGCATATGTTCTGGCATATCTTCTGGCATTCTATCTGGCAAATCTTCTGGCATTCTATCTGGCATTCTATCTGACATTCTATCTGACATATCTTCTGACATTCTTTCTGGCATATCTTCTGACATTCTGTCTGGCATATCTTCTGACATTCTGTCTGGCATATCTTCTGACATTCTATCTGACATCTTTTCTGACATTCTTCCCGTTGAGGTCCGGCAGTGCCCACTGCGATCTGGAAGTCGCGGTTGAGGTCCGGCAGTGCCGCAGTGCCCACTGGGATCTGGAGCTCGCGGTGGAGGTCCGGCTGTGCCCACTGGGATCTGGACTGCGAGGAGGAGGCGGCGGGTGAGGAGGCGGAGGAGGCGGAGGAGGAGAAGAGCTCTGTTAAAATCTAGCAACCCTCACCTGGCAGGTGGGGAAAAAACTTATGCAGATGGAGGTTTCCTACCATGGCGGACCCCAAAATCATCCAAGATCAGATCATTATAAGTATTGAAACATATTGAAACCCATGGTGACGTGGGGGATTCCCCATTTTAAGAAACCCCCATATTTACCCCCCAGCTTTTTGGGGTACCTGTACTTTGACCCAAAGCCACATGAGCCATGATCCAACCACCTACTTGCTGATGGGATCTGATGGGAGAACGGAGTTCTGACCATCCCCTTTGGGGGTCGCTTGGGGCCATCGGCTTCGTCTGAAAATCATCATAGTCCTGAGTTAGTCCTGCCAGAAATTCTGGCATGACCTCAATTTGGGATTGGTTGTATTGGTTGTATCCCTAGTTGTGATGGATTAGATCCCCATCTTACCTCAGTGTCCCTCTCAAACTTGGCCAACATCCCCATATCTCCTCATATATCCCCCATGTCTGCTGGTTTAGAAGTTTAGACCCCCATTTTTGATGCTCAAAATACCTTTTTTTTCATTTCCTAACAGCGCCCAAGTATTGGAACAAATCTTATCTCCAGATATCTCCAGGATATTCTCCAAGTATATTGCCCCCATTTCAGGTCTTCAAAATCTCCCAACGAGACATTTGGAATCGGCCAGGCCTTGTGGCATAAGGCACATCTGAGGATTCTCCATGTCGCCAAGATGAGATGATTCCAGCCCTGCCACGGTCGCTCCGGACACATAGCAAGAGTGGTTTGAATCTATCATACCTATCTGCTATATATTGCTATATGATATTGGGATATATATATATAATGATATATATATAGTGATATATATATAGTGATATATATATAGTGATATATATAATGATATAATGATATATATAATGATATATATGTAATGATATATATAATGATATATATAATGATATATATAATGATATATATATAATGATATATATATAATGATATATATATAATGATATATATATAATGATATTTATATAATGATATATATATATAATGATATATATAATGATATATATAATGATATATATAATGATATATATAATGATATATATAATGATATATATAATGATATATATAATGATATATATAATGATATATATAATGATATATATATAATGATATATATATACAATTATATATATAATGATAAATATATATAATGATATCTATATATATAATGATATATATATAATGATAGATATATAATGATATATATATATAATGATATATATATATATAATGATATATATATAATGATATATATATACATAATGATATATATGTATATATTATGATATGTATATATAATGATATGTATATATATAATTATATATAGTTGGGATATAAATGGGTTTGGGATATGATTGGGTTTGGCTGAATTAGAATAAGAACTGTGAACATGTGTTTATAGATGCATGCTGATAAGGTTACTATAGACTGGTGTCAATCATGTGTATGTATGCATACATGAAGAAAACAGTAGTGGCCTGTAGCAACCACCTATTGCAACTCCTCAGTATGCTTTCTCCAATTCGGATTTGCTCATGAATGTGTTGTTTTTTTGCAATCTCTGCCCGTACAGCGGTTCAATCTGCACCAGTGCCTCATGGCCAATGCTGGCACACAGCCTACGGATCCTTGGCGCTGGTCCTCTTTGCCAAATATTTCTGCTGGTCCTCCGGAACTGGATGAGGCTGGTAGTACCATGCGATATGTGTGTTTTTCCAGTCCTCGATCCAGTTCATTCCTGCACTCGCTTTGCCCGTCTTGTCAGGGTGCAGCCTCGGCAAGACCTTCCTCAGCAAACTTTTCCGGGCATCAACGGGGTCGTTCCGCCTCACCGCATCAAATAGTTCCTCCTCCACTTCCAAACAGACTTTTGCCAGAGCCCCATCCGTTGGTTTGGGTGGGACCTGGAAGCCACAGAAAGCTGGTTTTGTCTTGGAAGGAGCTTGATGTATATGCCCCGCCGCCCCCAAATCGTCTGGTTTGGAACCAACCTCATTCCGTTCATGCAGCTCATGTTGTGCAACTGCGGCTTGAGCTTGAGGTTGCTGCACGTCTCCCCTTACAGCAGTGGGTGGGGGCTCAGAAGTGCTATTCTCAGAGATTGTGTGCAAAGATCCGCTGAGAGAATCCACTTGGCTTTTCAGATCTTTCACCTGCTGTGTTTGTTGAATCTCCTGGGCTGCAGAATCGACCTCAAGGTCGTTGATGAGACGCTGCAGTCTCACCAAAGACTTCGAGTGTGAAGCCAGGTCCTCCTTGTGAGAAACCATGACACTCTCCATCTTCTCGAGTCTGGCGTCTGTGTTCCTCATCCTTTGCTGCAAGCAGTCCATGTCAATCTCCAAGTACTGTTGCTTCTGGGACAGGCTGCAATCTGCGAGACGCTGCTCAATCAGCTGCGAGATTCTGTCACAGTCTGCTTCCTGTTCATTTTCTGCCTGACAGGCTCCCGACACTCTTGTCCTCTCGGCGTCCTTCATCCTGTCCTCCACATCGCCAATTTTGTCCTCCAGGCTGATCAAGATCCGACAAAAACGATTGACGGACCTCTGTGCCTCCTGCTGACGGGTAGTTTGCGACTCCAGCTTCTGCTCGAGACACTGGATGGCAGACTGCATCTTCTCAAACATGTCACAGACCCACCTGTGTTTGGGCACATCTTCAGTCGTCCAGCCCCACCCGGAGGACACGCTCACAGAATTTTCACTTCCGTGAGCTGTCGCAATGTCCTGAGATTCTTGATAGTAGGACCTCTTCTGAAGTGGCTTTTTCTCTAGAAAGCTGGAAACTACTCCATCATCTTGGGTCGTGCTAACACCATCCCAGTAGAACTCACGATCGGCGCTATTTGGACCTTTCTCCCACTGGACCCAAGACTTGACTTCTCCCTCCGTGGAGATGAGGATGTATTTGTACTGTATTTTCCTGTAGGGTCTCAACTCCAGCCAGATCGACCACGTCTGCCCCTGGCAACACATTGGTTTGGCATGTGCTTCATCCCATTCTCCCAAATCTTCCACAGCTCCCACCAAATACAAGCGCTCATTCGATCCTACGTTATACACCGTGGCCTGGAAAGTCACCCCTGGTGTGGAAGCTGCAAGTGGTTGAGTGTCTTTGGCAGCAACTTCGGCAACCCGATTAAACCTGTTCGGTGGTTGCGGCTGCCCCCGCGGCACTGCGCACACAGGGCCGTGCTGCATGCGGTATGCTACTCTGACGGCTGTACAAATCAGGCTCCTGAATGGCGTTCGGTCTTGAGCCAACTGGGTTCATCACCGCCGATGCACACGGCTCGAAAAGGCGGCATGAATGGGAAAAAAAAGGATGCTGAACTCACACCATTGGGCACTCATGATTCTGAGTCATTCCTGACAATTAGATATATTTGTGACATTTGTGCAGTGGTCCCCAAGTGGACCTGAAGTTCCAGAGATGCCTCCCTCATGTTCTTCCGAAGTTTTCTAATCCAGCAGCTTCTAGCCGAGTGGCTCTGTACCCGTCAGCAGATAAGAGGATTGGGGGGCGAATTGAATGGACAGGATGCCTCGGTGTCGACAAGCCAGCTGACCATGAGACGAAGCAACGCTACAAAAAGCAGCGCTATTTAAAAGGGGGGAGGTGGTTGGGTGAATAAAAACTTGGGTACTACCAAACTAATTTCACATGTTGTGCCTGCATTGCGGATTAGATTTTGACCCGCAGTCAGTTGGCAACCAGAGTCATATTCTCCTTGCAGTGAGGCATGTCACTCGCCCGACCTCGCCCTGTACCCTGTCGAGCTACGTGAGATAAAAGCGTAGGAGCGAGTCAGATCTGAGGGCATCCTGCCGGATCTAAGTCTGTGGCCACCTAACTACTTAATGCAGTAACTTACTACTGGTAACTATAGACTATATAGACTGTATATAGACTGTATATAGACTGTATATAGACTGTATATAGACTGTATATAGACTGTATATAGACTGTATATATAGTAACTCTCCAATATTGGGGTGTCCAATTTTTTCCCAAACCCGATTACGACTTGAGGCCCGGTGGCGACATGCCGACATTGTCCCCGGGGTGGGGATTGAGCCCGGCCAAACTGCTTGTGAACCAGCCAGCCGGGGGGTAGTTTTCTGTATGAATTTTCATGCGATCGGAGCTTCCAGCCCCCCAATACCTTGCTAAAGCAAGAGAGACTTCAGTTAGCAGAAGCTAGCTTTCCTGAAAAGATTGAGTCTCTAGCAAGAATTGGTTACTGGATGTTACTGGCTTTGATTCAATGTAGTCTCCCAGCTACTTTCATGGACTTACTCACCAAGTAAGCACGGTTTTCAAGGACTGGTTGAAAGTGGGATGAGAATCCCATACCAAAAGATCCAGAAAGCCCTTTTTGTGCATGGTCTTTCACCCCATTTTATCAGCTTCAGCTGGGTAATCATCCAACATCGCTCCCAAATCCGCATTCGGAAACAGTCTCCACACCATCTCTGTGCCTGTCAAAGTATGTGTTCCACACCAGTACTCCTCATCGCGACGCTCGAGATGCGAGAGCGAGTGAGGCAGGAACTCTCTGAAAATGGAGGATACATGGAGATATCCCCAAAAAATGGTACCAATTTTCCAGACTATTTACCAAAGATATTCCAGATATTCCCAAGTATAGGTCAAGTGTTTGGATAAACCCTACTGCGCTTGCGCCAAGCTCGACCCAGGCACTGCCAGTCAGAGTCAAGGGCTCCCAGACCCCCACAGATAGAAAACGTTCGCCCACGCATAAGGACAAGGCCGTGATCTCGTACTCCAGTTCTGAGCAAGACATGCGTGTGTCTAAAAACGGGGTCGTAAAATATAATTTGAATAGGAAAATATTGCATAGACCACTGGATGTTTTATTTGTTTCCCTGTGAATGTTTAGACAAACTCACATGGTTTGCACATGTTTGCACTATTTGGAGGCTGATGGCTGATCAGTGCTTGGAACCCAAACTGCCAATGGAACTGACTAAATAAAAACTGGCAGAATGATCCTCAGTTCGCGGGCAGTTGTCGACACATTGGATGTTACGGATTCACCTAAAGGTTGTAATCATGTGTGATAATCCCCTTCAACCTGGCAGTATCGAGATCTACTCCACACATGACTGCATGAGCATCTAGTTCTTTTGGGCTTTTGATCTACAAAATCACCGCTAATTTAATTATGCTCAGTGAGGCTACCTGGAGTTTTCTTGTCACCTAAGGGTCAAAATCGGCTACACCTAAGACTGGATGCTTCCTGAAAATGACCAACACGTGCCCTCGCCTGGAAGAGCATACGAGATGGAATAGGTCCAGCGCAAAAGGTGCACCTGTCGTTCCTGTCAGCGGCTCTGCTGGAAAATCCCCCACAGTTCGATGATTTTCCCAGCGAACTAAACCTCCATTTGCCGAAAAATTCTCCCAGGTCCCGGTAAGTACACATTTTTGTCTCTCTGAAAAATCTGAAAATTGGGTATCGCAAAATGTAGCCAGTATTTATGGAAAATGATTTTAAAAAATCATCAAATTTAGGTACTGGATCATCCTGCCAGGATCCAAAAAATTCTCCGCCTCTGAGATGCCGGGCGAGTACCACATGCTGATGTTGCCATCTTCGGTTCCTGGCCGGGGTCCCAAGCCTGAAAGAAGATTGAAAATACAGCCAGAAATTCAGGTGCGTTCCCATAACTTGGGATGGGTTAAATATATGTTTTACACATGACTTGAGATGATTTCCGTTACCAAAAATCATCTGGCGAGGTCGGTCAGGTCGCTACAAGCTCTCCAGAAACATAGAAACATGACCAAATCTGGTTGATGGTCATACCACCACCCTACAGCAACGTGATCTATTGCACTCCTCAGACATCGGAGAAAGACATTCTTTGGATTTCGGTAGACAACGGATATGTGATATGAATCAGAAATTCTGTGGGTGGCATATCATAAGATCTACAAGCTTGGTCAAACATCAAGTCTTCTGATTTGGGGGTTACCATGGGTTACCTAATTCTAACCCATACTCACACGCTGTCAGATTCAAGTCGTTATTGCCAGGTCACCGGTGAAGATCCAGTCATACTCCACGTCCATGGCCACAACGTTGCTGGAATGCGGCAGCGACCCCAACACGTTGAACCTGGGGCATTTAAGATCCAGCCAGTCCCCCTGTCCGGGCTCCCGTCTGGGCCCCCTCCGGGCCCCAGTTCAGATCGCTTCCCCAAGTTCAAACCATCGATGGTGAGTTTTGCCCATGAGGTTGCAAAAAGATCCAGATCTGGGCTTCCCACGCGTCGGAGTTCCACAGGGTGACCTGAGTGTCCAGCCGAACACCCAAACTCATGGAGGATCAGAATGATCACCCGGGCTTGGAGCAAACGTAAGGCACTGGAACCGACAAAATTCTGGCGGTTTTGAGTAATGGTCAGTAAAGCAATGTCATAAACCACCCATAGCCCATAGATGGTTTATACCGCCCATGTATGGTAAAATTGATGGTGGTGGATCCTATTGTTTTTCCAACACTACTATCTTATCCATCTGTTTCAGCCCAAGAGACGTTGCCCCCGGCCACGACCACCAAAACACCATCATCTAGGGCCTGAAGCAAGGGTCATCCCACTTCGACCTGGTAATTTAACAGTTTGCTGCGGAAAATCAATGAAAATCACAATTTTTATTGGTAAAGCATGGTAAAGCATCTACAAATGGGATCAAATGGGATCAAATGGGATCAAATGGGATCAAATGGGATCAAATGGGATCAAATGGGATCAAATGGGATCAAATGGGATCAAATGGGATCAAATGGGCCATTTTTCATCATGTCATAGCTTTGCGAAATGACCGAAAGTTCATTATGGAAACTCAAGAAATCTTCGAAACCAGCAACCAGTGAACCAGTGAGCTCATGTGAAATCAGTGAAGTCAAATCAGCCAAAACCCACGGCAGCTTCCGCTTTTCCTCTGCGTCCCCACCTGAAGTTGCCTCACCTCTGCCGTGAAATTCAAGCGATGCAAGGGTCTCTCCTGAACTGCCAGAAATTGTTTCTCTGGCACTCAAAATGGATCTTAGTTCTTAGAGATATGGCAGTGTGTCAAAACCCTTGTAGCCCTGGTGAACATCAAAATAGCTGGTAAATGGATGTTCATCCCACTAAAAATGGTATCTATAGGTATTGATCCATACCCAATATGTATCAATTATATTCAATTATCAAAGGCCAGCATCTGACTCAATGTGTCTGTTTGAAAAAACCGACAGATTTGGTCTCATTTTTTCAAATACTGGACATGATTCAAGAAACATATTCACGACCTAATCTCCGCAGGTCCCTCAACACAAATCATCAAAGACGCATCAGTCTTGTGACAAGGTCCCTTGTATAGAATATCGATCATATAGAATATATCCCCCACATGGGCCCCAAAAAGTGCACAGATCCAATCTTGAAACCAGAACTACTACGGGGGTATCCAATGTTCGGGGGAAGGGATTCTCTTGAAACCCCAAGATCCCCAAGTTGTCCCCAGACGACACCCCAGCCTCTTCGTCGCATCCGGCTTCCAACGAGCTCACTGTACAGTTGGGCATGCGCCAAATGGACGCCTGAGTGCCACCGCCCGTGGCCAGCCATTCTCCATCTGCTGCGACCTCGTACGAAAAGCGCGGCGCTGCCCGATCGATGTGGGGATGGTGTTTTTGGGGGGCCCTGGTGTAGCTTAGGTATAGCAGATACACCCCAATTAAATCAACTATTCGCCAACTGGGATGCACACATCCAAGTACGGCTCAAAAACACAAATGCGGAATCTGCATCAATGAACCCACAAAAGTGTGCCATTCTCGCGATTCAAAACACTCCAATTCAACCCGCGAGAAAGACAAGTCATCTCCCTTTTTTCTAGCACGACTTGTCTTTTCCATTCTTTGCCATCTTTTTTCAGGGGCTGCTATCCTATGCTATACCATCCCCTTACCAAAAACATCCAAAAACCACACATCAAACTTGCCCAAACGCCCCATGGTTAGTTTTCTCCAGGCTGCGGTGATCAGCGTTTCGCACACCGTTTTTAAGTCGTGGTCCAATGAGCTGATCGCTGTCACAGGCCCTTCGGGCACCACCCAGCGGATGACTGGGCTGGTGATCCACCCTCAGACTGAGCGCAGAGTCCGGGCTTGGTATGGCTTGGTTGGGGATGGCTGGTGGTAGGCCCAGGAAATCACCAGTGTTTATAGGTTTTTTTTATGGCTTTTCTGGCAAACTTAACCAAGAAAAAACCAAGGCAACCAAGGCAGAAAACATCCTGGAATTTTCAAAGGGTATTTCTAAGGAAAGATGGGATGGGATGGGTTTCGTGCTAGACCCTGGCTTCTTCTTTGAGCTTCCAATGCCTCTTCCAATATCCAATGGAGCAAAGAAACTCAGGACATCACCTATATGTGCAAAGGTTGCGATACACGCGCAGCATCTAAAGATGGATCGAGAAGAAATGAAGTGTTCATCTCTCTTCTTATGTTTTCATGAAAACAACCTGGAAAGCCTCTATCAATGAGTATTTTTGGGGAGTTCTCTGAAAATCGAGTTCCCGAAAATGTCATGCATGTAAACCTCTCAAAACATCAACTGGTGTCAAACCCAATTTGTTCTGTCCACTCCCCAGAATTTCGTACAGATTTCAGCTGCAATCGAGTGACGAAGGTTAGCACATGCAACATTCAGCAGTGCACCAAGCAGTGCGAGCAAAATCAAAGGCATCGGCCGATACAATCCCTCCTGTGACACTGTGAAGCCAAATGGGAGGTTCCATACATGGAAAATCCTATTAAAATCCTATTAAAATGGATGATGCTACGGGGTACCCCTATTTTAGGGTTTCCTCCAAATAACTGCGCTGGCTGGCGAAATCCTCAGGGGTTTGGCTCCCGCGTTGCTGGTTGGCTATGAGATGCTTCAGGTTCCTATCTTTGGAACGAAAGAATTGGAGAGGTCCAAGACATCGCAACCCCCTCCAAAAAAAAACTGCTGTCTTGTTTTCCCATCTTTGAACACCCATTGAGCAATATGCTTTCTGACAGAAACAATTCTTGTCGAGGCAACAGTGTTTTTTGTCGAGGATTGGACCATATTTCTGCTTTCTGATTTTGTTTGCAGATTGGATAAATCGCCCCGCTGGCCAAAATTAAAGCCCTCGCTCAACAGGAGGCGGGCCTGGATTCAGTCGGAAAATCGTCTTTCAGGGGATCAGCAATTCCACTTCCTGACGGCCCTAGGTTATTTCAGGTAATGTACTGAATATCACAGGATCAAACTGTGCCACCGTTCTGTGTTTCTAGTGTCCCGTGTCAGTTGATTCAATAATTCGCTGGGCATCACTTCAAGATGAGCCAAGTTCGCAAATGAAGGCCTTCAATCAGGAGGGAACCATAGGAGAGGCATCACTAGGATTCACTAGGATTCACTAGGTATCCCTACATCCCGTCCAGCGATGTGTCCTCGCGTACGAGCCGCTCTATGGGGACCTTTGGAATCGATCTGCATGGCCCACAAAAGTTGAGGTTCACGTGTGTTGACTCCGTGTCTTGTGGATCTGATAGCATCCTCCAGATTGGCGAAAAAAGCTTCTGCATCCACCCAAAAAAATGGAACCTAAAAATGGCGTGCAAAATTCTTCTCTGACTAGATAGTACCAGTTTTGGGGGTTTGCTTTCGCCCAACATCGCCGAGGGCACTCGAGATCACTGTTGAGGAAGAGATGCTGTTGCCCTGCTGCCGCCCCGGACATGTCTTCCTCATTTCTTAAGCTAACTTTGAGCAAAAGCTTCAGCAAAGCGGCCCTGGTTTCACGCATCTCCATGGTGGCATCCAATGCCGACGAATTCCACAACTCCAAGCCCATGGCTGTCTCGACAAATCTGATGATATGCCATGATATGCCCATTGGCCCATAATATCCAATAAAATATCCCCTCTCTTGCTGGTTTATATCCCTGTTCATATCCCTTTTTTTGATTGTTGATACCTCCATGAATCCAATATGATAGCTGGTTAATAGCCCCACTGTCACCGGTCATCATCGTTTTGTTTTCCCCCAAATTGCTAAAATGGCATTGCTCTTCGTAGTTGTTTCACCATGTTTAATGATGAAACCCAAATTTTTAACGATGGTTTCCGAAGGCACAACAGCCCAAGCACCTCAAAGACCTCCTCTTCCTCTATCCGTCTGACTTCAGTGCTGCCCTGGCAACCGGCCAAAAATCGCGCAAGGATTGGGATATTTTGGTGGACTGGCTGAAATATTGGGGCTCAGGATTTTGTGGATATTGGGGGATATGGGTTTGTCCATTGGGGACCCCATTCCCAGGGTTTATTGGTTTATAGAATTTTATAGCATCCTCTTTCCCCATGAAAATTACCGCAATTGTCAAGAAATCACCAATGACTTGACACAACCAGATACTGAACAACTTAGAAGCGGCCACTCAATCTGAAGAAGGTTTGGGGGGTTTTCACGTCCAGCTTCCCCCAAAACCTACTGGGCAGCCCTGCTGATGGAAATTTACTTTCGAGCGAAACGCTTCGAATGCAAACGTAGTGCCTCAGCTTCAGGGAGGCAACAAGGAAAAACCATGAAAGACCCTGGGTGGGGACCGCTGAATCCATGAAGATCCACGGATCCCAAAAATCAATCACTGGGTGATCTATCTTGACTCCTGTCTATACTTGAGTATGTGAAGCCATACTTGATTTTGGGATGAATGCCCGTTTCTTGGTGTTGCCTCTGGCGACTACAATGACTACAAGTACACCAGGTGTTGGCTGTGGAGCAAATCAGGGACCCTTTCAGAGAGCTGGTTTTCAAGGAGTCACTCTGTCTAGACAAGTGTGAGTGGTGGCTCGCATCGATTCCAGCTGTGAAGACTTCAGCTGACTCACCAAAAACTTGGTTACCCTCCATTTACAGAGGATTTTGTATTGCCACGTCTGACTGCCAGATGGTATTCTGATTGGTTCAGATGGATTCTAAGAAACTAAGCCTGCAATGGTCCCAGCAATCTTGCTTTCAAGGCTAATGAGCCACATATAAAACTGGGATGCGCATTCCGAGTAATGTCAACCCCAAACAGGGCAACACCCTGATCGCTAAGGATGCTTAGGCGAGCCAACCACCAAACAATGATTGCTGCAATTTGAAAATGATGCCACCAATAAAGCCAAACAGGAGTCAATTTCGGAGTCAATACCAATGAAGACTTGACGTTTGGCAGAAAAAAAATGACCCATAGATGGATAAACCTTGGCTTGGCAAGTTTGTAGTGGTTTGTGGCCATGTTTTGCTACAAATGTGGGAAACCTATGGAAACCTTACTATGTTGCTGAAAGTTACATGACTTTTTCGGAGGGTCTGTTTGGTTATTCCCAATCCACATTGTTCTCTACTAACCTTCACTATCCAGGAGCATCGTGTATGGGGTTGGTGACATGTCTGATTCAAACAAGGGCAAAACCACGAAGTCTGATTCTTAAAATACAACTAAACGCTAAACCAACCCTCAAGGCCCCCAAGGCCCTGCATCTTCGGCCCCTGAACTTATCGATTTCCAAGCGACTTATCAGACTCCTCTGTGTAGGAGGTACCCTGATTCCCTGGTGACGACCGCAAACTGAAACCCTGGTTGGATAGTCATAGATCGTCCAACCGACTGCAACTCAAAATCCTCCTCGTTAATTATCATTAATTGTGGATTTTCCAATCGAATCTATGTCATTAGATCTGCTAAAGCCTTGTGAGACAATGATGTTTCGCAAGGTTGCTTGTGGGTCAGGAAACACAGAGTGGCTGATCACTTCGGCCATGAACTACCCAATTTTGCAACTTCAAATCATCTGATCATCGATTGGTCAAACCTATCCTGCTCAGCTTGTTCTAGGGATACTTTTTTCCGTTGCGACCTGTCGCACTCGCATCATGACATGGCTAATCTCAGATACACTGCAAACATCTCTAGCTGATCGGAAAAAAATCCCCATCTACGACAAGACATTCATCAATGGATTGGTTTAAGGATTTTTTTACAGGAAGGCCCCATATTAAATAATATTTAATGGGAAAATCGATGGTTTCCTGTGGATGTTCCCTTAAACTCCATTGAATTAAAGTACTAAACCCAAACTAACCACCCCAAGGTTTCCATTCGAAATGGTGTCATTGCCGTTGCGAAATCAGTAGCGAAATCAAGGGCGATCCGCTGCGCCTTTGACCGTCACCCAGCCCTCCTTGCCATCTTTCTTGGCCTTGGCAAAATGAGCAGAAGGGGAAGATGTGACATGCCATGAATACACTATTATATATATATACACACGTATATACGATTATATACGTATTTATTATGTGTATATATATATACATATATATATTCTATATATATATATACATTCTATATATATATATATCAATAACCATACATGTCTACACCGAATAGGGAAACAGAGAAGCGAAAACCACGTGCCGTCCGGGGGCGACCGGGGGCGACCGGGGGCGACCTGGGCTGCCGCACCAGCACCTTCACACGGCTGAGACTTCTGGCGGAGTCCTCATTGGGGCCCTCAAGGAGGTCTAAAGCCTCTCCCACCTCGGATCCAGATCTGAAAATGGGGGGGTTACCATGGGGTACCCATGAAGGCCATTGAAATCATGGGCTAAATCATGGGGAAAATCATTGTAAAATCAATTAACCAATGGATTTAGAGGTCCCCTATTTTCAAAACAAACCCAGATGGATCTTTTGTCTGACTTAGCCTCTGGTCTCGAAGATGGCTCGCTGGAAGACCCACCATGGGACTTGCCGTATTTGATGACACCGGAGGGTAGCCCTTTTTTATTTGGTAGATGTTGTATGGTGGATATTTTGGTGGGAAATTGTGGGGAAAATTGTGGGAATATTGGCAATGTGGAGGATATTGTTGGGATATGGAGATATCTTGGGGATATCTTTGGGGATGCTTTTGGTTGTGGATATAGTTTGAAGATGTAATCTAACATTGAAATTGGAGGATAGTTTAAATTGGGTACCCCATTCCATCCTATTGTTTAAGATTTGAATTCCTTTTTTCCAAAAACTCAAATGGCCCATTTTGAGGACCACCCTCCTGGGGAGTGGGAATGTGGGAGGTGTGCGATTGGGGAAGGGGATGTGATGGGTGGGATGGGAATGGTTGGGGGATGGGGTAATATTCATTGGCCAATTGTTGGCTTTGAGGGAAGAATCACTGTCATCCCGCCACGTATTTTCATGGATTTTCTGTATTCTCCCTGAAGCATCCTCTGCGCAAGAGAACTGTTCAACGACTCAGTCCCCGGCATCCAACTTTCTCAACGCCTCAACGGAGGAACCAAGCATAGCCACCACATTTGTTCATCAAAAAGTTGGAATGATGTAAAAGTAGTCTAAAAAGTCGTAGGACAAGTAGAAGCCTACAACTTTAGGGAAATTCAAGTCTGTTCTTAAAGAAAATGCTGTGAAAATCGAACAATCCAGTCCTTGGATCTCCTTTGTGTAGCCCCAAAGCTACAGATCAGATTGGCCACCAGCGCCCAGCGCCACCCCAGCGGGACAGCTGGACCTTGCCCGCGGTGATGTCGAAGGAGGTTGTGAGGGCAATGCTTTGCTTGCACACCAGAAGTTTGGCCAATTTAAAGCACTCCTGGCCGGAAGCCATGGGGACTGATGATCCAGCATGCAACGGTGAAGCTCGCTAGAATGTTTAACGAAAGCATCAATCAGAAAAGATCAGTGGTTTCGAAGACAATCTCGGTGTAAACCCGGGTCATCCCACCCATCATGAGAGTTCCTTGCGTCCTGATCCGACGGCCAAGGCATGCGACGGCAGCTGGAAGATTGGTTGTAAATTCTGGTATGCAGAAAACCCCCTTTTGTTGGTTGCAAAAAACAGACGTACTGTATTTCTCGGTAGTTGTCCCTATAAACTCATCCCAGTATAAGATGGTTTGTTTTGTTGCCATAATTGTGAATCTGGGATTAGACACCAACTGGCTGAAAATGTGTCAAGGAGTCTCCCGAAATCTCAGTTGCCATTGGAACGGAACCCAGTGATATCAGGGTCCCGGCTGCAAGTCATGTCTCCTGTCCCGACGCTTCTCTGAAGGTTACCCAGCCTCACCGCGGCGTTGGCATTGGGGTTTAACATTTCTGGGTGATGGTACTGGGTAAGAAACTTTAGACCCACAAATAACAGAAAGTTTGATCATGTTACTTCAATTATTCCGCTTTCGGGTACCTTGTTTGTTTTGCATCCGTCTCTGCACTGCCAAAATGGAGAGATGAAGCAAAAACATGCAAACCCTGGGATGGAATGAGGCTACATTGGGTTGTCCGGCAATAGCTGGACAGCACAAGCCAGTCAACAACATGCGACAACTCCAGGGCAGCAAACCAGAAAAAAAAAATGATTTAGATGTGTGGAGGATTGAGAAAAGTTGGAGTCAGCACACCTGACGACCATGCCACCATTACCATCCATTACCCAGATTTGGAATTCTCCTTGTGGTGGATATCATTAAGCGACATTTGGATACATTTGGCAGAAACCAAGCTCCACAAGTGGCATCAAGCTGAGGTTGGGTCCATTTTTACCATCCTGGCTGGGCCCATTCAGACAGTGGATACAGGGTATGCGTGTGTGTCCAAAAATGGGTCAGAGAAGAACGAAAGGACGAAAGGAAAAGGTGAAGGAAGAGAGAAAGGAAGGAGCAATGGAAGGAGCAATGGAAAAATGTATTCTCCTTGGAATTCTCCTGCTCACATGGACTCCAGCATTCTTTAGATAAAAAAACGGTGGTCCACCTTGCACTACTGAAATGGCACGTCTAAAGAATGCCTACCTAGGATGCAAGGGGGTCTAAGACCATCTAAAAAATCATGGCCCAGGCAACCAACTACAAACAAATACAAAAAAACACAAATACAAAAGTGAACCTCTAAAAAATATGGAGTCCATGTTAGCCATGTGGACATCAACAAACATTAAAAAAAAACAAACGTACCCAAATGATTCCTTTGCACACCGGAGATGAAATTTGCCCTTCTTTTTTGCCCATGCCAGAATAGCGGCTTCTGTTTTTGTCATGGCAGAAGCTTCTGCCAAAGCAAGCGTTGTTTTTGGCTGCCTCCTCTTGTTTCATTTTTCTGGTTTGATCAAAATTGATTGTAAACAACATATCCCCCTTTTATTCAGTCTTTGACCCGGGTGTCCGGTTCTTTGGTGGAGGGTGCCATTAAAGGATGAAGTCCTGCCTCCGGACACGATGGGTTTTGAATGGTTTTGATGGATCTTCTAAAGACAACTGGTGTTATGCCTGGGGATCTTGGGGATTTCCTGGGGACGTCTGGATATGAGACCTGGACTGGGTTCGAGCTGGCGTTTTGATTCTTTAGAGGCTCAGGCCTGTCGACTTTGCAAAACCGGGCAGTTTTTCGCAACTTGGGATATTTTGGGGAGGGTGCCACTAAAGAATCAGGTCCTGCCTCCCGACACAGGGAAGGGTGTCCTTAAAGAATCAGGTCCTGCCAACACAATGTTTTTTTAAAGCTGGAGTTTTGATTCTTTAGAAACTCAGGCCTGCCGACCTTGCAAAACCTGGCAGTTTTTCATAGTTTGGGGTATTTTGGGGGAGGGTGCCATTAACGCCATTAAAGATTGAAGTCCTGCCTCCGGACACGATGGGTTTTGATGGATCTTCTAAAGACAACTGGTGTTATGCCTGGGGATCTTGGGGATTTCCTGGGACGTCTGGATATGAGACCTGGACTAGGTTCGAGCTGGTGTCTTGATTCTTTAGAGCTATACCCAGCAAAACGATAAACATATTTATTGTATAAATCAATATATGCAATTTGCTGCTTTTATCATGTCTAGTGTCAGCACTTTAAACATTGACAAACTCAACTTAGGGTTCCAAATTAAATCTCTAAAGAATCAAGGGGGGAACTGACAACCCGGGTTGACTTATTTTTTAGGGAAAATTCCAAGAGTGATAACACCATATGATTTTCAAACGCTCTGTTTTCAAACGCTCATAAATGTGCAATAGTCCGGCGTCTGTGAAGAATGTCCTTGTTGAAAAATCAGTTGAAATGTGTTGTCAATGCTGTAACTTGTTTGGCTCATCTGCGATACAAACGATGGCCGGCGCACAGCAGCAGTTTAAGAAATTGCAAAAATTCAAAGAGCTTGTCTATTGCCCCTCAAAATGTTCTCTCTCAAAAATCATGACCCAGGAAGCCTTTGCAAAAAATGGGGAGTCCGGGTTAGCCATGTGGAAAAACCACCTGTTTTTGCAAAAATAAAACGTTTTTTGAGACAACCCGGGTTGTTGCATTTTTTAGTGGAAATTCCAAGGGTGTTAAAAATGTTGTGTTCTTCAATAAAACAGATTTCCCCGATTGAGGGGTGCCAGACGCCTACCCTATCGTGGCGGTCTCCAATAAAACCGATCAAAACAGACCTGGGAGGATCTCAAGCGCGACAGGTCTAGCTGCTCAAAAGAGGCTTGGTTGTCTCAATATTTCTCCGTTCTCCCAGGTATGATTCACAACGAAACAGCACAAGAACCGCGACCAAACCCCTTGTGATTCTGGATCCTTGCTGCACTTCCTTGGTAGCGGCTAAGATTGACTGCCAATGTTCGGTTCCGCAATATCCAACTGATTGCCTTTAAAGCCTACTTGCTGGTGAAATTGTGAAACTGAGAATTCATGCAGCTGATGTTGTAAACCCAAGAAGAAGCCGCCTTTTGCGGATATAGGGGTTTCAATTCCACCCAATGGTACAGAAAGTCATTTGGTGCATAGGGGCCTTGTTTCTTGGTTTGGAGGTTTTATTATTATTCTGATCATCCAAATATATAGTACCGTCCACCAACAACAATCATCAAGCAACCATCACCTTATCAATCATATAACAACCATATTTTCTGCATGATATTCCCATAGCTTGATGCTTACAGTAAATCCCCTGCGAAAAAGAAACAAAAATGCTATACACTCTGATCATGTAACAGTTTGCGAACTGGAAGAACACCATTCTTACTAGGTACTGTAGATCATGGTAAATCATGGTAAATCATCTATTTCTATGGTCCGTTTTCCAGTAACTGCCCAGTCCTTGCTGGTCTTCCCGCGCATTCGCAGGACCTCAGGTGGCTCCTCCTGGCGAAATGGAGAGGAAATGTTGGAAACCCCTGGCGAAAAAACTGAGGTTCAACTTGTTCAACTGCAAAAAATGTGGTTGTTGTTGTTTGATCGTTTATTTGTGATGCGTTTTTTGTTTCTTAGTTTGTAACTGGTGTTTTCAAAACCTGCGTTCATGGCCTAAGAGATCCTGTCACCGGGCCTTGCGAGGTCCTTCCAGCAATTCCAAGACATTGCCAGGTTGCAGATCCTTCAGTTTTTCACTGTCGGATTCGAACTTCGCTGTCAGGCTGGACCTGGGCGAAGTTCAAAAGCACTACCCAAATAGCAACTGAAGACCGGAAGAGAATTCCAAGATGCTGATTGAAAGGCGAAACATAATAGTAACATGATGTAATACGTATCTCATCATCAGCATCATCGTCGTCATCATAGTCATCGTCATCGTCATCGTCATCATCATCATCATCATCATCATCATGGTACAACGTAATTGTTGCTCTTTCTGTGCGAAGGAAGGACAAAATGGGTCACTCCACATGTTCCGCCCTCAGATTTTCTGGTTGCCTGACTCGGCAGGATGCCTCATTGCGCATCTGCCCCGTTTCATCCTATGGTTTTGAACCTCGTTTTTGCCATTGTCCAAAATTGTCCAATGGCCTTTATTGGCCTTTATTGTTGCGTTTCCCTCCCGCATTTTGGGATAAAACCCCCACGAATCTCGTGGGCCAAGACACTCCTCATCAAAGCAGAAGTAGGGTTTTCTACAATTTGACAGGAAGCTGCTTCCAGCATTGCCCTGCGAGGTCACCCAGCCCTCCTTGTTGTGTCGCCGGTGATGGGAATGGCTGGATGCAGAAGGGAAAAATCAAGAGGTTTGCTGAACATGGGTTCCACGTCTTCGCATGTCAAAGCATCAATTGAAACATGCAGGACAAGTGAATCTACAATTATGTAAAGAATGAGATAAAGTAATGCAAGATATGGTGGAAACTCAATACGGTACGTACCAGTATGCATGTGTATATATATATATATACGTACGTATATATATATATACGTTATACATACACACGAAAACTGATGCTATAAACTCTATGGAATAAAACACTACAATCATAACTACAACATGATCTGGTGGTATCCCACTTTTTGCCCCACTCTACGCCCCCATGGATCGCCGCCGCTGTGTCGTCCTTCTGATCGATGATGGCACGACACTGGAGTCTGGACAACCCGGTGGCAGTGTCCACCCGACCTACCTCCAGCACCTCCAGCACCTGGGAATTTGTCGGCACAGCAGCACCCAATGCTATGGCTATTTTGTATCCATGTATCCATACATGATATATAATATAGTGTCTTGTAACGTGTATATATATATACATATATATATATACATATAAATAACATGAGAAATATCATTGTATACCTTTTTATCGGCCTACGAGAACCTACCGATCTATATATCATCAACTGTCTATCCGTCTATCTCCCTATGTGAGAATGACAATGATATTTTGGTCGCAAACATGGCTCCCCCTTCAGCAATCCACAAATTGAGAAAGCTGACAGCACTTCATCTGAACCAAATCACTCAAACAATCTTAGACCGCAAGCCAAGCCTTACTGAAATCTTAGAATCGGTTGACCAAAAATGTCCAAATCCCCAAAAAAAGGTCAAAAAAAAAAAAAGAAAATCCCAGCCCTTTGCCTCGCCCTTGAGCAGTTTTCTCACCGTCTTTCCATCTTTCACTTCTAAGGACGTCGTCAGTGCGACCCTGAGCAGCGTCCAATCGTGATAGCTGGTGCAGCAAGGCATAGCTAAGCATAGCTAGGTACAGAATGGGTGAATCTCCAGTTGAAGGACAAAAATATGTGGGGTGCCATGCATAATTGAAATTCAAAACTATAGACTGTAGATCAACATTAATCAACATGTGTAAACATACCTTTTTGCGATGCTGAACTTTAAATTACGAGGAGATGATATTGTTGTACAACCTGCTCGGATAGGGCAGAATATCAGGGGCAATCCAAATTTCTTGGAGACATCTCAGTGGAGAATATCCCTTGCGACCAAGGCTCTCTTTGACGCACTTCTGAAACTCCTGAGGCCAAAAACTGCCAGGACCTAGCATCAACGACAATTCCTGGAACTCCAAAAGTATCAGTTGTCAGCAAAGCATTCATGAAAGGTTCCCTGGACCAAAACAGTTAAAACAAAAGAATGTAATTATCGAATATATATATATATTATATACATTATATACATTAGAGTAGAGCGAGAGAGAGAGAGAGAGAGAGAGTTGACATAAAGAAACCCAAAAAAAACATACTTGGCACAAAGGTTGATCTTGAAAAATCTCACCACTTCGGTGCCGAGGTCGGTCCTGCGCCAGTTCTAAGACGGCCAACTTCGAGAGCCCCGCCGAAAAGCGGTCCAAGGCCAGGTCCAGCTGTGGGGCCTCGGTCGTCCCAGGGTGCCGTAATTGCGTACCCGCGGAGAAACCAAGCTTTTTTGATCTTTTTTGGGCCATCAAAATGTGGAGCAAATAAAGAAAAACCAATAAGAATTTGTGGGGAAGCCAAAACCGGACATTTTGGGGCTCAATGTGTTGGGATGTTGTGACAAATTATATTCCGTGTGGTCAGAAGGTGAAACAAGGCAATGCCAAGGGGAAAAAGACATGCCCAGCTGAGAGGCTTGGAAAAGGGCAGAAGAATGGGTTTCAGTTCCGAACTAAGCTCTCAACCTTCAGTTGGGCGTCAGGGATTTTTTCCACGAGCTCTCTCCTCAGAATTTGTTGCACTGGAAGTTCTTATGGAGCAACTCAGAGTGACATGGATTTTCGTAGAATAGATGCTGCGGACATGGAACCTTCACACAGCGAGGGTGGAACCCAAGCACTGTCAAAGGGATAGTATGTAAAAAAGTGTTTGACAGACTATTCGAACAATGCAATTGTTTGAAATGGACACACACATAATACCTCTATCATATCGGCGCCCGCTTGGCTCAGAATAATAGAGAAGGGGATTGAACTTCATCAAACAAACATCCTAGCCGATTGAACGGTTAGCACGTATAGTACTGTATAGTAAATGATGTCAAAAGCAATGCACAAAAAAACATGATGTTCACCTCCACCATGTTGCCAGACTCCAAACAATGGAGGAGGATAATGATCATAGTCATAATAATCACCAGCAGAAGCAGCATCATTGGAATCATCATCATGATCGTAATCGTGATCATGATGGTGATGATGGTGGAAATTATTGTCAATACCATCATTGTTCCCATGTCCATCATTATCTGTCGAGTTATGGTGATGCTGACCTGATGCAGATGCAAATGATTGTGGTAGTATTGAGACCGATAATGATGATGCGGAGAATGTAAAACAACGCAAAGAACTATGAAACAAACAAGTGGGCAATGTCGTTCTTCTCATCTGGCTGGAGTAGCATGTCGTGATTTTGGAGCCACTATTGCTGGCGAGATGTGATGTTTAGTGTGAATCAGTACATTGAACCATGATGTTAATGATCATTGCCATGAACGTGAAGTGCCCTAGCCGCCTGGCCGCTGGCCCTATACCCAACCTTCCCCTTTCACCGAGGTAACAATGCTTGGTCGCTTGTGAAATCCGCAGGATTCATCCAAGCATCAGGTGTTCGGGCTTAATGGCTGATTCCCCTTTGCTCAGCTTCTTGAAAAGCTCATCTGCTTTCAAGCCCTGCCCATCCAGAAGCTATGAAACCCAGTCTCACAGCATGAATTTGCACACTTTCACCCCCCACTGACCAACTAACATGCAACTTAAAAAGTGAATCCTGGACCGGCTTTCTTTGCTTCAAAATATACTGTAAAAGCTGCAAATCATGTAGTGCAATGCAAGTCTTTATGCGTTTGCATACCCTCCGGTAACATAGAAACCTCCAGGTAGTTTGGGGATTATCAATGGGTAGACCTAAAGGTGGCCTCTTTTCTGGCAAAGATCCTCAAGGTCTTCAGTAAGGCTTCTTCCTCGGCTCGCATTGCGCAGCTTTCTGGTCACAGGGGATGCATTGGGAATACCAGATCGTCATGATCTGGGTATGTCTATATACAGAACTCTATACATAATATGTATATATGCTATGCAAAGTGCAAAGGTGCAGCTGGACTTTGCTCTGCAACACAATCAAAACACATCCAGCAACCAAAAAAATCGTTTCTAGCCTTCTAGCAGTATGTTTACTGGATAAATCTCCATAAAATCCCTACAAGGTGGGGCCCCCTAGATAGCTAACTTGGTTTATAACTTCAATAACTATGGTTTATGGTACTTATAACTATAGTTAATGGGGTTTATAAACCAACTTGTATAAACGTACAATCATTGCTGGTTCGATCCCCCATTTTTCACATTCGCCAAGGGACTGCCTGGAGCGACATGTCTGCCCTGGCACTGCGCAACTGCTGCGACAGCTTCTTGCAGCGGTTCTCCATGGCCCCCACCTGGCAGTGGACCTAGTCCAGTTGATTATGGGATGAAGCCCAAGTTAGTAGTGAATTGTAGACTCATATTGCTAAATATTGCTAATACCTATATGATGGCTGTGTCTGAAAATTTCATATACCCCAAAAAATTGCAATCTCAATAGGAAAAAATCTTCATAAACAGTCAACTTTGGAGGTATCAGACAACCCATCCTATTTGGTTTATTCCAAAAATCGACTAAGATGCAGCATCTGCAGTCGCCTTGACCTTGAGTTTCACCAAACTATTTCTCGCTTCGCTCAAGGGGCCCTTGCCCGTCTGACCTGTCGCTTGCTCAGTCCCAAAAATCCATCGCTCCATGGTTAGTTGATTAGATTTCTTTGGAAAGGAAACTTAGAGAGGTCTTGGATCCCCGGTTTTCGGAGATGCGCCATGGTGATGGCGATAGAAAATGGATCTTCTCAGGAATAGATCACCACAGAGTTTCGTCTCGTCGTGTACGCAACGTTTGGCGGACCTTTGATGCTCTCCATCTTCTCCCGAATCTTCCCAGTGGTCAAACTCAGAGACTCCTGGCTGCAGAAAATTAACGACTTACTCAGCGGGTGTCCTTGCGAAAAAAAAAAAACTGTTTTTTTGGTTAGGTTCGCGCGCAATTTTTGGGTATAAAATGGAGGCGCCCGCGCGCGCGAGAACCTAACCAAAAAAAACTTAAAGTTTAGACACTTGCTGAATTAGAAGAAGAACCTGGTGGTTGAGCCGCAACCGGAAAATAAATGAGCCCATTGGTGATCATCGTCATCGTCATCGTCATCGTCATCATCATCGTCATCATCATCATCATCAAATACAAGAAAGTGAACAGCATTTGAAACCAAAACTTGGTGGGATACCCATTGTACCTTGTGCTCCCATTCCAATCCGCAAGGCCTGGGACGAGGCCAGATCTTTTTGGAGGCTCTCGATGGCAGCAAGAGGATTTTCATCACCTGGCCACCGCTACAGGATGGACCGTATGGATGCGGATCAAAAGCCTCAAAGCCTTGTGAACATCCCAAAAGAGATGTTCTTCAAAACCATTTTGAGGCGGTATTTGGTACTGCTGCACAGCCACGGTGCTTATTCTAAGTTGATTAAAACGAATCCGATGCTAGCTTCCTATATCTTACTATCGAAATCTGTTCCATGAGGGCGCGCCTCCCAGGTTTTGGAGCAACTGCTCCCCTTGGGGGTAGACCTTGGAGAGTTTCTCCTCTTCCACGCCAGCCATCTTCACCACGTCCTGGTGCAGGAAAGAAACATCAACGACTAAAGTTGGTGGTTTTCTGGAAATATGATTTGTGTTGAAGGAAGATCTGTGGGAAAAACTCAAAATCATGATTTTCCAATGTCGGGCACAGGAAACCACCAATCATTGGCTTTGTTGAAGGAAACAGTTTATGTACAGGAGACCCTGTCTTTTACCACCTGGTGGGCTGGTGGGGTCATGTAAATTGCTCCTTTCATCCAATTATGGGTCGTTGAGCGAGTGAAACAGCTCAAAACTATTGAAAGGTCAACTTGGATCATGGATGGAAGAGAAGATTTACTTGAAACATCTTGAAACTAGCAACCAGATCAGGCTTAGAACGGAGATGTGGGAAGATAAAGAACTAGCAACTTGACCAAAAACAATCAAGCACCTTCGCACCACTGTTTGGACATAATCTCCCTTGCGAGCATTCCTGCACCGTTTACGGAGCGGTGCGCCGCGTCCGCTCCCGTCCTCCACCAAATCTGCAGCTGCTTTTCTGTCAGCGGCTTCAAGCCTCCACAGGTTGCAGGGTGAGGTCTGCATCATCTGCTGAAATGGCAAAATATCCCAAAATTACAAGCAAAATGCATTGCTTTACCCAAAAGGTTCCATTGTTGGTTGACATGTCCCAGCTCCGATTTCAATCTCAATCCTCGCCCTAGTTCCAGTGGTTCATGTCCTATAGAACTGTGAAAAAATTCATGGCTTTGGAGCCCCAAAGCAAAGCCACAAAACCAATGAAGATAATAGTTGAAGGGACCTTAAATATGTCGTGGTTTCCTCTCTAGGCATGCAACCAGTTTGAAACCCTGAAATTCCTCATTGTGGCCCCCTAGATCATTGGCTCGGCTTAGGTTTTTGGGCAAAAACCAGCTGATGTTTCCTGTAAAATGGTCCTTTCATCCAATTATCCAATTCTGGGATTAACATCCTCCAAAACTTGTAAGCTCGGCCAATGCCAAGCCCTTGCACCTTCGCTTCTTCTCGTCTTCCATGGCAGCGTTCAGCTTCATCTCTGCCTCAAGAGTGATACATCAAGAGATGAAGACACCTGAAAATCATCCACCAATGACAGTTGCTTCCGAAAAACATGTTTCTCACCTGCAGTCTGCCATGACCAATATCCTTTTTGGGAAAAATAGAGTGGTCAGTTTGGATGCCATGATCATGCCATCAATCGTCATCTACTTATTGACTCGCCTGCGTGACTTTCTTCTTCAGGTCCGAATAACCCTGCTGCACCTGGCTACAGGCCAGCCCAGAGATGTTGCCGGGATTTAAGCCAAGATGAGGATATGACTGACCAATCAAATGCCGTTGAAGCGACCAAACAGGGAGAGATTAATCCAGAAAAAATAAATGGATCCAAGCAATAAGATGGAGATTAAACACAACAATGACTGCGACGCCCTTCATTGAGGGTGAACTCAAGCTGCTTGGACCCACTTCGACATCGCTTCTTTGGATCATCTCCCACTGACAGCTTGATATTCCACCGCGCAACACCCTTTGAGCGGTGCATCTTGCCAGCAACCCTTTCCTGTTGGTTCAAAGTAGCATCCCATGTTTCTTTTGTAATTTCTCTGTTGGTATTTTAATCCACATGTTTGGAGATTAACATAGATTAACTGCATAAATTGACCAAATCAATTCATTCAATTGTAGCTTCACAAATCAATGTCCATGTTTTTCAGCTTAACAATGCCATACCGTTGAAGCTCGACATTGTGGAAAATTTGGTGTCTAACGCATCTTGCAATTGCCTTGCAATGTCTCGACATGTCTTGCGGCACCTCTGTTTTGCAAACAAGAATTTAGCCGTCCATGTGCAAGGCCACTTTGGGCCGCAAACGCTTTGGCATGTTGTTCACCATGGTATTTACCTTGTATACAGCCTTCATGAATCTATCCTCCCTTCCAGATATATGCAGCAACAAATCGTTTTGACTGTTGCGCTCATCCAAGCCAAGTAATTTCACTTTGGCTCTTGTTTTTTTCAAGGTTTGTAAAATGTCCTCATTCATCACTTGTTTAATGTGCTCATTCGGTTGATGGAACCGGAAATGCCCCCTGAGCCTCTTGTGGTCATTTGCAACGCGCTTGCGGGAAGGCTTTGGTGCGGGCTGCCATTGGAGTTCCCACAGCGCCGCCACGGCCGCAGAACGCTTCGCCTCTTCCTCACTGGCTGCCGGATGCGCAGCCTGGAAGTGGAACTGGTCTCCCACCTGGACATCTGCCATGAAGCCCTCATCAACCTTGTGCAACTCGTAGGTCACAATGTTGGGGACTTCGCCCATGAGGAAGTCTCTCAGGGTCTGCTTCCGCGTGATCTGCTTTTCTGCGGCCAAAGCTTGGAGCTTGCCGTCAATCTGCTCCCACTCTGGGAGAGGCTGGGGAACGACTTTTGCATTTGGGTGCAAAAACGTTGGCATCGTTGTCATGGCAAGGGCCACGACAACAGCAACAACCACGACCAATTTTGCCATGGCTGGATACTGGCAGAGCTGAATGGATCGAAGAACCTCTGACAGCGTTCAACACAGCTGCGTACGGATACTGCATGATACTGCATGGTTCAATTTCCATGTGTTTCAGCTCCAGAATACCATAGCAATACTTGGTCCATGTTCAATCCCGGGATTCAAATCTTTAGTTCCCTTCATCCCAGTTCCAGAATAGCCTCAACCATCCCACATCATCCCATATCGTTTCAACCGGCCTTCAACACCCGGGGCTTCATCTTTGCCAAATCACTCTTGGTCTCAAACAGCGGACCCACGCGAACTTGCCGCAGTTCTTCCACCTCTGTAAGACCCCCACTTCGGAGCCGTTCCATGCCGTTGCAGCTTCAAGTTCCCCCAAAGTCTGGAACTAAGCTGGAAGATTAGATGGTTTTTTGGGTATCAACCCATCATGAAATGGAGGTCAAAATGATTTTCGAAGCCAGAAATTTGCCTTTAGGGTCCCAAACTATCCAGATGATGGGCATTGATCGTCTTTCAAACACCCGAGACACGATAACCCAAAACCCGTGGTTGATCGTAATTGTCCTCTAAAATATCAATTTTGGAGTATGTCATATGTCCATCTATATATATATATATGTGCCTCATTTAGACACAAACCATAGCAAACCCATGTTTTGGCCCATGCACATATGGGTCTGGGCCAAAATCGGATATGCCTAAGCATGGGGTATCATAAGCAGTGGGTCCCCATGCCAAATCCCCCGGACCCAGTTTGAGTGACGTATCAGTACTTTAAGCAATAAGAAGCCACCCAAATTTTGATGGTTGTGCCCCCGCATCTAAGCTAAAATCGGGTATGGTTTAAGATAGCTTTACCAACATTATGTAGAATTAGAACCTTTCATGAGCCAGATTACCGACTTATACTTCTGGCCGAACCAAAGGATCCAAATGGGGCAATGGACAGTTTGGTGAAGTGTCGAGACTCTTCAGAGGAACACAAGAACACCTAAAAGATTCTGTCATCACTTTGAACCAAATAAACATGCAAAAAATGGTTCACCCTCTGGTAGTAGTCTAACATAGCCATGGAAAACATGTTTAATGAACAAATCATAAAACTAATTGGGCATTTTCGCAGAGCTATTTTAACAAAAGGCAATGTTTTATCTATTTCCGGATGGTAAAACACCCATCAAATCCCAATCAATCACCATTAAATATCACTAAATCCCATTAAATCTTATTAAATCCCATCAAATCTTATTAAATCCCATTGAATCACCATGAAATCACCATTTTCTCCTTGGAAATCCCTGCCCATTTAACGACGCCTTGGCGTCGATGTATTTCGTCGCCTCCTTGGTAGCCTCCTGTAGCATCTTCAGGTCCGACTCGAGGCCTCCGCGATGGGAAAAATCCCATGGATGGTGTGGGGGAGAGGAAACAAATCTGGACTCTGGACGGTTTTTTGTTTGATAACTGCACTGTTTTTTTTCATTTTTTCAAATAAATCTCAAATCCTTTTTGGGGAAAAACACGATTTTTTTGGAAAATTGTTCTGGAAATTGGTGCTATTTTGTGGAGGGTTGCTTCCAACACCCCAGGTACCAAGAACTAAAATTGGGCAGATGAAGACTGGGAGCGGCAGTTGCGGGTCGAGAAGTCCAAGTTTTTGGGATATGATGGATATGATGTACCCAACTAGAAAATCGAAAAGAGCGTGGAGAAATGTGGAGAAATATCAGATCCATTTTTTTCTTGGTGAATATCCTTCAATCTAAAGACCCATGATTCTCAACAACACCAGCGCGCCGGGACTTGAATAACAGGCAGCTGGGCGTCGGACTCTTTTGGAAGGCGGCATAAGCTGTGTAGTTCTCTAGAAACACAGTGCCTCAGCCGCCCGTAAAAAATGCATAGATTGTATAGGTATGTCACCATCTTCATGCCCTGGAAATAAAATACCGGATGTGATCATGTTCAATTGCTAAGCACCCTGGTTGAACTGTGCTGAACTCTGGTTCCGGTCCAAGGCGCCCTGGTTCCCAGCAACTGTCACATATCCTTCTTTGCCATCCTGAAAAGGAGCTAGTGGACCCATGTGGACCCCTGATCTCTTTGGTCTCCACATGTCTCCACAACTTCGAGCATGATCAGACTTGCTGTCACTATCTAGCTGTCCCTGGCTGTCCCTGCCACGCTTGGGTCACTGCTCAACACTTCTTCTTGGTGTTTCTCATCTTAAAGCTGTGGAAAATCTCTAGAAACAAGCCCTGTTCTTCCCCCAAAATGCTACCCAAACAGTGGCTAGGGCCTGCTAGGGAGGGTCCCGCAGCAACTAACCAACCAACCTTTCCCCCATTCAGCAGTCCTTCTCGGCCTTCACCTTCACTCTCATCAGTCCCAAATTCTCCTCCTGTGGCTGGCTGGGGTGTTGAAGTTCGACATTGTGGGAGATTTGGTGTCTAACGCATCTTGCAATTGCCTTGCAATGTCTCGACATGTCTTGCGGCACCTCTGTTTTGCAAACAAGAATTTAGCCGTCCATGTGCAAGGCCACTTTGGGCCGCAAACGCTTTGGCATGTTGTTCACCATGGTATTTACCTTGTATACAGCCTTCATGAATCTATCCTCCCTTCCAGATATATGCAGCAACAAATCGTTTTGACTGTTGCGCTCATCCAAGCCAAGTAATTTCACTTTGGCTCTTGTCTTTTTCAAGGTTTGTAAAATGTCCTCATTCATCACTTGTTTAATGTGCTCATTCGGTTGATGGAACCGGAAATGACCCCTGAGCCTCTTGTGGTCATTTGCAACGCGCTTGCGGGAAGGCTTTGGTGCGGGCTGCCATTGGAGTTCCCACAGCGCCGCCACGGCCGCAGAACGCTTCGCCTCTTCCTCACTGGCTGCCGGATGCGCAGCCTGGAAGTGGAACTGGTCTCCCACCTGGACATCTGCCATGAAGCCCTCATCAACCTTGTGCAACTCGTAGGTCACAATGTTGGGGACTTCGCCCATGAGGAAGTCTCTCAGGGTCTGCTTCCGCGTGATCTGCTTTTCTGCGGCCAAAGCTTGGAGCTTGCCGTCAATCTGCTCCCACTCTGGGAGAGGCTGGGGAACGACTTTTGCATTTGGGTGCGAAAACGTTGGCATCGTTGTCATGGCAAGGGCCACGACAACAGCAACAACCACGACCAATTTTGCCATGGCTGGATACTGGCAGAGCTGAATGGATCGAAGAGCCTCTGACAGCGTTCAACACAGCTGCGTACGGATACTGCATGGTTACTTTGCAGCCTTCAATTTGGACGCGATCAGGAAACATTCTGTTACATCACCTAGCCTTGTTCATCACCAACCAACCCCTGGTCCCCATAGGCCCATGCCGTGGGTTCCTTGATTTGCTCTTCTAATCCTTCCAGGATTTCGTTCACATCGACCTTCCGAACCGTTTTGCCCCCCTTGATGACCTTGGCTGCGACACTGAGGTCATGGAGCCCCAACGGGATCCACAACTTTGAGTTACTTGCTCCAAATCCTCAGTAACTATGGGGAAATAGATTGGAAATATATTAGGGACAAATATGGGACATACAGGAAATCTATAAAATGTCATGGTTTTGAGTTTTGAGCATTTCTGCCAGCTTTTGCAGCAAAAAAACACCAAGAACCTTCCCTTCCAAGTGGCGAGGCCGTCCGTCATGGTCACCGTAGTGGTGCAGAAGTAGCGGATTCGGAACTCGTCCAGGAAGGTGGATTCCGAGACGCCCTCCTGCGACGGGTTTAAACAGCTGACGTGTGAAATCCTCTGCCATCCTTGGCCCATGCATCCAAAGCTTATGCTCAGCATATACCAGCCGTACCCTTGGCATCTTCAAATCTCCAAAAAACATCAACAAAAAACCAAAAGTGCTGGTGGTTTCACCAAAGTCTTGCGCCAAAGCAGGTTGGAAAATCCCGAAAAACCCATGACCCAGTCGTACCCGTGGCCTTGCCACCACTCAAGCGCTTGAAGGCCAACTGGATCTGCTCCTCCGAGAGCGTCATCTCATCTGGAGCAGTCTCCTTCCAACGGAAGTCAGGCAGATTCACAACAAATGGTTGGCTCATCTCCCAAAATTAAGTCATGGGAACATGTATTTCGGAAAAGTTCCATGTCTGAGAGCAAGTTGATCATGATTTCCTCTAGTTTTTCCATGTTTTTCCCATCAATCCGTCGATCTTCAGGTTCCTGAGGAACTGGTCAACATCACCCCATCGTCCCAGTGGCAGCTAGATAATCACCACACCAAGATATAGATATCAAAAAATATATCATGCAAATATACACTAATGACGACTAATGATATATATATATATATATATGTATATACATGGTAGATAGATATAGAGATACAGAGATAAAGAATATAAACACTTTGTAGATATACATGATATACATATCTCAATATGTAAATATATAGAAATATCTTAAAATCTAAACCATATATATATACAGTATTATATAAATATATAAATATAGGTATATGATATATTATATATATATCATAAATCCTCCCAGCTGGTAGCCCTTGAATTTCTCCCCTCCTCCAAGGACTTCAGCGTGGCCAAGAAGGCAGCCTCCGGCATCTCCTCTTTGCCGCCGCTCAGCTCCGCAAAGAGCTCCTGAAGCGCGAAGCTCGCAGTTTGCGCTGACGCTAGAGGGGTTGGAGGGGTGTTCCAAGTCCCAAAAGACGTCATGGAAAGAGCGTGAAAGAAAATGAGATGCTGTGTTTAACGTGTTTTATTGGGGGAAATGTGTGTGTGTGTGCGTGTGCGTGTGCGTGTGCGTGTGGGTGTGTGTGTGTGGGTGTGTGTGTGTGTGTGTTGAAGCAACGAAGAAGCAGACTCTGTTGACAAAGAGTAAAGAGCTGGATAGTTCCAAGAAACCCTGGGGGAGTTGATGAACAGCGAACAAACTGTTACTTTCTTGGAAATAGAACAGCTGGAGAGTTGCCGAAGCGACCAAAAGATTTTGGGAGAAAAGAGTCGGAGGGAAAGTACTGAATTCGGAGGGAGTACTCCCAGAATGTCTCCAACGCTGTGGGTCTTTTGACTTGAGCTGGATCCTCCTTGTTGCAACAGGCATAAACAGGTTCAGATGTGCTGCGTGTAAAATCCCAAAAGCAAGCAGCTCTGGGTCAAGTGTCCCTTTTGGGTGAACCTCTGGAGAGATCTTTTGAGCGAATGAAGCTGCTCATCTTTCTACTCTGCTGGTACATATTTTGGTGCATAGAGTTATCTTCAGTCATGGATCCGGAGGATGGGCTCCAGGTATTGAAAAAAAGATCCCTTCATGTCCCTGGCTGTCCTTTGGAGTCTTTGAGGATTTCTTCATCATGCCTTTCCTTGGCGCAAATGCCTTGGACCTTGAACGTTCCCTGAAAAAAAGTCTCAAAGACGGCAGCTTCCTAGGGGATCTCGTCCAAGAAATCCGTGATAGAACCCCAAGTCCCCTGAGCATTGCCGAAGCATGCCCAATGCTTGCTGGTTTCAACTCAAAAAACTACAGTACCAGAGTACCAGATTTCAGTCCTTGACATCCTCCCAAACATGTTGAAAGTAGACCACCACAAGCTGTTTCACCATCGACATCTGCGTCCAAGTGGCAAGCAGTCCACCGCGTGAGACAGGAAGACAACGCCGCTCATTCCACCGTCCTGGCGAGAAGCTCAATGCTTTGGGGATGTTTTGTTTGGTAAAGGTTGAGCCGTTGAGCCACATGCAGATGATTTCTGGGAAACTCTGATGGTGCTTGGAAATGCTAAAGGGGCCTCTGTCAAGAGCGCAGCTCTCTCAGTAGTCGCTTCAAACATCTTCTCCAGTTGGGCAATCCTCTGCAGCTGGTGTCATTGCAACAACTGTTGCCTGCTTTGGCCACTTTTTTCATGCAACGCCAGGTTTCAGTAGGTTTGTTCGATAAAGATGCCACTTAGCTCGCCCAACCAGCCAACTGCAGCGATGTCAGTTGCAGCTGGGATGCTGGTCGGAACCGTCTTTCAGCAGCCGCTGAGCCACAAACTTGTGCTCCTGGCGCGTGGGAGCAGATGGAACAGTAGATCATCGCAGTTTTCACATTCATATCTTTCATCTTGGCACCCTTCTTGTAACCCGAACTGTTGCTATTTCTTCGCACAAAAAAAAAACGCAACAGTCAAACCTTTTGTGGTACAACGAAAAACATTCAAATATGTGGTTTCATCCCCTGTTAAACCATTGTTTCTGGTGTTTCATATCAAAGGGAGATGAGATTCATACGGATTCATCATGATTCATCTATTCATATCATATTCACTACTATCCACTAATATTCACTCATATCATCTCATATCCATGAATATCCATGAATATCAAATGATTCTAACCATTGTCAACATCGTATCACATCGTATTGTCAACATTGGCTCACCAGAAACGCTCCACGACCTCCACGACCCCACGGCCTGCTCTTTGACCGCAGCGCGGTGTTTGTCCAGCGAGGCCAGAAACTTGGACAACTGCTCCAGCTGTCGATTGATCTCCTGGATCCAAACTTCCAACCGCACGAAACTCGAATTGGGATGATAATCATAGATTATGATGCACCCAAATATCCAAAAGTTGGGGAAAAAATGATGCACAAACAAATTGGGATGTTACATCGATGATGATAAAAAATCATCGTCAACCATGTTGAGGGCCACAAACTTTGGGATTTCACGGTCAGCTCCAAGGCCTTAAAAATCATCGGAATCCTCTGTAAACTCGGGAATCGAGGGGGCAACTACCATGGCTGCCATGGTCATCCTCCAAGACACTTGGAGAGCCACTTCCGTTCTTGGCATCCTTCTGCCTGGGATTTTTTGGAGTCCAATGCATTGCATCACTGTTTAGTCTTAGTCATTACCCTCTGGTTATGTCAAAATAGCTATTGAAAATGGCCATTGAAATAGTGGATTTTCCCATGAAAAATGGTGATTTTCCATAGTTATGTTAGTTTACCAGAGGGTAGTACTTTGTTGCTGGTACCATGGCAGTATGCCATGATGGCAACACGCATGTTCAATCACTGTGCGTAATTCATGATTCGATGATTCCTCCTATCAACAGCTGGTCGCGAATCACACCCCGAGTGGGAAAATGCGTGGATCTCCAATTTGGCTTGTACTTCATGATGTTGGTGAATCACATTTCAATTTCAACCACATTCAAACATTGGTTTCGCCCATGAAACCACTGTTTGAAATTCTTCTGGTTAGATCCCAAAATAAAGCAATAATGGGATATAACTGATATAACTTTTATAAAATCACCATTTGCTATTTGGGCATCGGCATGGATCAAAGTGGGTATCCAAGAATTGGATCATCGGCTGATAACAAACAAGGCCTCGGCCGTCTCCTTGGTCCTAAATGTTGCAATTGCTGGTTTACCTCCATGGATAAAGTAACCCCATAGTTCTTCTTATATGGATAATCATGGGTCAGTAAATGTCCCCATTGAACATCACCCAACCATTAGGTATATGGTCTATAATGGCTACTATAAGGTGATGTCCAATATACGCAAAATGGGACAGTTACCAACCCCTGATAATATGAACCAGCAATATCCCATTGAATCCCTATGAACATCTGGCTATTTTCGTCAAAACCCTGGTACCCACACGGTACCCCAAGTCATAGCTGGATGATGCTGGATGGTTATTCGCCCAGTCATATGGTAATAGGTAACTTGATAATATTTGGATAATCTATGGTTAATATATGGATAATCTATGGTCTATGGAATATCATTAACCATAGATTATCATTGGACCCATTCATATCTGTTGGTCCAATCCCCATCCCTGGACATCCCTGGACACCACCCATACGTCGCCTGGACAGCAACAACTTCTGCGCCGCTACGACCACCTGTCGCGCCTCCATCTGCGCGTTACCCGCCTCGCGCAGCTGTAGATGATTTAGTCTTCGCTACTGGAAGTGGCTGTCCCATAGATGTGCTACGTGTATATATATACATATATATATATATGTATACATATATATATAGAGAGAGAGAGATTAGATGGTAATACATAGATAGGTCGATCCATCGATAAATGAATAGATGGATAGATGGGTGGATGGATGGCTGGCTAGATAGATAAGATGAGATGAGATAAGATAAGATGAGATAGGTACGATAGATAAATTAGATACGATGCATAAGATAGATAAGATAGATAGGATCGGAAGGATCTAAAGGATGGAAAAGATGGACAGGATGGATAGGATGGATGGATGGTTTAGATTAGATTAGATTAGATTAGATTGGATTGGATTGGATTAGATTAGATTAGATTAGATAGATAGATTAGTATGTAGGATATAGGCTAGTATATAGATCAGGCATTTAGATAGATAGATATGCACATAGATATATGTATAGATATGTGGATGGATAGATACAGCGATAGATTTACACATAGATATGTGGATGGATAGATACAGAGATAGATACAGAGATAGATAGATAGATAGATAGATAGATAGATAGATAGGTAGATAGATAGATAGATACATAGATACATAGATTACATAGATTAGATAGATTAGATATATTCGATAGGTTCGATAGATTCGATAGATTAGATAGATTAGATAGATTAGATAGATTAGAGAGATAAAACAGATAAGACAGATAAGACAGATAAGACAGATAAGACAGATAAGACAGATAAGACAGATAAGACAGATAAGACAGATAAGACAGATAAGACAGATAAGACAGATAAGATAGATAAGATAGGCAAGATAGCTAAGATAGCTAAGATAGCTAAGATAGGTTAGATAGGTTAGATAGGTTAGATAGGTAAGATAGGTAAGATAGGTAAGATAGGTAAGATAGGTTAGATAGGTTAGATAGGTTAGATAGGTTAGATAGGTTAGATAGGTTAGATAGGTTAGATAGGATAGATAGGATAGATAGGATAGATAGGATAGATAGGATAGATAGGATAGATAGGATAGATAGGATAGATAGGATAGATAGGATAGAATAGGATAGAATAGGATAGGATAGATAGGATCGATAGGATCGATAGGATAGATAGGATAGATAGGATAGATAGGATAGATAGGATCGATAGGATCGATAGGATCGATAGGATAGATAGGATAGATAGGATAGATAGGATAGATAGGATAGATAGGATAGATAGGATAGATAGGATAGATAGGATAGATAGGATAGATGGATAGATAGGATAGATAGGATAGATAGGATAGATAGGATAGATAGGATAGATAGGATAGATAGGATAGATAGGATAGATAGGATAGATAGGATAGATGGGATAGATAGGATAGATAGGATAGATAGGATAGATAGGATAGATAGGATAGATAGGAAAGATAGGATAGATAGGAAAGATAGGATAGATAGGATAGATAGGATAGATAGGATAGATAGGATAGATAGGATAGATAGGATAGATAGGATAGATAGGATAGATAGGATAGATAGGATAGATAGGATAGATAGGATAGATAGGATAGATAGGATAGAAGGATAGATAGGATAGAAGGATAGATAGGATAGATAGAGATAGATAGAGATAGATAGAGATAGATAGAGATAGATAGAGATAGGTAGGTAGAGATAGGTAGATAGAGATTGATAGAGATTGATAGAGATTGATAGAGATTGATAGAGATTGATAGAGATTGATAGAGATTGATAGAGATTGATAGAGATTGATAGAGATTGATAGAGATTGATAGAGATTGATAGAGATTGATAGAGATTGATAGAGAGAGAGAGATAGATAGATAGATAGGTAGGTAGGTAGATAGGTAGATAGATAGGTAAACATGTAGATGGACATATAGATGGACATAGAGACAAACATATGTGACATATAAATGTATATACAAAAATATATACACACATAGCTGGATGTACTTTTGTATAGATTAAAGTGTTGATTCTAGATATACATACGGATACTGGATACACATGTAAATAGATTCACATATAAATGGGCATACACATGGATATAGTATTATATATATATTACCAATTAGATATACAACATGATGTACAATACATATTTCTATATATATATATGCATTTGGGTATGCATGTAGATATACAAATAGATTTACACATACATATACATTGATATGTATATATATATATACATAAATACCTGGTTTCTGCCCATGAAGGACCCAAATTGGATCCAGATATCACTCCAAATGAAACCTGTTGATTCAATGACCAAATCAAGAATGTGCTGGCGGTATGTAGCGTGCCACCCTACCCACACGACCATGGCTGGTAGTCATCAAAAAATCAGAAAGGTACCATAGCCACTGACCCAACGAGTAAATTGTTTCTGTTAAGCCTTAAGCCATTCAAATTTGGGAGTCCAATAACTTCGAGCCATTAGCCTGTACCATCCTGTACCATCCTGTTTGCCGTGGTTTTTTTCTATCCACCATGACAAAACCCACGTTCCACGTCCGCGTTCCGAAAAAAACCCGGCCTTTTCGCACGCAGATTTCATCTCATCCGGCCTCAACACAGCTGGTGCCACTGGCACCTTCGTTCCTGGCCGACTGGACGGATACCCCGTCCCAAAAATAGGAGTTTAATGGGAAATCACCAATCAACATGGGGACGACTCATGGGAATTCACCAATCAACATGGGGACTTCATGATACTTCATGGATTGTAATTGAACTTGGACTAAAACAACTCATTTAAGATCAATGATTCATGAATATGGGTGTGTCTGAAAGTGGAACATAGACCTACATGTTGTAGCAATTGTTCATGGGAAATATCATGATTCAGAAGTGGGTGTTTGCCCTTAACATTGCCATTGAACGACAATATGATGTCTCAAAATGGCTTAAAATGGCTTTTTTTATGGCCATCTTCAATGGGCAATATGATCATGGACCGTGGTGGATAGACCTGGGATGTTACAAACCTGGGATGCCTGGCATTAAAAAAAATCCGACAAATCTCCTGTTGGCAGTTTAAAAACTATTTCGAAAATTGTTTTTTTTGATAGGTCCGCACCATATGGCTGTGTCTGAAAATAAGGTACCCCCGATTCCAATAGATTATGATCATACATATATCATCCTTTTTCGCTGAAATCGCTATTTGGGGGGTATACCGGTATACCCCATTTTCAGACACACCCAAATATCAAGTATCATCATCATCCATTGATGAAATCCCCAATTTGTTATGGTTAAATCCGCCATCTGTGGGGTCCAAACTTCAGCCCAAGTGACCTTCGGCTCCTTCGGCTCCTTCGGCTCCTTCGGCTCCTTCGGCTCCTTCCGCCTTCGATTCCTCACCTTCCGTAGGCGCAGGCCTGAAAGATCGGGATGCTGGGTGCCTTCAGGTCACACTCTCTGAATTGGATGATTCATGGGGATTTCGCATGATTTCACCATCGACAAATGGGGATTTTATGGGATTTAGTGACATTTTAATGGGATAATGAATGGATAATTCATGGACAATTCGGGGATCACGAAAGGATTTCTGAATGGATAATTAATGGATAGTTGAAATTACTATCCCAGAGTCACGATGGTGGATGTAGGAGATGAAACCTGTTTAATATGAACGGGGATGGGATTAGTTCTTTATAATCCAATAAGATTCAATATCTATCAAAGAGTCAACAAAGTGTTCCACTTTATGGTGAATGCGTTCCTCTTATTCTCCACCATAGATATATCATCATATATCAAGCAATCATAGTATCTGTCTGAAAAATGATTAATCATGTAACATCTATGATTAGATCAACAGTGTTAATCCAGTTTTTCATTACTTGCCACATGTGTGTATAATATATATATATACACGTATATATATTATTGCTTCATTATGCCAATAATCTATTATAAGAGCAGGAATAACAATCGTCCATCAATATTTTTCCAAAAGTGTTTCACAAAAAAAGCAAACATCAAGTTCTTGTCTTTAAAAGGAATTGTCCAAGAAAATCTCCATCCATTTCCCCCTCTCGTCCAGCTATCGCAGCTCCGAGCTCCCCAACGTATCAAATTCCGCCAAGGCTTTCATCGCCTCCTCCGAAGCTTGCAACTTCTTCTCTGCCTGGGACCGGCTGGATTTCACCAAGAAAACCCATGGTGGCCTTGGGAACCATAAAGAGGATTCAAACATCAAAAATTGGGAACTTAACCATCGAAAAGCAAAAAAATCGTACCTAATCTATGTGTATATATCTATAATATATATATAATATATATATAAATACATACATACATACATTACATTACATTACATTACATTACATTACATTACATTACATTACATTACATTACATTACATTACATTACATTACATTACATACATACATACATACGTACATACGTACATACGTACATACGTACATACGTACATACGTACATACGTACATACGTACATACGTACATACGTACATACGTACATACGTACATACGTATGTAAACAGAAATACCTCTGCTTTTTGAATTATCTAGTTTGCAAAGTGAGAGCATCACCCAGAAGCCATGGTAATATGGCGCTTAGATGCTTGGGTATTATCCTCCACAAGGGAGGACACAACCCGAAGCTGACAGTTACAACTTCTTACACAAGCCAGTCATTATGCCAGTTGTATAACAACCATGTACTTGGATTCAACCATGAAAATGAGTAAGTACTCAACAGTTTTGACCAAAAAACTAAAGAATCTTCAAGATCAAAGGTGCGTGATCCATCAATGATGAGGATAGGTGTTTAGTAGCCATGGCTAATGTTCCCACTTATGACCTATGTCAACCGTATAACCCCAGCCGGGCGTGGCACCAGGTGATTTGTGGAAGACATCGAGCGCTCCCGAAAGGGGGAAGAACTTTGGCAACTTTGGGACACTCCCCTTTGTTGGGAGGAATGAATGTTTACCCTTTGGGGAACTTTAACAATGTTTCTGAGGAATGTTGGTGACTTCCACCATTTACACCAAACCTTGTCCTCCTCTGTAGGGTAGCAGCAGGGAATGTTCAGAGAAGTCCATGGCACAATTTCTTGGGACCCTACCATGGTTGGTTCATTCAGATTCTGAGCTCCTGGATTATGGATATTATAGAAATCCCAACTAAACCACAGAGTACAACCCCAGATTTGACCAAATCAGTAAGCACAACCCCAAAATACCCCAAATATGTCCAGTCACCAGGAGTCTTCAACATTTCTCCACTGACCATAACACTGGTTTTCCGGAACCTCCAAGACCTTTCCTTCCACTTCTTTCTTCACCAGGTCCTGCTTCCTTTCTTGCATGGCTTTCCTGAGACTCCGGAGATGGAGACAGCAAGTGAGAGACACCAAGAGCCAACTGGTTGCGACCTGTAAATGTTGCATGATATGTGAATCTCTGAGACACCTTGCCGCATACATCTTCATCCAAAATCATGAGGGGGTTCTGACAATTTATTGCCAGGGTCCAGTAGAAAACAGACAATTCCCCCACATATACACACGCTTTCCCATAGAATTGTGACCCACAGATAAGAGAAATGAATTTCTGGTTGAATCTGCCGGGGTTGCAAACATTTCATCTGCAAGTCATCATGTGACGCTGTCCCAGCGTCTTGCTTGCTGCAAGAGTTTTTGCGAGTTCATCCAATCTTGCAACGACGCTACTGAGCTGCTCCTGACAGCGATAAAGTGACTCACATACCATCCGGTTAGTTGAAATCTCAACCACATGTTTTTCTCCTCTTGGAATGAACAACTGATAATTTCATAGTGTTGATAACTTGTAATTAATAAGCATGTGCGACCCGCATGTTCAACTTTAGAATTCATCCTCCGTGGCAAGAATTACATAATTTTAACTCTCAAACCGCTTTGGAAGAACCACATTTAGTGTTGCTGCAACGAAACACTTGTTGATTGACAATGGGCCAAAACTCTCCGATGGCTCTGATGTTGACAAATGCTGACGCAATCCCCACACACCAAGCCACGAGTGCAGTGTCCTCCGCAGATTTTTTAGAGCCTTCCGCCAGACGTTTGCAAGCCAATTTTTTCACCTAAGCTGCGCAGTCGCAGTACAGTGGCCAAGTTTCACTGGAGAACTGCACGAAGTCACCAAGGTAATTTGTTTGGAGGAAACACTGATGTTCGTGTCATGTGAGCGCGCTCCAAGGATGAGGAAGCCTCAGCACAAGCACCAGGGTTTCTACCAGATTATTTAGTATGATCAGGGGCTGGGATGATACATTATATTTACCCAAGTTGGTTTGTCATGGTTTATCATCCGTTTCCCCATCCAAAATGGCCATGTTGGTAGTTTTGAAACACCCAAAGCCCAGGAAGGTCACCCTCCGCAGCTCTAACCGCTGTCCGGTCACGCCCACGAAGGTTTTGGCGCCACTCAAGGCCTGAGTGGCCGCCTGGGTGGCCAATTCCAAGTTGGAAAGGTTCTCAGAGACCTGGAGCTGCCCAGGGGAAGAACGGGATCGATAGAGTGGCATATATCATATATCATATAACCATGAAATTTGGATTATAGCCGAAAATAAAAATTAAAGGAAGTTTAGTTCACAATTTTCCGAGTTATGGACCAACGTTCATGGTCAGTCTTGCAATCATGTCAGCCACAGGGGTAGCAATAGCGGTTACTAACTGCGCAAATCACTGCATTTTTAAAGGTATGGTGGCTCCGAATTTTGCCAAGGGAGGTCTGTGTTTCCGCGGTTTCAGACGCTTGTGGGAGGACGCCACTTGGGTAACCTGGGACAACCAACATTTCTGAAGTCTCAAACTCATCAGGAATTTTGCCTCTGCCTTCATTCCCCTTGAGCCACTACGTACTAGGCACCCCGCGTGTTGACGTTTTTTGCCAAGTTGCGGGAGTATCCGATTTTGTGCTGACAGCTTTCAAATCTTGTTGTGGTGTCACCACACCATTATTCACTGATGCGCATTCATACGTAGGTTCACTGACTGATTCATTGCTTGATTCATTCATTCATTCGTTCATTCACTCATTCATGCACTCAGTCATTCCAGTCATTCCAGTCATTCCAGTCATTCCAGTCATTCGTGCACTGATTCTTTCATGTCAGCGCTTTCAAGTCATTTCATTGGCATCTCAACAATCGTTTGCTCATTAGTTGACACACCTCACAACCTTGATCTGTCATTGCTTCTGCATCTCAGAGACATTTCTATATGCCATTAATTTCATATCGTCATTGCTGTGTTGGAAACTTCCGCCCCGGCACGGCCGAGCACTATTTGTAAAGCTATATCATGGGATATAGCCGGATACATTATATAACTGACAATATAGGAAGATCTTGTCATTTAGGCAATAATAATGGGTGTTAGTAACCAGCAATCATGAGGATAAAAGGGGATATTGACCTCCCGAAATGATGCATTCTATGACGTTTTTCATGGTGGGAAATCATAAAAGACCTGGGATTTGGGGAGGGTTATTGGGATAACCCCAAGTTAAACGTGGATTGTTCATGATCACCACTCAGATGATAAGACTACGGGTTACTGTTGTTCATTTGGGTTTGTCCAAAAGCAGGGGACCGGGGATGATGGGGAAAATGAAAACAAACTATTGGATTGAGGGGTAAGTTGTTTTCAGACAAACCCATTTGTAGAGAAATCCTGCGAGTCGTGAATCTTCTCTTGTCCACCAAGGGGCTTCTGCGTGTCATGGGTGCATACATCACATTCGGAAGGGGTATATTGGTGGTGATCCATGTCCTTTCAGTTCACTAACACCGCCCAGTGCCGCGGATCCTTCTCTGGTTCAATGTCGCCATTGAAGGGCTCCTCAGCCTAACGAGTTGAGCCCAAGGCCTTGGGTCTAAAATGGGGGGAGATACTCATTTATGATCATTTATGGTCATTTTTTGGTTGAAATTTGATGATAAATGGGATTTGAATTGAAGGTACCTTATTTTCAGACAAGCCGGACAAGCCGACCTGTTGTCGGGGACAATCACCAGTGGATCAGTCTAGATGACGATGTTCATCTCCCCACGCGAAATCATCCTGGTTCACCAACTGGGCTTAGAGAAATGTTGGAATGATTTCCTGCACAAATCATCACCAATGGCAAGGTCGCTTGAGGACTCCGCGGACCTTGTAATTCGGAAAAAGGAATCGTCCAACTCAATCTGCTCATCTCGCACGTTCAATCGTAGAATCCCCAGACTCCACAGTATTCCCTTCAGAACCACTCAAACATGTCAGGCGGAACTTTTGAGGCTCCGATATTTTCTTGACACTAGAGCCCCTTTGGTGGTGACATTCCCGTTGTTGCTTCATTGATATTTTCATGATCTTCCACAAATGACAATAGCTCAAAATTACAGCCCCATGACTTCACCTGTGACCATCCGCCACAGCCGCCGCGTCGCCTTTTGCATCTTTTTGATGGCCTCATCCACGTCATTGACGCGGCTGGCAGAGTCCTGACACGATCCAATGGGTCCAATGGAGCAGCAAAACCCCAATGGACTTCCCATGGGTTAAAACATCATGTGTTCCACTGTCAAATGGCCACATGAAGGGTTCACATCCACTTTTGAAACAAACTTAAGCATGTTCATGTGTGTTTAAAAAAATCCCCATGAAAATACCTATTTGGTGATATTCTATTTTCCTTCATGATCTTCATGTTAGAGACCCCAAGAAAAGGAACAAAATACAAATTTTCTGTCGCTCCTTCACGATGCTGTCCACCAACACCTTCTCGGAACGCTCACCTGGTTGGCGGTCGAGCCATCCGCAAAATGAGTGAAATGGGATGGGCAAAGATACCCAAGTCTGGTGAAAAAGTGTTGAAACCATCAACCAGGTGGCTATGGGAAAATTTCACCAGCAAACATCCAAATAGATTCACCAAACATCATAATAATAAATACAAGAGTCACAACGCATTGCCGCTCCTCAACTGAACCGAGCTATAAACCTCCAGGGCAGTTCGGGGATTTCCCAGGACTAGATGGCACCAGATGGTAATATCCTACATCCTCCAGGTATCCCCGCGCATGCCCGACACGGTCTTATCCAAGGTTTCTTGCAGCTCGTCCAGGCGAGGCTTCAGCTTTTCCACTTCCTGTGCTGCTGCCAGAAATTCACCGGCAGTCACTTCTGGAGAAAAAATGGAAAAGAATTTCCTTTACTGTTTTGTGTTTTTTTAGAGGTGGTTTCCTTGTATGTATATGTATACATCTACGTCTACGTATATATGAATATGTATACGTATGCGTACGTGTATTTGTGTATGTGAGTATACGTGTGTATATGTGAGTATATGTGTGTATATGTGTGAGTATATGTGTGTATATGTGTGTATAGGTGTATAGGTGGCTGTATATATATATGTCAATACAGTATAAATATATGACAATATAAATATATATATATGTGTGTGTATTATATGTATATTTATTTATTTATGTGTATTATATATATATGACATATGTGTATGTATATATACATATATGTATATATACATATGTATATATATATACACATATATGTATATACATATATACATACATATGTATGTACATATATATATATATATACTGTACACACAATGTACATATAATATACATATAATACACATATAATATACACATATAATATAAATACATAATATAAATGTAATAGGCATAGAATATACATATGATATACATACTATATATAATATACATATAATATACATATAATTTACATATAATTTACATATGATATACATATAATATACATATAATATACATATAATATACATATAATATACATATAATATACATATAATATACATATAATATACATATAATATACATATAATATACATATAATATACATATAATATACATATAATATACATATAATTTACATATGATATACATATAATATACATATAATATACATATAATATACATATGATTTACATATAATATACATATGATATACATATCATACACATATAATATACATATAATATACATATAATTTACATATAATATACATATAATATACATATAATATACATATAATATACTTATAATATACATATAATATACATACAGTATACATATAATATACATACAATATACATATAATATACATATAATATACATATAATATACATATAATATACATATAATATACATATAATATACATATAATATACATATAATATACATATAATATACTTATAATATACATATAATATACATACAGTATACATATAATATACTTATAATATACATACAATATACATGTGTATATATATATATATGTGTCCCTTTGGGAACTAACTAGTCAAGTTGATAATTGCAGACTGCAGGGTCCAGATTCCCATCCCACACATTCCTGCCTTGGCCGCTGCCGGTGTGACCTTGATCTGCATGTCGATGAATCGCGCCGCCTGGAATCCATGTGGGGAGCTGGAAGTTGATGGGATGGTCGAACATCAACATCATCAGCCAGTTGATCAGACCAAAAAAAAAGCAAAAAAGCTTCGTTTCATCATGATCATCATGTCTAATGATGTCTATTTTTTTCAACATCCAGCCGTAGTTTTTCACCATGCGGACCTCCATGGGGACCTCCATGGGGACCTCCATTGGATAACCTGGGCGTCCGGACCGATTTGATGGCTGCCTGCACTTCTGCCGCAGCTGCCTCGGCCTCCTGGCGCGAAACAAAAACCCGAAGCCCTGAGAAAAACATCGGAAAAGATGGGGCAAATCCCTATCAGGCCCTATCAATGGGGAAAATATATGAAAATTGGGGAAAATACGGATCTTTGAATGGGAAATTCGACTATGTATAGTAGTTCGAGAATTGTCCCAGAAACCTCCATTGCGCTAGTTCGCTGATTTCGAATGGCTTGGATGCAAAAATCATCTAAAAATCAATGATTTTCCTTGAGTCTCTTGGATGGAACCTCATGAGACCTAGGACCTAATTTGAAAGGATCACAGAGTCCGCCCAACTACTTGATGGAAAAAAAACTCGCAAACTGCCATCACCAGCTCCATCCCTTGAAACGCCCTGCCTTTAGGGCTTTCTGGACCTTCTCTTTACTGGTCAACTTGCGGTTGTTGTTTGCACCCTCACCATCCTTGGTCTCACCGTCCTTGGTCTCACCATCCTTAGCCTCACCATCCTTGCCCTCACCATCCTTGGCCTCATCCTTGGCCTCACCATCCTTGGCCTCATCCTTGGCTTCAGTATCTTCCTGGGAGCCGTGGCAGACATCAAAGCTTGGTCAGCAATGGCAGTCCACCATCATGGCTTTGAGAAGTCTCAGTAGAAATATTATGACATATGTAGGATGTGTGGAGATCAAACGCTTTCTGTGCCATCTGGACATAGCACCCATTTCACGTGTAAACCATCATTTTGCTCAAAAATTTTCAAAAATGGGTACCTACAAGAGGTTTCCAATCAGAGGCCCAAAAAAAAAGTCAAAAATCTTTGGCACCTTGGGATGGTCGATGGCATCAGCCAGCTCAGTGAGTTTCTCGAACTTCTGCTCAACCGCTTTGACCTGGCCAAGGAAAACAGCCGCCGAGTATTGTGTCGGTAGATTTAATTGGTATATACATTTTTTCCCTATTTGTATATTTTGTATGTATATATATATATATATGTATATATATATATGTGTATTTAATATATATATATATTAGTGTATTTAATATATATATATATGTGTCTATATATTATGTGTTTATTCATATATTTATATAATTAGATATAATGAGAGGACTTCCCAATATAATGGTACATTGAATGGGATGATGGCAGTGCCTTGGAGTTGCAATCCTCCACGCTCTTCTTGGCTTTCAAGCGAGAGTCCACCGAAGCGGATACTTTTTTGTACTTGCCTCAGCTCACCACGGGTCAAAATTGGATACCCACAATGGATGGTTAATACTCATAGACAAAAATCTGTGGTCCCCCAGTCACAACAAATGGAGGCTTTAAGTTTTACTGGGAAAGTCCACTAAAAATGGAGATTTGAGTGGGAAAATCCACTGTAAATGGAGGTTGTCGTCCCCCAGTTCTTTAATTTTGACCCATACCCATGTCATCAATGTCTTGTTCAGCTCTGTTCTGGACCAGAGTGTCAGGATGACTGATGTTGCCAGGACCAGTTTGCTCAGCCAATCCTTTCTTCCAGGAAGTGGTATTTTCTTCACACCCACTTGCCACAAGTTCACATATAAAGACGCGTATTTTGGATCAGCCCAAAATTCCCAGCTTACACAGGAAAAAGATCGAAAAAAAAACACAAAACAAATCCTTTCAAGTGGGACCAGTCTGAGGCAGCAACCAATTTCGGTTGACACCTCAGGTCTCGCCACGTCCGCCCAAGAATTGGTTCCTGTTTGAATTCTTCCAAAAACTGGATATCAAATATAAATTTATATATATATATATTATTATTATATATATATATAAATATATCAACAACTTTAGCAAAGACATGGCTTTTCATGGGAGAGAAAAGATTCAAAAGGGAACTCAACAAATGGAGATAGATAATCTTAGGCCCCCAGGGAACATGTCATGGGCGAAGTAATCATGGCACGAGCCAACAAAAATCCAGTCAATCGGGATCTGGCCCCGTAACATCGCCCAATGGCCCCGGCGAGCTGTGGCCCCCTGCAACGCGCAGTCGGGCCTCGTACTTGATGAGTTCACTGCCTCAGGTGGAGAATGACAAGGGAAATGTTGGCCATTTTGATCCAGTTTCTCAAGGATGAAGTCCCCGAGTGATCAAGTTCCAATCAGTTCACGGATTCTGTCTCCAAACATTGTTCCTGGGTGCAGTACCCCCCTCCAATCTATCCGGAAAGACTTTTCAAGTAGAAACTATCTTCCAACCACAGAGCTGCCAACCTGCTCATTGTTGCTGTCAAGACTCTGAGTTCAGAAGAGGCTTCTCGACCTTTCGCTTCAATCTGCCTGGCACAAGATGAACTTCTGAGCATGGTTTCTTCTCTTTACTTCAAAGGATCTTCAGAAGGATACCCTCTGGTAATTTAACATAGCTATGAAAACGAATCCTTTATTATTAGATGATTCACTGATGAAAAATGGTGATTTTCCATGGCTTTTCGTATGTCATGTAACATTAAAGCATAGTGAAGCAATTTTTTAAACCATCCATATAAATTGATGCTTTATACCATTTTATACCCATGATTTTTTGGGGGGGGTGGTGGATGTTCCCGGAGCCACGGACCCCCTGCGTCCTGGCGGTGATGTACTTCCTGGTCTCGGTGAGATGATTGCTGGCAGCCTGTTCGGCCTGATAAAAACGAGGCAAAACGGTCCCCATCGCCAATAAAACAGAACGAAAAAACAGAACTATTGGGGTTAGTTATGGTTAGTATCACCAAAAAAAAACAGAACTAAACCAGAAGCACATGAACCGGCACCTTGATGGTCGCTTCCGATGCAGCCCGAATCTCCTGGTGACTCCCAAAGACACCATCGGAGGCTGCCTTTGAAAAGATGGAATCTGGCCAAAGATAGAAAATACTCTGAAGTCAAAAAAAAACTGAAATGTATAGTCTGTATAGTATTCAAACTTCCATCTGATTCCATCTCCAGGAAATTCATCGAATTTTTGCTTTATATAAATGTTCTTCCACTACACATTCAAGCAAAAGCTTCCCCGACTCTGTTTCTTTGGAAATCGAACCTCCGGAAACTTCCCTGAATCTTTTCCGGGAGTTGTCCTTAAAACAGGGAATACCTCCCAAAAACAACAAAAAAATGGAGAAAACTCAATAAGATTGTTGGAAAATCTCTCAAAGATTGCTGAGTCAACACATCCCCGTTTACAATGCGGGTAAACCCAATCATAAACAACAAGAAACCATCCCCCCATTCCTACCAGCCCCATCCCCCAGCCCCCCCAGCCCCGGCCCCAGGTCCTCAGAGCTGAGCTGTGTCAATTTCTCGTCGTCCATCAGCGCCTTGGCTGCCTCTGCCACGGCCTTGCCGAGCTCCTCTGCCTGCGTTCGCCGTGGCGAAAGCATCGATGGAAATGGTGGGGAAGTCTGGAAAAGCAACCAAGATGCTGACAGATGTTGGGGTGATACATGATGATACATGATATATACATGATGATACTTGAACAAAAGTACGTTTAGAAAAAAACCCAATAAGATTTATGTTTCAAGGTGTTGCCGAAGAGTTTAAAAAGGGGGAAGTGAAGCATCTACATCCCATGGTCGCTGCCCGTGGCCTTCTTCACTTCATGCTCAGCCTCTCTGACAGTCACTGCCTCAAAGAGATGCCAACCATGCAAGGTGCGGGGTCTTTTTTGTGGGTCAACTATAGCATTTATGGTAGATATCTCCATGTGGCAGTGTGTCAAAACCTTGTACCCCTGGTGAACATCAAAATAGCTGGTAAATGGATGTTCATCCCACTAAAAATGGTATTAATAGGTATTGATCCATACCCATGTATCTCTGTATATCCATAGTTCATGGATGTCAGTGGGGCTTGATGTGTTGATGCCATATTATAACCCCAAAATGAGTAGATCCGAGGGGTCTAGGGTTTCATTACATGCAGTGGCAAGGGATTGATTTCCAGGCACGGGTTTCTCAATACACTGCACCATTCTCCAAGTTTACCCCGCCTTTTTCCGCTCTGCAGTCGCCTTTTTGAGCTCATTTAACCTGACCCACAGTCAGACAACACCACTCTGCAAGCGGGAGGCCACCTACATGCTCGTGGGCAAAGTTTCTCAAGACACCTAAAGAAGGAAACATGTGCCCTCGATCCCTCCAACGAACTGGATTGTTTACCATTTTTCAGATCCCATTTGGAGGTTTCCTAAAATGGGAGGTACCCTCAAATCATCCATTTATAGATGGATTTCCATCATAAATCATAAACCATCCATTTTGGGGTACCTCCATTTATGGAAACCCCCCATTTGGGGATAGCACTGGATGTTGAATCCAATGCCGGCCTCTTGGTGTGAGTCTCCAAGTCGGACTGGAAGGCTTTTAGCTTGGTCTGTGCGGAGTGCTTCAGCTGGGTGGAATGTGAAGGGTTTGAGTGGAAGGGCTATGTTCAAACAACCCAGCAAGGATTTCGTAGGGGATGACTTGAGATGACCTCAACTTCAAGCTGGACAAAAGCACCAGTTTTGAGATTTTTTTCAACCTGTCAGACTCTTGCTGCTAACCTAGGTGTCTTGGTCAAATGAATGATCTTGAGATGGCATCCCAGCTATGTCATCATCCCAACATGTTTCCCTCATTCACCTCTCTTCGAACCAGTCTGCTTTGCTGGCTTATATTTCATGGTTCCTACACCCCATCTTTTCCACCCAAAGTGTGAAAAACCAGTGGCTACCGCAGAGCCGAGTCCCAGTCATCACATCTGATTTTCCCAGTGTTGACTCAACTTTTCACGCTCTATGGCCCATAGATGCTAGGAAGTGGAATTGGGTTTGGTTCAACACCTAACCACTGAGTTTTGGAAATCTATAGTATCAAACCATACTGGTTTGGGTTTTCCAAAACTTGACCCCCTACCCAAAGTGGCACCAATAAATAATAAACTGCAAGAAACGCCCCCAGCGCCCTTCACACCTGAGCTTCTTTGCTCAGTTCAGGGGTGAAGCGTTTTGCCTCCACCAATTTCCTCAAGCAGCTGGGCGTGTCTGAAAATATCAGCTGATTCCTCAAAATAATGGCAATTTTACACGGTCAAATGACTGTCTACGCCCCTGGATTTGGAGTTTCATAGTTTTAGACAAACTCGGTTGGCAAACCCTGGAGTGCTCTTATGGATTGGTTCCACTGGTTGGTTGCTGTAATTCAAACAGAAACCCGACGGCGGGAACCCGACGGCAGGATGCGGGACATCCCCGCGGTTGCTTGAGGAGTTCCTCTATAGTAATCATGAATTCAAATTGTAAAACTCCGAACGATGGTTTCGGGTCACCAGAATTTGAGTAACTGCTCAAGTGCTTTTCCTTCATTACTCACCAATGCAATTTTCCATCCCAGCCGAACTCCAACCTCCAGAACTCGTTGCTGACTGATTAGGTGTTTTCGAATCTGAGAGGCCCACGTTGCCATGAACATTCTGGCGATTGAAGCCTAAAGTGCAAGACAGGTCTCGGTGAACTGCAATCCGGGCGATCCCAAACTTATGTTTGAGAAGTAAAAATGAACACTCACTACAGTTGGTGAGCAGGCAAGTGTGAACCCACTCATAAGGATAAAAATCTGGAGTTTAGCACAACTCTTGATGTCATTTTCCCCAGGTATGTGGGATTTCAATGGATTTCAGGCAACATATGGCAACAAGTTGGACCAGGCACTGCCGTGTTGGCCGCAGTGGATGCGGTCTCCACGGCCTGGCGTTTCATGATTTTCATGTCACCAGGATCCAACGGGTATCCACAAGCTCTGGCATGGAGCAGATGCATCCGATTCTGCTAGGCTGCTAGATCTTATGGAGAACCGGAGAACCGGAGAACCTCGCAACTTTTTCGGGGCAGGTCAAGCACGGCGCAGGGCAGTGCACGTGCAATCATGTGTAGGGCGATCACTGCATACCATCCTCGTCGATCACATGCAGTGGATTCCCCGAGAACAGCCCGCGCTTCTGCGCCACGGCCAACTGTTTCCCTCCTCAACAGGGTGGGGCTGAAGCCATGTAGCCAAGTCGGATGATTATTTATGGCTATTTAATGGTATTTAGGTATACCTCAGAAATGACACCCCCAACCAGAAATCTTCAACTGCCACAAACCTGCGGTCCTGGCGTCGTCGACCGGATTTCGTGCACCGTCTTAGGCGGAGCGGCGAAGGTGGATAGTTAATATACTGTAGGGGGCCAGGTATGGCTGGAAATTGGGTGCACTAAAAATCTTCAGCGTGCAAATACACACACACACACTACATATACCGCATATAACCTATAATATCATGCATCTATGGTCTGTATATATACACATAAAGTCTTATACGTTACAGTATACATATGTATACGTATGTGTATATCCGCCGACCCCTGCCGACAGCAGGGGGAGCGCGTCAGAGAAGAGATTACAAGCAACAAGTGTTGTGCAGTGCAAGTGAGGGGCAAGCGAGGGGGGACAGAAAGGGAAGCCAGGTGCAGAGTAAGAAGCCCAAAAAAGGAAGCGAGAAAGGAGGGGCAGTCTCAGCGAACGTAGCAAGCGAAAGAAGCACGAAACAAGAAGTTAGAAGCAAGAATGCAGAAGCAAGAGTAAACGAGCGACAGAAAGTAACGTTTGGCACTCTGGGCTACGGGCCGCGGGCCCAATCCGTCTTTTCAGGGCCATGGTGTTTGAGCTCTGCGAGGGTGTCCCTTGACCGGAGCCGGGCCGCACGAAAGCCAGCTGTCAGACAACGCAGGCAAGTTGGCAGTTGGCAGGGCAGGAAAGGACGGGAAAAGCAAGCTTTGAGCTGCAAGACGACGCAGGCAAGTTGGCAGTTGGCAATGCAGGAAAGGACGGAAAAAGCAAGGTTTCAGCTGCAAGACGACGCAGGAAAGTTGGCAGTTGGTAGTGCAGGAAGGCAGGGAAAAGCAAGGTTTGAAGCTAGTTTCTAGTTTCTAGGCAGTTCAGAAAGCAACGTTTGGAACCATGGGCTGCCGACCGCGGGCCCGATCCGTCCTTCGCTGCCATGGTGTTTGGTGCTGCGACACGGTCTTCCAAGAGAGCACGGGCAAGCTGGCAGGTGGCCGATGAAGGGCGGGCAAAGTCCAAGTTTGGAGCTAGTTTCTAGGGAGTTCAGAAAGCAACGTTTGGAACCATGGGCTGCCGGCCGCGGTCCCGATCCGTCCTTCGCTGCCATGGTGTTTTGGTGTTGCGACACGGTCCTCCAAGAGAGCACGGGCAAGCTGGCAGGTGGGCCGATGAAGGGCGGGCAAAGTCCAAGTTTGGAGCTAGTTTCTAGGGAGTTCAGAAAGCAACGTTTGGAACCATGGGCTGCCGGCCGCGGGCCCGATCCGTCCTTCGCTGCCATGGTGTTTTGGTGCTCCGACACGGTCCACCAAGAGGTGGGCAAAGTCTCCAAGAGAACACGGGCAAGCTGGCAGGTGGCCGATGAAGGGCGGGCAAAGTCCAAGTTTGGAGCTAGTTTCTAGGGAGTTCAGAAAGCAACGTTTGGAACCATGGGCTGCCGGCCGCGGGCCCGATCCGTCCTTCGCTGCCATGGTGTTTTGGTGCTGCGACAGGGTCCGCCAAGAGAACACAAGCAAGCTGGCAGGTGGCCGATGAAGGGCGGGCAAAGTCCAAGTTTGGAGCTAGTTTCTAGGGAGTTCAGAAAGCAACGTTTGGAACCATGGGCTGCCGGCCGCGGGCCCGATCCGTCCTTCGCTGCCATGGTGTTTTGGTGCTGCGACAGGGTCCGCCAAGAGAACACAAGCAAGCTGGCAGGTGGCCGATGAAGGGCGGGCAAAGTCCAAGTTTGGAGCTAGTTTCTAGGGAGTTCAGAAAGCAACGTTTGGCACCATGGGCTGCCGGCCGCGGGCCCGATCCGTCCTTCGCTGCCATGGTGTTTTGGTGCTGCGACAGGGTCCGCCAAGAGAAGACAAGCAAGCTGGCAGGTGGCCGATGAAGGGCGGGCAAAGTCCAAGTTTGGAGCTAGTTTCTAGGGAGTTCAGAAAGCAACGTTTGGAACCATGTCATGGTGTTTTGGTGCTGCGACACGGTCCTCCAAGAGAACACGGGCAAGCTGGCAGGTGGCCGATGAAGGGCGGGCAAAGTCCAAGTTTGGAGCTAGTTTCTAGGGAGTTCAGAAAGCAACGTTTGGAACCATGGGCTGCCGACCGCGGGCCCGATCCGTCCTTCGCTGCCATGGTGTTTTGGTGCTGCGACACGGTCCTCCAAGAGGCGGGCAAAGTCTCCAAGAGAACACGGGCAAGCTGGCAGGTGGCCGATGAAGGGCGGGCAAAGTCCAAGTTTGGAGCTAGTTTCTAGGGAGTTGAGAAAGCAACGTTTGGCACCATGGGCCGCCGCACGCGGGCCCGATCCCTCCTTCGCTGTCATGGTGTTTTGGTGCGGTCCTTCGAGAGGACAGGGGCAAGCTGGCAGTTGGCCGAAGGGCGGGCAAAGTCCAAGTTTGGCTGCGACAGGGTCCTCTCACCGCAGCCGGGCAGGACGAAAGTCAGCTGCAAGAGGACACTAGCAAGCTGGCAGGTGGCAGGGCAGAAGGGCGGGTAAAGTCCAAGTTTGTAGCTAGTTTCTAGGCAGTTCAGAAAGCAACGTTTGGCAGTAGGGGCTGCGAGTCGGAAGCTAGCCGTGTCATTTGTGCAGTGGTGCCGTCACGGTCCACTTGTCCCGGCGGCATGTGCGTCCGGCACTGTTTTTGTGCTTGATTTGGATTCGTTCGTCGACCTTTTCTGAATAAACGCTTGCCCCGCAGGTTGCTGGCAGAATGGGCATTGGTACCGGCGCATCTGTTTGCCGTTCAGAGTTTTCACATCCAGCTCTGGCGAGCACGGTTCTTCCTGGCTGGCGGCGCTTGCGGTGGCAGCCTCAGGGCTCACGGAACCTCTTGCGCACTCTGGCCGTCGATCTTTGCAGCTTTGCATTTCGTGGGTGAGCGCCATCGTGGTTTTCTGCCCGGCCCTTCCCAAAATTAGTTGGCGCACTTCGTCTATGATGGCCTCTTGCCGTCGACGTTTCTCGCGCTGCCGTAGCGGTTTCAACCGTTTGTTTGCGCGATGGGCAATTTGACACACCAAGGCTAAGCTAATGCATGTGTTGCAACGTTGCGTGCCATTATGACTGTAATCGCGGCTTTCGCGCCAAGCCGTAAACTCTGCGTATGGTTTTCGCTCTAAGCATTCGGCGCAAGACCAATGCCCCCGCAGCTTCTGGACGCAGTCGCGGCAACAGCGCCTGTCAGCATTGCAAGCTTTCCAGGCGGCAGGGCCATAGTCTTTCTCTGCCTTGGGAACCCCACATTTGAAACATGGTTTCTTGGCTTCGCATGTCAAACACACACGGTAAAAACTACATTGACGTTGCCGATGCTTTTCTGGAAAATTGGTCTCGACATGCCACAGCTTGCAGACGTTGCATTGCCATGGCGTCCCGGCATCTGCGTAATGCTTTGTGCATTCGCGACAAACGCGATCTTTGTCGTCGCGCTTCCACTGGCCACCGGTGAAAGCTGTAGATGGCTTGCGCTCTGCGCAGGTTGAACACGCGCGTTCTTCACAATATTTGGGAGGCAGCAGTAGAAGCAACGGTAGTAGCGATGGGAGTAGCAGTACGACGACCAGAAGCAGTATATATTAGGATAAAAAGCATCGTTAAGGCCAGCATCAGTCTTTCTTCAACGAGAAAGGGGTATGGATCTGGGGTATGGATCAAGGGTATGGATCAAAGTATGGATCGGGGGGTATGGATCGTGTGTAGCTTTGGCGCCTTGATCCATACCTTGTATTTTGACTCGTACCCATATAGTTTTCTTGTAGGTTCGGGAAGTGACGTATGTGTCAACTCCCCCTCTCTCCCAGGGGTCGGCGGCAGGGGGCGTAGCCCCTTAATATATATATATATTATAATACAGTGATGTGGGTATACGTATTGCAGAAAGTGACTGGACATCTCAGGTTATCTGGGCAAAACAATGTTTGACACACCAAGATGAAACATGGCGCATAGCTTCCATACAGGGCTACAGAGATGAAGTTGCTCCGATGGTTGTGGATGTAGGTGTCAGATGGATCATCATGGATATGCAAACCTGGTTGCTGACTTCAAACCACAAATGGTAGCGGATTTTTCGGATACTACCATGTTTGCAAGGAAAACAGGAAAAAAAAACATATGTGAAAGCACCAGAAACGAATGCATACTCCTCGGCCCTCAAATAAGTGCAACCTCTTCATCACATTTGGCTGGATCTCCGCCCTGTCAAACAAAGGGTGCCCACCACTCCTGAGCGCGGGCCAGCGGCTGGTGACATGGTCCACATTGATCCCAGAAATCCGCTGATGCACATGACCAGTGGAATTCATAGCTTGGGAATCACAGTCATGTGAGTATTTTTCATTGAACCAAAAACCAATCATTTTTCTCCAGAGAGCGAAGCTAATTGGGATTTTTACTTCAAGATAGGCAGAGTTGCGATCGAAGAATCCTGAGCTCTGGCAGCTTGGTCGGCCATGGAGACTACCATCCCAGACATCAATGGCACTCCTTGGCTCAAATCGGAGGATGCCTTATCCTTTGGGACCCATGGATGGAAATAGACACCTGTTGGTATGGGGGAAAACACTCGAAAAAAATGCTGGACATCAGCCAACTTGATCATCTTTTCACTTGCAGCTGAGTTTTGGTTGTGCAGTGTAAAATGGAAACCTGCAAAGTAACTAGATTACCCTCTTTCACAGCTACATGCACGGGAATTGCTTACAGACGGATGCCAAATACATTGAATAGATTTGAATAGACTATATAAATCTATATACCCTCTGGTAATGACTAACATAGCTATTGAAAATGGCCATTTATAGTGGATTTTCCCATTAAAAATGGTGATTTTCCATAGCTATGTTAAATTACCAGAGGGTAAACCATCCATTTTGAGAGTCAAGAACTTGATGGAGTTCCCCAGGATCCCATGGAGAATCTGGGGTCCAAATCGGACTTGGGTACCTTGGGCTTCGGGGGGGGCCTTTCATTCAATGACTTCAAACCAAGGATCTCGTTGCCATACATCATCTTCTGACTCCCTGGCTGCCTTAGCAGCTCCTGGCCGTGTGAAGATGTCTGGCAGGTTCCGGGAGTTCCATCCAGATCTCTTTTGAGAGAAGGGTCAAAAAAACATGTTCAGCTCAGGAAAAAAAACACCAACATCATCAAAAGCAACATCGAACGTCAGCAACATATATCCAGACGTCATCCATGCTTCTTGGTTGCATGTCTCCTTTGCTTTAGGGACTTTCCCCAGTCACAAAAAAAAACACAAAAACGGCTCCTCCTTCTCCTCTTCGCTGCCAGAAGGATGAGATCCTGGGCTGCATTGATGTTCCAGCTCTGAAAGCAAAAGATGGAAGGCCAAAAAAAAGATGGTCAGTCCCAGGAAAATCCTGAAAATCACGGCAATGCGGAGTGATGCAAAGGTAGCAACCAGAAAAGGTTCTAATTGGGCTCAAATCAGGTCGCTGCCCAGGCGCAGCCTTTTTGCTAGATTCGAACTGTGCACAGCTGCGATGTGCAAGGAAAGTGAGACATGCCAAGTGCCAAAAACATGCACCAAACTGCCACACTCACATCCCAAAAGGGGAGTGTTGGCATGTCGAATTAGCTGGCGCAGCCAGTTCTGTGTGATGTACTGGCGCTGCCAGGGCTCGTTTTGGCGCTGCCAAATCTTTTCTTACGGCGCTGCCGTTGTTCCTTTCTTAGGCGCTGCCTGTGCTCCTCAAGCTTTCGTTCTGCTTCGGTCTCCTTCAGCGACACGGTGTTCTCCTGACAAAACTGCTCCCACAAGGTGCCACGCATCTTCTTGGTGAGCATGTCAGCGAACTGCCTGTGGGTTGGTACCCAAAAGACTTCGAATGCCTTCTGCTCGAGCATGTCCTTTGCCACGAGCAGGTCCAACATAGTTTGTCTTTCTGAAGGTATCTGACCTGTTGTGTGTAGGTGGTCATACAGCGACCTCGCGTCGGTCAACAGACCTCCTCCATGCTTGAGCTTCGCTCTCCAATCCTCTTTGACTTCAGTGTTGCCTGTCCACAAGATATCCAAAAGAATCCTGATGTACAAGTGGCGGTCAACCGTCAAAGACATGCTGTTGCTCTCTGCGGCCATTGAACTTCTCACCACCCTCGTCGACCTGGAAGTCTGATATTCAATGGGTATGGCCAGCTGTGGCCCATTCTTCACACCATCGGTGGTCAAGAAATGAATTCCACCCAGTTGCGACCTTCCATCTTCTTCCTTTCCAAGCGACGCATCAAAGAAGCTCAGCACATAGGGCTTTCCTTTCATAGGCGGGTAGTAGAGGGGACTTCTCTCCGCCTCAACCTCCTCCAGAAAACTCCCATGCAGTTTCACTGCTTCTTTGAAATCATCATAGGTGGCCTTGTTCACCCTCTGCGCAAGGGCACTCACCTCATAGAGCTTCTGCGGCATGGCTTGTTGAGCCGGCCCGCGCAACCTCATAGTAAGTTGCCGGTACCGCGTCACATCCTCCGGCACCAAGGGATCAGCACCTCCCTTCTGTTGAGGTTCTGGCACTTTAATACCCTTGACATAGGCACTCATGTCATCATACAAGCCAGGTCGCTTGCCGGTGCGCATATCCACACCTAAGAAGGTAAGTGGCACCTGTTTCCACTCTTTGATTCGAAAGAGTCCATTGAGTTCCTCCTTGAGCTTCAAGTAGCGAGGATCCCTGGGGTGACCCAGTAGCAGGCCGTCATCCACATGCAAGCAAAGGATCGCGTAGCTCTCTCCATTTTCTGATGCCACGAAAGTGGCTCGAGCTGCTGGGATCTCCTTCAGTGCTGTCTTGTGAATCAACTCCACAGCACGAAGATACCAAAGGCGTGGTGCCTCGGTCAATCCATATGCCGACTTCAGCACCCTCAGCAACTCATAGGGTAGAATGGCATCCCAGCCATCGGTGGGTGGTAGGCCATCCACTGGGGCCTTCACATAGAGTTCCCGCTGCGTCTCCAAACCACTCAAAAACGCAGTGGTCACATCAAAAGACCACACGGTCCAGTTCCGAAATTGGCCCACTGCTTTGGCCAATCGGACGGAGGTCAAGGACGTAGTCGGACTATCCGTCCTGAAGAATCCCAAATTGGGATCTGTGTGTCCAGGAATCACCAATCGGCTCTTGGCCAATATCGGCAGCAGCATCTTTTGCTGCTTGTTGGTGCGAACCATCCTCATTGGCGATCGGAACACGTTGTACTTCTGTACCCTGCCCTTTTCCTCAGGTGTAAGCCTCCTCACCACACCATTCTGAATCCACTGGGACCACTCCTTGCGATCTGCTTCTCGAAAGAGCTTCTTCTCCTCCTCATTGAAGAAGCGTGGGTCCAGTTCCTTTCCACTCTGTTTCATCTTGAGCAGCATCACCTGACTCAGCAAAACATCCTTCAGTTCAGCCTGCCATTCTCGTTCGAAGGCTCTCCTCTGTCTTCGGCTCCATTTGACCTCATAGATCTCTCCATCCTTCTCCACGTAAGATTTCACCCGCTCATCTCGATTCGCAGGCTTTTCCTTGTAGTACATGGAGATGCCACGCCATGGAAAACTCGCCTTGCGGCGTGGATTCTGTTCCACCTCCTTGGTGTTCTCTTCCACCACAAAGGCATCTCGTGGGTCCTGACCGATGAGAATGCTCAGCCTTGCCCTGCTTGCCAACTTTGGTGGCCGTGCCAGCTTCTTTCTCGGCTGTCGATGCAGTCGCGCAGAAGTCAGGGGCAGGCCTGTCAGCTCCCTCAAAAGGCCCAACTCATATTGAGTCACCCACTCATTGGCTCTGCCATCCTCTGTGTGTAAAGTCCCAAGCATCACCTGAACCACAAGCGACTCCGTCACTCTTGCTCTTTTTCCAGGTGGCGCTGCTGGCTCTTGATCTTCTTGATGAAGTCTCCTTTTCAATGGTGCGGGCACATCATCCAGCAGCATTCGCCTGTGTGCCTCTGACTGCTGTCGTGCCAGCTCTGCCTGGAACTCCTCCTCAGTAGGTTCCGCGGCCGCTGCCGGCGCCTGTCCTCGCTGCTCCTCATCCTCCTCAGAGTCCTCAATCTCAGGGACTGGTACCTCTTCTGCTCTCGGCTCTGCCGGAACATCCTCGATTGCTTGGTGTTCCTCGTGCTCGGACGCAGCCGGCTCATCTTGTTCTTCCTCATGCTCGGACGCGGCCGGCTCTCTATCCTCAAGCGCAAGTTGCCTTCGTTGCCTTCTGCGCTTTGGCACATCTCTGGAATCTTCTAGCGCTGGCGCAGCCAGAGTTCTTTCCTCTTCATCCTCTCCCGGCGCAGCCGGTGCTGATGCACTAGCCGCTGCTGCTGGAGGTGCTGATTGATGGCGCTGCCTTCTTCCAAGCCTCACTTGGCGCGTCCTCCGCTGCTGTAGTTGTGCGGCCCTCTGTACTCTGTCTTGCATCAAGTTCCTCACAGCTCTGGTACCCTGCATCATCAGCCTGGCACGCTTTGATTCCTCAGGCTCTGGTGGTGCAGGCTTCCTCTTTCGGGTTGGCCTTCTTGGAGGTGGTGCTCGAGGTCGGAGATCTCGAAAGAGATTGGGGATATTGCCGTCTCTCAAGGCATCACCCACATTGTCCATATCTTCTCTGACGGCCTCCGTTAGAGCAAGCTCCTCTTTCGTTGAGAGGCGCATGTTCTCCTCGGCGACCAGAAGTAACCTTCCTCGCCATGAGATGAAGTAGCGTTTGCTCTTCTCCCTCGTGAGCACTGTTGCAGGTCCCCGCCATGTGCCTCCCTTCCGATACCTCACGGCCTTCTGTGAGCTCGGGACCCAGAAGTAAATCTGAGCTCCAGGGACAAATGGCCCAGACTGGGATACTGCTGGTTTTCTCAGCACTGATCTCCTCATCTTTTCTCTCACGTCATTCCTGATCAATGCTACTCTGGCAGTAGTCCTCATACGATGAGCTCTGGATACCTCGCTCTCCACGCTCAAACCTTCCGCGAATGAGAGCTTGACTTCCTCATCATTGAGGGTCGGCCATTTGCACTCATATCCAAAGACTCGTTGGTTGGGCGTAAAGCCGTCTTTCGTGAGGGTAGCGTTCTTCGCTTGTACGGCTGCTGCTAAACCCTCCTTCATGGCATGGTAGCCCTCCAGGCTATGCTCATGCACAATCGCCTGCATCAGATCTGCCAGCAAACCTCCATGTCGCTCTCCTGCTGCAAGCTGCCACCCTGCGTGAGAAGCTGTGATGTCCGTGGGGATACTCATCTGTTCGAGGTCGAGCAGAAAGGTCTTCTCGAACTCCCCACCTTGATCCATTGTGATCTTTGCTGGAGGTCCATAGATGGATATCCAGTGTCGGAAAAACTTGTGGGCAACATACTGGCTCTGCTTGGTCTTGATCATCACCGCATCGTGCTTGACCGTTCCAAGGTCCAGCATACTCAAGCAGGCATAGCGTTTCCGACGGGCATCATAGACGTACTTGATGTCGATGTGAAGATGCAAATTGAACCCGTAGGGTCGCACCGACGGCGCAGCCGCTTGTGGGTGCTTGGGCGCAGCCCTTTGTGCACATACGGGGCATTGCCAGCGCTTGGCATAGCGGATTGCATCATCCGTAGCCCCGCTCATCTTGAGCATTCTAACCAATGTACTTCTGGACGGATGGCCCAGTTGGCGATGGGAAAATTCCACGGCCTTCTGCACTTCTCGTGGAATGGGATGTCTCTGGTCGTCATCCATTTCCTGCTGCAGGTCTTCTTCATCCTTCTTCAGCGTTTCATCCAGGACCTGCTCCTCTTCTCGAACGGCGTCATCGCCATCAATCATGTCACCTTCCGACATGACACCTTCTTCTCCAAGATCCTCGACCAGGACATTTGGCTGGTTCCTCATAAAGTTCTCTGCGCCATCCATGATGGCGTTGCAAAGTGCAATGGGATAACCTCCAGCCCATTCACTGAGAGCTTGCCATCTCCCACTCTCATCCTTGAACTTGCCCTCTATTGGCCAATGCTCATGGCTTCCGTCGCACTTCAGCCTGAGTGGTGCTACCACCTCTTCATTGCCCATGAATCTCGTCCTCTTCCTCAGTGGCACCTTGTTCACTGGATGAACAAGCCCATAGCGGCATTGATCCGCCACAGCTTCGGCACATCCATGAAATGCCTCCTGAATCTCTTCGGTCTCCCAAGCTAAACTTGGATGTGGGTTCTCACCCAGCACAGCTTTGCCTCTCCTCCTCTGCCACAGGACCACTTTCCTCGTGAAACTCAATAGTGTCCTCCTGGCATCTATGCGCTTCCTTCTCAGCGCTCTCCTCTGTTGTGGCGTCTTGACGTTGAGCCGCTGAAGAGGGCTCCAAGGACCGCAAGGCCATGCCACAACTATCACATCAGGGTCGATCTTTTCCAGATAGGCAAAAGCTTGGCGTTGGACTTCTGGAGATCGGATGTCCCAACCAGGCAAAGTCACTGGCTCGAACGTCTCCCATCCGCGGGCATATGCCACTCTGGTCACCATGCAAGACCAGGTGTAGATCTCGATCAACTTCCAGGTGAGGCTCATCCGCAGGCTCCGCCTGAGTGGTGGCTTCCGGCGATCCACCTCATAACTCGCAGCCTCCCCAATGGTCTTGGACGCAGCCAGTAATCTTCTCTTTTGCCCTTTTGTGAGCACTTCTTCGTCGGCGCAGCCGGCTTCAGCGACCAAAATGGCCTCATGCTCCGTAGACTCCTCACTGCTGCTTCCTTCGCTGTCCTCTGATTGGACATCATTGGCATCTTCTTCCGAAATTGAATTGGCATCGGAAATTGTGCCAGTAGAGGTCCCTTCTTCCGTGTCGCTGGCACCTTGATCAGCTCGGAACGCCTCTGCCGGCAGTCCCAGCTCGTCCCATTTGCGAATGGCCTCTTCGTCCATCCTTTCTTGCCACAAGGCCGCTGCCTCATCAAATTCTTCATTGTCCAGCTCCACAGTCTCTCGGGAATCCTCCTCGCTGGAAGCTTCCAGCTCCATTTCGTTTTCGATCGCTGTAATCTGCTCTTGAATCAGAGCCATACTGTATGGATCCACCTCCAGTCGCTGCTTCAACTCCGCCAAATCTGGCGTTCTCCAATGGTCCATGGTGGCACCTTTGCGGGGCAAGACATTCAGCACGGGGTGTCGAGACGGCGACAACCTCAAAGTCTGCCAGCTGCCTCCATTGATGGATATTCCTTGCTTTGCAAAATCCATTCGCACAGCCCATCGTGCCAGTTCCGACGGTCCTGCAAGGGCTGGACAGTCCGCAACCCGCTTGTCCTTCTCGGACTCCACCACTGCCAATCGCAGCCAAGATCTGGTTTCTCCAACCCAAATCGGGTACACCTTTGCTTCCGTTGACAAAACTGGGCTTCCTGCTCCAAAACGGAAGATCTCCTCATGCTCGACGGTGGTCCATTCCAGGCCCAAAGCTCTCAGGTGACGTTGATATCTTTCGTGCCACCGTTGGCCTGCTACTGCCGTCCTGCATCCCGTGTCTAGGATCAAATCCATTGTGGGAAGCTCCTCATCCTCCGCCGTGTTTGCCATCAGGCTTCCATGCATCTTGCTCCAATAGAGCGCCTTCTTCAACTTGCAGTTGGTACAGTCAGCCCAATGCGCTGACCCATTTGCTCCCCATTTCAGAAGGGAGTAGTCATGTGTGCATGCTTCTTGTGCTCCACGGGGAATGTCCGAAGCTTCTGACAGCAGGATTCTGCCTCTTGCATTCAAGGCATTGTCGTACAATTGGCGACGAAACTCCTCCAGTCGCTTCTTCCTCACCGGCAGGGGTACATCTTCTGTGTTTGGCCCTGCACTACTGGACGCAGCCAGAGATGGTGTACTGGACGCAGCCAGAGATGGCGTTCTGGGCGCAGCCCGCGACTTCGTTGTTGCTCCTCGGACAGGCTCTGCCTGATGATATCCCTGTCTCCTCTGCGCAGGAAACTCCTCTGGGACATGCCGTGCGGCGTCTTCCTCCTCCTCATTAATCAGCTGCTTCAATAGTGTCTTCTTCTCGGCCTTGGTGAGGTTCGGCAGGATAGCCAAGATCTCTTCAGGGTCCACAGCCATCTCAGCATCCCCTTTCTTGGCCTTCTGCTTTCGACGTGCTCGCCTGAGCTTCTTCTTTTCTTCTTCATCCTCAACAGCTTGCTCCAAGGCCGTGAGGACGGCTCGAAGCTTCATCTTGGTCTTCTTGCTTTTTGGCGGCCGTCCAGCAGAAGCCGGTGCTGCTACCAGCGCTGGGGCCAACTCCTCAGAACTGCTCGAGGATCCCGATTCCTCACTCTCGTACTCTTCCAGCAGATCCCAGCCGCCAGTGCCAACCATGAAGGTCCAGTTGACCCTAGACACATTTACTCGGCCATGGTCATCTCCTCGCTTTGGAGATTCTGTTTCCTCCTTGGTCGTAAAGAGGGTTCCAGCCTCTTCCTTGACCGATGAGCTCCCTTTTGAGGATGCTCCTGTCGATCTCGCTGGCACCTCTCCGCTCTGGGTCTTGCTGCAAATGGCGTCACCACGCCAATGGCCATACTTGCCGCACGCTGCGCATTTCGAAGACTTCTTCCGATCCTCAACTTTCCTGAAGTCTGGGGGCCTCTCTTTGCCCTTCTTGTTCTTGCCTTGGCCCTTGTAGCCACGCCCCTTTCTCATCTCGGAGCTCTGCTGTTTGGCCCTCCATCCAGCCGCATAAGCATCCTTGAGCTCATGCACAGTCCACTCTTCTTCTTCTTCCTGCTCTGTTTCATCGTCATCACACTGCTCTCCGCGGGCATCGGCTGGATAAGCTTCTTGCTCCAGGTCTTCATTGTCGAGGTCTTCATCATCTTCCTCTTCTTCGAAGGACTCTTCCTCCTCCTTTGTCTCTCCTTCGCCAGCTTCGGCCACATGGGCACCGTGGCGCCTTTTACCATATCCTCCATGGCCTCGGCTCTGCCGGTAGGTCTTCTTCGCGGGGCGGTACCTCAGGTCTCCTTGTGCTCCTCGGCTTTGATACTTCTCAGCTTCTTCAACATGCAAGTTTGCATGGCGAAACCGGAGGACCTTCTCAATCCTATCGGATCGGTATTTGCCCCCCGAGGCAAAGAATACCTCCATGCGCTCGCGCTTCGACAACGCTGCTCTCGCCAGCATTCTCTGGGCGAAGCTTTTGTCGCTGATTTTTGTCTCTGTATCTTCTCTCAAGTACTCATCTTTGAGTCTCTTGAGCTTTGAGAGGTAAGCCGCTATGGACACACCGTGTGCCCGACGGTAGGTTTGGAACTCCTCCTGCTTCTGTTCAAACCTTTCATCTGCTCGTTTCTCATATGCGTCATCCAAGAGTCTCATGATCCTTCCCAGGCCGCCAGGTTCTTGAAGATCCTCAATCTCCAATTGGTTGACGATGGCCCTTGCTTCTCCTGCGGTGTTGAGGTACACCAGAACTGCTAATTCCTCCTCCGTCAGCTTGTACAAGGCCTGCTGAGCCTTGAGGGTCTTCTTCCAATCCTTGTAGGCTGTGCGATTGCCTCTGAACTGGTCAAGCTTGACCGAAGTGAGGTTTGGCCTTCCTCGATCGGCAGCCTGTCTCTTCATACTCTTCTGCAGGAGTTGTCGGACCTCGTCTGTATTGGCGCTGCCATCAGAGGACGCTGCCGCACTTCCTCGGACGCTGCCGGGAACACTACCACGGACGCTGCCGGGTGCACTGCCGCTAGGCGTCAGCTTTGACTTCGCTGCAGTTCGGGCTTTGGTCTTTGGTGGACTGCCCTGCTCGCGCTTCACGGCACTCTCATCCACCGAGGCCGCCCTTGAGCTGAGCTGCGATGACCTCAGCGTAGGGTCATTGGTGGCTGTCTCCTCCTCAGGGTTATTCTCCTCAGCCTCAGAGTAACTCTCATACGTGTACTCATACTCATAGTCGTCATCTCCTCCGTCATCGGGCGGTTCAGCCTTGGTCTTGGCCAGTGGCTGCGGGAGCTTCTTCTTCGGCCTTGCTTTCGCCGGCCCTTCCTTCGGCTTACCCTTCTGCTCCCCTTTTGACTTGCCCTTCACTTCACCTTTGTTCGCAGGAGGCAATGTCCATGAGCCAGTTGAGGCTACAGATGCCATCATATCCTGCACATTCCACCATCCTGGGTTGGACGTCATAGATCCCGGCATCATCTGGGGATTCATCATTGGCAGTAGATTGGGCACCTGCGTGGGCATCATCATCTGCTGCGCTGCCGGCATCATTGGGAACGCTTGTGGTCCTTGTCCCATCACGGGCATCATTTGCGGCATCGGCAGCATCCCTTGCGGGAGTAGATTCTGTGGCATCGTTGGCATCCCCGGCACTGGGCCTCGAAGTGGGACTTGTTGCTGTTGATGCGCCATCCCTTGTTGTCCAAAGCCCTGAGGTGGTAGTCCAGCTTGTAGGCCTTGAAGTGGAGCTCCAGTAGGTAGTCCGAAGCCAGGTGTCACGAACTGCGGCTGGGTCGGACTCCCAGCTTGATCTCCAGCGCAGCCGGTTGCTCCCATGCCGGCTCTGCCAGCTGCAGCTCCGCCGCCATCAGCCGGCTCAGCCGGAGGGTCGTCCCAACTCGGCACAGGGACATGTTGACCCGCCATGGCCCCGTACGTGGGGCTCCGCTACCAATGCGGAGTGACGCAAAGGTAGCAACCAGAAAAGGTTCTAATTGGGCTCAAATCAGGTCGCTGCCCAGGCGCAGCCTTTTTGCTAGATTCGAACTGTGCACAGCTGCGATGTGCAAGGAAAGTGAGACATGCCAAGTGCCAAAAACATGCACCAAACTGCCACACTCACAGGCAAATCATCCAACTGGAGGTCACACTTTGTGCCATGAACAGGGGAACCTACATGTTCTGCCTTTGGATCAGCCAAGCATCGTCCAACTATGAGGAATGCCTGACGCAGCTGTTTTGCAGGCAGCTTTCAACCATTGAACAGCAACAAATTAGAGTGATGGATAATAACGGAGTAATAATGTGCAATAATGTGTAACAATTCCGTAAACCCAATGCCATGAGCTATTCCCCAACAACTTCCCAATTTAATGGCCAGTTTTTACACAATCCGGTTCATGGCATTGGGTTTACCACATTGGTGTCAACCGGCCGCACCTTCAGGTGTTGGTTCGTGGCGGCATCCAGAGCTTCTGAATGCTGTGCCAGGACGCACCAGGGGCAGCATAACGCATAGATGCCTTGGCCAGAGCATGAAGCGGCATAAAAAATGGGTCGCTGCCAACAGATTTGGGAACCTTCAAAAACCCTTGGATTCATAGGGTTTACTTCAATTAGAGATGATAGGGATGTACGGATGGGTCAATCTTTGGGATGAACATCTATAACTACCAGCTAATTTTCTTCACCAGGGTATGAGGTTATGACTCATACCTACATGTCACATGTGCATCACTGGAATGGATGAACATTCCCGCTCAGATGACACGTCAAGCTGCAGTTTGCCAAGGGGTCGATGCGACCTGCTCCCATCGCTTTGCGGATGCTGTTATGGAAATAGAGCAGGGTACATGGCAAACAACAAATGCCTCAGTGTCATCATGACGCCACTGGCAGGTCCAAGTGGGGGGTCAACAATGGGGCGCCATTAAGTCCACCTTTGTCGGGTTTTACGGGCCATTAGGGCCTTAAAAAACCATCCATGGATAGATCCATTTAGGGCCCTCGACCCATACCCAAAGTGCTCAACTCTTTTGCCCAGGAGCTGGCGATGGCACCTTGCCAGTAGGCCAACATGCCTGTGGTCACAACAGCTGCTTGGTTTTCTTGGGATGTTCATTGTTCATGGGGATCCATCCTTGATCGGAAGGTTGTATGATCCGCGAGTACCGAACTATCCGGGGGCCAGTGCTGACATGCCCGTATTTTGGGGCCGCATGACCAAAGCAATGTTTCAAACACTGGGCTTTGGCTCCAACACGCAGTACTCAGGGCACTTTTTAGTACGGAACTATCCTTTCTCCCAAATTTGGAGTTCAATATGGTTCAATAATCTTGAGCCAATCCTACTCAAAGTTTTGTCCCCTCTGCACACCTGTCTTCTCCAGCGTCTGAGCATGTCTCGCATGCTCGCAGTAGAAGGACAACATGCAGTTGGGCAGACTGACGTGTTTGCAGATGCACATCGGAGAATCCTCGCTCTAGGATCAGCGGACACTTAGAATTGATTAAAAGTTGTCTTTTTAGGGCCAAAATATCTATTGAGGGAATATTTTGTTCACAAGCTTAGGCTTCAAATGAATTCAAATGAAAGGTGGCACATTTCTTTCTCATAGTAGAAATGAACGATATAGAATATGATGTGAACCCTTTTCCTTGTTGAATCACAATAGTCTAACCATCATTATGATGCTAAGGGTTCCCAGCTTGGTCCACAGAAACGCTTCAGGGAGTTCCGGTCCTCCAGAATTTCCACGCTGCGGTGGCTGGCATGCGGTGCTTCCTTCAGTGCTTCGTAGTGCCTGACCTCACAGTCACAGGAAATCCATTATCTTGGATGGTACAAGCGGAAAAGCAGTGTAAAACCCATGATTTCCTGGACATGTCTTAAACCAAACCATCGAATCCACCACTGGATGGTCCGTACGTCTGTCCAATGCAGAGATCACTCAGCACCAGGCTGTCCAAAAGTAATAGGCCACCAGAAAGGCAAGAGAGCCACAGGCTCGTCGGAAACTTCGCGCTTCAGGCGTCTGCTCCAAACCGGGCGTGGAAAGATGTGCCTCAAACGGCTCAAAGTTTCTGAGAAACAAATACGTGAGCCCGCACTATTTCTTGAGATTGGGATGGTTAAACCCTATGATACCATAGTTGGGGGAATGGGGAGCCATTTGGCCGGCTACGTTGATGTTAGGGCAGCAGGATTTTGACCCATAGCCAGATTGCCGAGGCTCGGGCCGAATGGCTTAAAGACCACAATGGCACCATGCCCTGCCCCTGCATAGTCCACAGATATGTGGAACTCCCCACTGGCCCCACTGGCAGTTGTCTGCTCTTCAGTGGTACTAACAGTAGATAAGTGGGGATTCCCTCCAGAAATTGGGTGACAATAATATAGATATCTGCTCTGGTCATCTTCAGTAGGTTCCCTCCAGAGGATTTGTAGATGACATACAACACGAGTCTGTGTGGAATCAAGAAAAACGCCTAATTTGAGCGATGTTGCTTGCACAAAAACGAAGGCTTCACCCTCCAAAATTTCTGGCAATCTAACTTAAGTGTTAAAGAATCTTGCTTTTGTGCCATTGATACAGTAGATTATGTTCCCTATTTCCCCATCAAAAAATGAGATGTCCCCTATTTCCCCAACTGCCTTCTCGACGGCCAGGAGGAGCAAGAAAGGCACCTCAAACGATGCAACTGCAGTCAGAAAATTCAAGTCAATGGGGATCGTCCCAAATCGTTGATGAAAAAAGACTTGAAACTACCAACCAGTGCAACCAGGGATGTCTTTCGAAGCTAGAGTATTTCAAGCTCGACAAATCCCATCTACCAAATGCCCAGGCACCAAAACCAGGCAGAAGAGCAGCAGTCGGCAAGGCATAGCGCACCGAAACCATTCCGGCATGGCTTTGGAACGCAACTCCCGCGATGGAGCCATTGGCTATCAGTGACCCAAGCTTCAGTGCTGTTGATGCACTTGCCTTGCATATTCTGATGTGCTGTTGTCCTTCCCGTGGCAAATTATCACCGCTACAGATGGCGTGACTTGGTTCAAATGTTGGAAGGTTCTTGAGCGGAGAAACAGCTCTGACACAGCCCAACTCATTGATATGAAAGCTTAGTTGTGAGTCAAAGTGGTACGCCCCAGATCCCCCTAAACCTGCTATGCCGCTATGCCTGGGCCCCACAACTATCGACCTGCCTTCACTGCCGCCAGTGTCTCGTCCAATGGCAATTCCTCCAAAGGGCTAAGCCCAAGCTGGGCCCAGCGACAAATGGCCAACAGGGGGGCAATGAACTATTGGTTTCAAAAAAGACGGAAAAAAAAACGAGTCAAAAAAAACGAGTCTATCAATTTTGGGTCACAATATGTGTGCAGAAGCATGGTACCTCCCAAGTTTTCTGAGGCTGGGTTTGGACTTCAGGATATATTGGTTCGAAAGGACAAATGCAGATATTCTCTTGTAGCTACTTGTGCCAAGTCGCTCGTGGAGTCTAAATGAGCTTACCCAGAATCTATATCCCGGACTCCAAAAAGACATGTATGCCCCACGGAACCCAGCTATTCAAAAAGAAAACCCGGTTTATATAATCTTATATATATATCATAGGTAAACCATGATATGTAACCTCATGGCAACCCCCATGGTGTTCAGGTTGCACCTCAACACCCATGAGGAAAGGCCCTTCCGCATCGGCGGCCTCGACAGCATCAATCAGAACTGATGGTCCAAGCCCATCACGGGAAAGATTCCAATGACTGATTGGAATTTCATCATTCCAGAGTCGACGGAAAATCTGAAAGGCTTGGATACAATCATTCCCTGTTTACCCTAGGGGATTCCTATGACCGTACCCACCCTTCACTTCGTTTGGTTTGTGAAAAAATGTAGGAGAAGCCCAACAGGTTGGATGGTGAAGAAGCCAACTGATCCGTGTTTCCCAACTGGTCTCCAGTTTTGACCCATAGATATTTATATAAGGGTTTCCCCGCAATTCTGTCAAAGAATCAAGTGGTTCCTGACAATTGTCCGGGAGGGAAAACTTCTGGGACTAAAAAAAATGAAAATTCACCGTCCACTCTCACCGTCCAACTATTATACAGGGGTCCTTCAAAATAGAAACAAAAGTGAATCGTCTTCAAAACAGTAGGGAACATCTGTTCTATATATATATTATATCCTCTTGCGTCCCTGCAAGCCCAGCGTAAGTAGGTTCCAAGCAAGTAGATCCCAATTAAATAAGTTTCTACAGCTATATAGTAGGATCCAAAATAATTTCTTCCAGAACATGTTAACGTTAGGTCCCAAAAAAATACCCTTTTACTGCAAGTGGAATCCCACTCTTGTTTCAAAACAACAGCTAGGAAATTCTAAGACGGATTCCATCAACAAAAGTGGCGTCCCAATAGAATTCCCATTTCCACACCATGGTTTCATCGCCATTAGCTTTCCCCAACATTCCCATCATAGAAACCCCAAACTTGGTCCATGTTTCCTTCATCTCCCAGTGATGTCCACCTCACCTTGGCTACAGTGTCCTGCACCGTTTGCAGCTTCTCAGCTGCCTCCTTCACCAGCACCTGGGGCGGCCCATGGATTCCATGGATTCCGTGCTTTGGTGGTGAGTTTCCAGAAGTCTGTTGAAACATAGAGATGTGAACCCGTGAAAAGGATTATGTAGAAGAATATCAATACATATATATATAATTATATGTATATAAGTATATAAACACAAAGTGTGAAAAGCGGCAAAAATAAGAGCATCCAATTACGAAACCATATGAAGATGCAAGCCACAAAATCGGAAATAAGGAACAAGAAACAAACACCGCCACAAATGTCGGCAAAGTTGTGGTTTTTGCTGTGCCCATGACCCAGCCATGACCCTGGAGTTCCCATGGTACAGCACAGGTAGCCGGCCTCCAAGCCCACTTTCTCGGTGGCTTCCTTCTGCGAGTTTTTCAGGTTCGCTAAGCGCTGCACGGACTGCCTGGCCGAAGTGACCAAACCTCATAACAAGCCACCGTTGGCAATGTTGGAATGTCTCTGGTCTATACATATATATTATATACACACGTATGTATATATATATATATATACATGTATACATACATATACAATCATATCCATTACATGTCTCACACGTCTCTGTACCAAATGTACTGTCTGAATCCTCGTTTGGCACAGAAATGCCTTGCTCTTTCCTCCATCTTTGCCAACTCCTCTTTGGCTAAGCCTGGCTGAGATCAACGCTAAAGTCAAGAGGCAAGCCCCGCGATCAGGAAAACATCTACCATTTGCTTGATTGAACCCAACTGTCTCTGGGAAAACCATGGTTTCTATCAGTACCATGCCAAAAAACATGTGATTTAAGTGTCCCCCTCAACTACACTCTGGTAAACAAACATGGCTTGCTGGAAAAATCACCACTTAGTTCGATGATTTTCCTATTGGAATGCCCATTAAAAAACAAAAACAAAAAAAATGTTTGGGATCTCCCATTGCTGGCCACGTTTGATGACGCCCGAAGGGTAACCATATCATATCACATATTGTTGGTTAAAATCCGAAAAAAAATCTCCCCATGAAAATATCCGATTGATATCCGAAAAAAAAACTATTGCTAACCATCAATATCCCGTTAACTCTTGAATCTCTCCCCATTTCACTACCATTTTTCTTGGTCGGCACCGGGGCACCGGCCTACGGCCGACTTCTTTTTGGCCTCGATGAAACGCAGCACAGAGTGCACGTGCTCACCGGCCTGGGCAAACAGCCAATCCCAGGTCACCGACATGGCTGGGGACAAGTTAATGATGGTTAATAATGGTTAATAATGGGTTTTTTAACTAATCCCAGGTTAATAAATGTTAATAATACTTCAAAACTAGTTGATGATGGTTAATAATGGTTAAGGATACATCACTCAAACATGGCTTGCTGGAAAATCGATCATCTATAGGTGATTTTCCCTGCGAACTAAAACTCCATTTAGTTCGGGTTTTTTTAGAGAATATGATATATCCAGAGAACCGTGAAAATCCAAGATCACCCAGATCACCTGGTTGGTAACAATTGGATCTGCAGACACAGGGGACTGATGGCCCGCCTAACATCTTTTCACCACAGTTACTGACCAGTTCCTCAACATTTGGATGAGCATCCGAGTAGCTGCCGCCCAGTTAGGTGATCTGACACAAGATCTGCTCCTGCTCTATTCCCTGGCACTAAAGCTTCCCACCTTGGCAACAGCTTGTTGCGCCTGCACCATCAGCTCCTGGCAGCTAATCATAGCCAGCTATGAGCACATTGTAATCATTGCAAAATGTCCCCTCAACTTCTTGGTAATTGTTAGATCTTTGTTACAACCGTTTTATAACATCGTTTAACGTCTTGGCCTCCTGAAACTACTGGAAATGACCATTTGGGTTTTATATACTGTCCGCATTCAGGGGAGTGTGCATGTGTATAAGTATGTTTTGTCACAATCCCTTACAATCCCTTCCCCCTTTTTGACATGAAATACTCCAATCGAAACCTACTGGACAATATTGGATCTTGTTTTTTGGCCTTCCAAAATTAGCCCAAGGGCATCCGATATGGTGGATGGGATGATCTCCATTTAAAAAAAACGCTGTTTTTGTACTGAAAAACCATCTTTACAACATGGATCCCCCAAAACCACTGTTTTATCATGCAGACGTCCTGGAACCGTGCCAAGATGAAGCAAACGAAGCTCCGCTGCGAATGGAAGCAGATTGAAAACAGCTAACTGATGGAATCAATTGGTTGTACGAATTGTTTGAATTAGCTCTGACCTATTTCACTATGGCATTTCAAGTTCAACTAGCCAGAGGCCCTGGGGCTTATCACCATGATTATACCCATCAACAAAAATGATTAACCAATAATAACCATTGTTGGCCCTATCAGCCACTGTTAACCATTAACATAACATGGTTGCCCATTAATGCTCAAAAGGCCTAGATAATCATATTGGTTCTAACCCGATATCATAATATCACAATATCATATAGCCAATATTAACCATTATTAACCATTGTTGGTACCCATTCATAACCATCAGATTAACCATTAAGAATGGCTATATGGTCCATGGTATATTATATAATTACATTATTAACCATCAGACATGTTGATATGTTATACTATATTCATAGGCCATTCATATCAATGGTCATTTCAGGAACCTAAATTGGAGGTACCTACCACAAAAAAATCAGGGAATATAGCCCCAAAAGGCCAGAAATATGGTACTAACGTACCTCCATTTTAGGATCCTGAAATTCCCATTGAAAAGTGGATGGTGTAACATTAAGAATGATGATTTTGTGGTAAACCCAACAATATACCAGATATACAATGATCATAACCCATGGTTTTTTTAACCCCAAGCTATCTGCAGCCACCCCCAAAAACCCCCAAGAACGACGCCTTAGAGGCTCCCTCTTCGCTGGTCAACATCTGTGTCGCCTCTTCAGCGCGATCCACGTCCACCTGGAACCACAAACCGGTGAAAAATGCATGGAAATCGAATGATGGGGAAAAACCATGGTTAATGAATGTTAATAATACTTAGTAATACTTAATAATACATAATAATAACAATAATAAGAGGGGACAAGCATGATGAATACTTAATGCTGTGTATTGATGGATTGACCCGGTCATTGGGAAGTCATCTGTCATGGGATTTTCATGGGAAAATCATCGAAGTAAATGGGAAATCCCTGAAGCGTTTATAGGAAATCCTTGGAAAATCATCGAACTGCAACTAACTGGGGATATGTCATGGGATAATATAAGATACCACTAACCAATAATCAAACATGGGTTGCTGGAAAGCCCTTGAACTGTATTTTTATACCTGGGGAAATCATCTATAAATGGTGGTTTTCCATTGCCATGTTTGTTGTTAGAATAAACATGTTCTTTGGCCACACAGAGGTGTAAAATGTAAAACGAACTGTAAATATTCGTCAAAAAAAGTATTGGGTAACATTGTATCCCTGTGTGTGTGTCACTACATGCATTGTAATGTATATATATTATAATCATTGTACAATATTATACAATTAGACCCTCCAAAGTATCGTCCTGTTCATTGTCAGCCCAGAGATATTCCATATATGGCAGAATTGAATACTTAATCTCTACCAACCGAAAATGTTCGGGGAAGGTTCCCCCCTACTCAACCCTTGATTTACAATGAGGTTGCAGCAAGGTCGTTATGTCACTATAATTATCCCTGGGAGATGTACATATAGACAAATAGATGGATATATAGCCAGAGTTGGAGGAAGCAGCCAAAAAAAAGAGGTACGTTTTCAACGCAGCCAAAAAAAAAAGAGGTACGTTTTCAACATGTCCTGGCGGGCATCAGGCTCGACTGTGACCACAACTTCAACCATCTCTCCATCTATAGCTCAGAAATGCTCAGAAAATCCCCAAAAAAAAATTAGCCGCAGTTCATTTTTCACCTTCTGATTTCGTGAAATCAGAGAAAGTTGCTTCTGTCGGTGACCAACCCCCCCCAAAAAAAAAGGTGGCCAAAAACCATTTGACCAGGCCTCGGCTGGCGACAGCTTTTCGAGCACCTCCTGCATCATCTTTTGAGCAGCGGTGCGCTGCACAAACTCCTGCGACGTGACGATGGTTACACACCGAAAATGGGGATGGGTTGAATCCCAGAAAAATGGTGATGTTGGGGATGGTTTATCATTGGGTTTACTACACTAATGGGAAAATGCTGCGAAAATGGGGATTGAATAAGATCTACCTGGGAAGGAAACCACCCGCCCCCCACACAAATCGGATGTGAAACAATAGAGTTAGGGGGATGTTCAGCAAGAGACAATGAGGATTTCAGTAACAACGATAAACAGAAAAATGAGAGGCAAAATGTGCTAGCCCTTTGGGAGTTGGCTATCATTTTCATTTTGGGTGATGAAAGCCCGATTCCTGTTGATTCACATCTCCAAATCTATTGTGTCCATTCATAATCAAATTGAGATCCTATGTCATCAGCAGAAATAAGAATTGCACCAACAGATTTGAGGGTTGCATACACCTTAAAATTGTTGGTTTACTTATTTCTAAATTGTGTGGGATGTAAAGCCAGGATTTGCGGAGGAGTCAACGCCTATGGAACATGAGAATCAGTTTTGTTTTATGCACAATCCCTGCGTTACAAGCGTAAACCACACGGATGTACAACACAAGGCTTATGTGTCCTTTTCCAAAGAAAAGTTATGATGTTAAATCATGCAAAATAGGCAAGTACAAGGACCATAATCCGCTCTATTGGGGGTACCCTATTTTAAAAAAAATGGCGCACCCCAACAAGACCCCCAGCAACGCCTGTCGCACATTCTTCAAGGGGCTCAGCTTCCCCTGGGCCTTACCAACAGACATAATGTCATGAGGATAGTTGGGTTGTTGAATTCATCAAGAATCCGAATCAATCTATATATCCAAACAGTAATAATAAGAGTCAAAATGTCGTAATGGTAGCTGGTAGTTGTTGTGATTGATTTTTTTACATATAATTAATCCAAATACTAATACTAATAGTCATGAGTCATGACCATCATTCTAGCAAATGACTGTATTAGCAACAGTAGTCCTAGTGAAACTACCGCGTTGTGTCCCATGCGGCTCTTGCAGTTTAGACCGCTGCTTTTGAAGATTGCAAAGTCTTCAACGGAAGTTCTGAGTCTCAAAATGTCCCTCTTCCTTCTATCAGAAACTAGAAAACGTCAATCTCACAAGCTCAAGACTCAAGACTATCAAAATAGGTCACTCATCACTTCACCACATGTTCATGTCGAATTCCCCGCTTCAACGAGTTTGTTTCATGGCTGTTGGTTTCTGAAGATCTGCCTCCTGAAGTTGCTGCTGCAGTTGGCCCAGCTCTTGAATTGCCTGGCCGCATGGCGGTCGTCCCACGTGGGGATATGGGTCACACTTGGGTCCCCCAAGTTGAAATAGATGCTGAATCAAAAGGGAAAAAGGGATCAAAAAAAAAGTGATCAGGGCGCCTTAGCTTTCACCTTCTCGCTCTCGTAGCGCCTCAGTTTTGGGATGGCTTTGTGGAGGGCAGCTAGCGAGCATAGATATCTTGATTGGCAAACCAGTTGCGGCCTGCCTGCATACAAGTTTGCAAGCTATATCTACAATCATGACCTACATAGCTACATTGTCAATTCTCTCCCCGTCATCGTGCTTGTGCCCACACTTTGACACCAGAATAGGACAAAGATGGTCTCACCAGGATTTGAGCAAACCTTCAGAGTCGTACATGCAACTTGGATGGGTTTCTCATACAAGATTTGCTTGTTGCTGGCGTCAACCCATCCCAAATAAATCGATTGAGCTTACCCTCCAAGTGCGTATGGAAAATCGAAACTTCTAGAAAAACGCTAAGTTCAAACATACTACCAACAGTCTACCAATCTACCAACCAGTTCCACTTCTTTCTTGATCCCAAGGAGACAGGCCCGTCCCTCTGCCTTGGTTCTTTTTGGCAATCCTTCTAAGGCTGTACAGAATGCTTTGATCAGAAGGAACCAAGCTTCATGTTGCCATGAAATGGCTAAGACTGCTAAGACTGTACAAGCGGTCAAAATCAAGCCTACTCATCATTCATCGTTTAAACATGTTTAAACCATTGCGATTTGCCAGTCGTTCAAGCATTTCAAGCTATCACAGACTCATCTTGGATGGTGCGAAATGTCAGAGATGTCCTCCGGCCTCGCGGAAGGTGTTTGCCACGATACAACAGATTGGGTGCCGAGGTGATACTGTGCTGCCACAGCCATCGTGCTTCACCCTGCATCACCAATACGGACCTGGGTTCCAACAACAGCGCCCTGACCTCGTGGGTGCGGATGCATTTGAAATCCATCACCACAGGTTCCAGCAGGGAGATTCCCAACACCAGCTCACCAAAGAATTCACGATCGCGATGTGGTTTGATGCCTGTGAGTGTATGGGATTCAAAATCCAATCCCATCAGCAATTGAGACCCAGAACTGTTTGTCGTTTTAAAGTTTAAAGAGAGCAACATGAAATACTGAGTTGATAAACCATCCAACTTTCTCCAACTTTCGGCTCTACCATTTTCCCCATATTTTCGTCAAACAAGCACCTTGTCCTCCCACATAATCGTTGACGATGCACTGCTGAAACTCCATTGCCGGCATGTGGCCTTGCTTCTCCAAGCGCGTCAGCGGCGTCAAGGCGGCCTGCGGCATCCTGTCCCTTGGCGAAGGAAGCCGCAGTAAGGCCTTGGAATGGCGGTTTCGCCAATGGAAGCCATAGCCAAACTGCTGGGTGCGCCTGGATTTATTCTCACCATCCCAGGGCTTGTTGTCGACCTCCGCCAGCAGTGCTTGCTCCTCATCCACAGTGAGGAAGTCTTTCAGATAGGTCAATCCCGGAATCAGTTCCGTCTGTTCAGCGCTCAAAGTATACTTTGCTGTCACGTATCCAAAGGATGTGGCAGTCAGGGATGCATCCATTTTCAGGGCTTGGGCCTGGGTGATGCCAAAAGGAATCACATTGGAAGCTGCAGCCGCTTCCAAAGTATCTGCCTTGGCGACCCTGGCACCATGAAACTTACTTTTGGAAGACCAAAACAGGTGGCAGGGAAGGCACCACGCACTGATATCCGCACAGGATTTCATGGCTGTTGATGTCTCAGGGTGCACACTACCGGTCACGTCCAAGAAAATAGTAGCTCACAAGGGACCCGAAAAATCTGGGAGTCAAGAGGAAAAAACCATGTTTGCCACACCAGTCATGCTGTGTCTTGGTCCTACTGTACCATGCAAGGGGCCGTCGCTCAATCGCACATGCCCACAGTGGCTGCCCTTCTTGAGCATCTTACAACGGTAGGAGGGGACACAAATGAAAAGCAAAGCTGATTTTCGGACATTCATATAGAATGTGTATTTTTTGGGACTTGACATACCCATGTCAGTGAATGGGATGGATCATCTCCCACAAACCAGGACCTGGACGCCAAGAAATATGAGCCCCTGCAAAGGCTAGCAGACCAGCGCTGTCCCCAGGTTGAATGTTTCCAAAGGGATAAGCTGAACAAGCAAAAATGTTTGATGCATGTTTAGATTGTCTCAAAACCCAGCTGCAAAACTCAGCTCTCAGGGTCTGATTGAAACCACTGGGTCTCCAGCCTCGCAGCAGCTTGCTTGGCGTTTAGAAAAATTCGGGCTTCGCCCATAGCCTTCTGCGCTTCTTGCACTGCCTGCTCAGTAGCCCCCACTGCCTGAGCGCACGACTTCTAGCATGTTCTGGCGTGCTGTTCATGGAAATATGTGGAAAATTATGGAAATGTGGCAAACTAGGCTTTTGCCATGTGGATATATTGAGAATTGCTGAGAACGTTGAAGTCAAGCCTGAAAATGTCCGTCCAAGACAAAACTTGCCAGGCGGAGTTGTTGAACTGGTTTGCTCGCTTGATTACTCTTGAGATATCTCCTTCTTTTGCTGCGTGACTCTAAAGAAAAGAGCCGATGATGAGAGGTTCGTAGCAGTAGACCTCTTTGTCAGAGCCTCAAAATCAAACTTGAAGGAGTACATACCGAAGCTACAAGTCCGATCCTGGATGTACCCTCTGGTAATTTAACATAGCTATGGAAAATCACCATTTTTAATGGGAAAATAAATCCACTATTTCAATGGCCATTTTCAATAGCTACGTTAGTCATTACCAGAGGCTACTCCTATGATTTGCCTCAGTAAGAGGGGAAAAACCCACAGCATGACACCATCCCCTCCCATCCGCCTGTCGAACTTCATCCAGATCATCACCCCCTGCTGCGATCATCTCAGAGGTAATGACAGCCTTCTCTACCGCATCCTGCGGTTGGATGAGGGGCCGCAGTCGGCCACAGTCAGAGATTTTGTGGTTTGGGGCAGGCCAACCATCCATTGGGGGAGTTCAACCAGCTGGAGTTTCGGTGTTCTTCAAGAAACGAGCATGGGGATTGCAATTCTTGTAGACACATGAAGAAATAGCTGCGGGTTCCTGTTGCTGCTTATTAATTGCTCGTAGATAGCTGTTTTATTGCCGACCTGAGGCTAATTCATCACTGCTTCCTGATTGGTGCTTGCAACACTTACTCCAATCATCAAAGTGTTGCCACGCCTCCGCTGCATTTGCCTTGCTCACGGCTTCTGGCAAGATCTGCGCGGAACAAGGCATCAGGATAGGGTCCCAAATGTGGATGGTGAATTACCACCAAATTCCCAGAATGCCACAGAACTCAAGCCTCCTGGAACACAGTCATGTCGCGCTCTTCCAGCGCTTTCTGTTTCTCGGACTGCTCGGCCTACACAGCGAAGTGGTGTCTGACTTACCACCTGGGTATCCTGGGTATGGGTCAGATCTAGGGTAGGTACTTTTCTGGACCCAGAAATTGGATCATGTCTAGTATGAAGCTATCCCTTTCAAGGTCCAATCCAACCATTTTGACCCGTACCAGTGCCATGGTCAAAACGACCAAATTCATGGAATGTGGCCATCTCAGGACCATTTTCATGGGATGTACCCATGATTTTTTAAACCTCTAATTGATGCGCTTTCAACCGGCCCTTCCAGGTCCTGGCACCCCTGGCACCTTCTGCTTGGAGCTTCTGACCTTCCCAAGCTCCACATTGATGGCACTCATGAGCGCCTGTCACAGGAGATGGGATCCTGGCTTCATATTATGTATATAACACGTAAAGGTATTTGTAACATGTTATTTATTTTTTGATCTATGTATGTATTTATGTGTTTTTATTCACGTGTTTTTATTTATGTACTTTTGATGTATTTCTCTATGTATTTATTCATCTATTTATTTATGCGTGTGTGTGTGTATGTATAAGGATATATGTTGTACTATCGTAATATGTAGTTGATTGTAGATGTACATTCAAGCGAAGCCGTCGTAGACCCAAAGAAAAGAAAACTCTGCCGAAAACAGAAAAGAAAGTGCCACTAAAGGCCATCCTGGGCTTTCACCCTGGCAGCGGGCGCCCGCCTGCAAACCAGACCTTGGGTTTTGAAGGCAACTGCCACGGCACACAAACTGCCCCACAGCAAAGGATATTCAAAATCGACCAGAAATTGATAACAAGAATTAATTTGAAATCATATACAGTATCCGAACATTACCTAGGATCTAAGATCTGACGCAACGGTTGACAGATTTTGTCTGAGACCCCAGCCGCATCTGCTGCACTTGCCGCAGTGTTTCTTGGTTGCTGCCCGCACGCCTCAAGGATAGTGACCAGGCAGGCAATGATTAACCATCCAATCTTGGGGGGATTCCCCTGAAGCTCCAGGTATGGGTCTGAGGACCCTGGTACCTTTCTGTTCCCCGAACAACCGTTGGCAATGGATGTTCATCCCAAAAAAATATGGCAAATCATAGCTGCACTTTTGATCCATCCCGATATCACATGAAGCTGGTTATCCCGGTCTTTTTAATACAGCCATCAAAAACCCTATGTTTGGTTGGCTAAACCCCATTGATCCCCAAGAATTCCACTTTTGCATGCGGGTTTGTCTGAAAATAGGGTACCCCGGGTACCCCCTAATTTATTGGTGTATCACAATGTGACCCATTAAAGTTACTAGTGTATTTTCTATACCCAATTTTCAGACCAACCCAAATCATCTTGGTTATACTACATTGATATTGCCATGATATTCGCATGGTATCCCCATTATTAAAGTTGGTTTATAACCTTGATTGAAGCTTTATATCAAGAATTTCACCCATCTCCCCATCTGGTGACCATCGCCAGAATAAGTGCTGCACTGCGCATCTGTCAGCTGTTTCATGGCCTGGTCGGGCAATGGGGCGAAGATCACCAGGTGGCGAAGTTGGGAATATGGCGACATGATGTGTGTATATATATATATACACATTAGTGTTCTGTTTTATACCATTTTATTCAATGTTACTTTATTTTATGAATTATTGTTCTTTTATATATTATATTAAATAATACTTTATTTTATTACATTGTATTGTATGATATTATATTATAGTCCATTATATTGTGATGTATTGTATTGTATTGTATTATATTGTCTGATATTATATTATATCATGTTATCTTATATTATATTGTGTATATATATATTCTATTATATCGTATTATATTATATTGTATTATGTTTATATTATTGTTATAGTTTATGATACTTTATATCATACTGTATAAGATTAAAATTTAACATATTATAGTGTAGTGTATTGTATTATATATATATATCATATTATATACATCATACTGTACTATAGATATTTCATATTCTGTATAATAAAAATACGATCAACTCCCACCGTTTGCCCCGCGTCTGGAAGAGTTCGACGGGATCATCATCATCATCATCATCATCATCGTCATGATCAGCAGCAGCAGCAACAACAACATACAATGTAGGACGTGGTGACTCACGCACTCCCAGGTCACCCCACCCCACCCCATGTGAGCGTAGCATCAACATCGTGTGCAAGGTCGAAGGAGCGCGGTTGAAGGAACGTTACCATCGCCACCCCACCCCACCCCATGTAAGTTGTGGGGCAAATGGTGGGCGTTCCGTCTAAAAATACTATAATATATATATATATAATATGATGTATGTATATACTTGTGTGTATCACGAATATCATCTATACCTGTGTAGATATATCTATATATAAATATATATATATACATATATATATATATACATACACTCTCGCTGTATACATACCAATGTAAACTACATATTCCTGTACATATATGTATAGTGTATACTGTGTATATTCAAATATCATCTGTTTATGTAATTATGTGTGTATGTGTGTATTAGGATGAGCATCAGCAAAAGCATCACCATGAACATCGGCATATTTTATTCGTCATCACCATCCCCACTACAATGCCGCCACCACAAGCATCATCCTCATCATCATCATCATCATCATCATGTTGTGACTTGTGGTCCATTGTTACGGATCCTTAAGCGATATATATATACTATAATGCTTCCAGAATTCGACCAACGAGTTGAAGAAGGCCTCTGCCAGTGCTGACAGCTGTGGCTGAAGAAGTGTTTCGGCCTCCTTGAGACCTGAAAGGGTGATGGCCAGGCAAAACTGCCAGAAAGGTTGTAAGATGTTATAAGGGAATGCTCCACACAGTTTTCTCTCGGTCTTGGTGGGTCCAAGCATATGGGATGTGTATCTATTGAATCAGTCTAAGGATATGAGTGCAAGAACCCAGCTTCTCGTTTCGGGTATGAAGATGCGAAAGGCTCCAAGAAGGAGTGAGTGTATTGGACAACCATCAGCAATGAAACAAATATGTTTAATAGCGGTGATGGTAGGACATGAGCGTCTGGACGCCGAAGTACCCCCTCAAAAGCCACCTTCAGAAGAGGTGTAGTCTGCTGCCGCCGCCTTGGCCTCCACAAATTTGTTTGTCATTGAGACCCTGAAGTAGCCCCTGTAGTGTCAACCAAAAAAAATCTGACAACCACTTGGGATCATCCCAGGTAAGAAAGTCAAGCAAAGATGTGGGTCGTCATGTCATCATTGGGCCTACCGGGCCTACCGGAGAATGTGGTAAACCCAATGTCATACACCTTCCCCAAGTCATCACCATTGGATTCAAACCATCCCCAGTCATGGTAGGTTTATGGCAGGGTTCCCAGCGCGCCTGGTCCAGCGCACCTTTGGCGGCCGTCGAGACCGAGTTCACTTCCGTGGTCATGTTCCTGGGCTCCAAAGGAAAACCATAGAGAGTAGAGTCCTATACACCTGGTGGATAAATATATACAATTGTATCATTTGTATATATATATATACAATTATATACACACAATTATCTACATGTATGTGATATGTTCTGCAGTGTCGCAACCCCGCGTTCGAAAACTTCCAGGTTCAAATTGCGCGGCTGCACAGCGCATTAAAATGAGAAGCTTGAGTAAATGGGACAAAGCTTGATGTGTTCCTAGTCCAACCAGGGTAGCCACATGTAGCTACCATATTCCGAACCTTCCCCAGGCACTGCATATGCAACCGACAAGATCCGTCAAGGCACTTGAGTTTCATTTGCGCCTCATTCTTTTGTTGATCGGCCTGGACAAGTGGACAAGTGGACTCTGGCCTTTGACTCTGAATATTGGTCTTAGAATCCTGACAAGGTATGAGTTGCAACTGGGGGGTTCCATAAATGGGGGTACCCCAATAGCTGGATGGTTTATAATTAATGGAGAATCCCCCCAAAAATTGATAATTTAGGGATATATATCCCCATTTCAGGAGTATCCCCAAATGAATAACTCCTGTCATTTTCCCACGTTGAACAGCCCTGGCGACACCCGACCTTGTTGGCCACCGACAAGGTATTCCGGACAGTTCCATCCCAGGGAATCTTCCACCCCGACGGGGGAGGCGTCAAGCTAGCGGATGCGTTGTGAGACCACACCTGACAGCGATGTTCAGATGCAGAATCAATGGGTCTTGTGGCCTAAATCAATGCTGGGACAGAAGTGTCTGAAATGTAAGCTTCTGTGCCATCGGACACCAAGTTCCACCAATGAGCTCAAACCATCCAAACCCTTAATGGTTCAACTGAAGGAAACATGATTCACTGGACTTATTTCATGGTGATTCTGAAGGAAACCCCATGTTTCATGGGAAAAGCCATCATTTCCCGTCCATTCTCCCTGGAGTCGATAGCCGCTCCTGAGTACCACCCAGCTTGTTGCCAAACCACCATCCCTCAAAGGATGGCCTTGGCAGTGCAGGGATGAACCCTGCTAGGTATGGGTCAAACGTATCAACCCTAAATGGATAGCTGGAGATGCTGGAGTGATCCTCAAAATGGCTCAAGTGGGTCCAGTGGTACCTCTCTTGACACATACCCAGTTTGGATTTTTTAGTTGGTCATTCTGGCTTGGCATGCGATTCAAAAGATATGTTTGCGGGCCACGACAAAAATTCCGACAGCGTGTCTCTTCAGATAAAGCACCCATCTCTGCTGTCCCAGTAGTACATAAAAACATCCACTGCTTCGGCTCGTCCATCAGCAACCTGCAAGCAAAGCAGAAACTGCTAAGGATCGGTGGTTTGAGCGTGTCAATCGGGTTGAAGGTATGGCTCTTTTTCGCAAAATACCACAGCCCTTTTTTCAATGAGATGTGAACTAGAATTCTAGAGTTCTTCAAGGTTCTTTAATGTCCCGGCATCCAGCGTCCGTTTGCACCGTGTACCCTTTTCCTGCTTGCTGGTAAGCAAACATCTTCGCAAATGGAGCCAAGTAAACCCTTTGGGGTTGACTTAGACTCTGCCAGGAGGCACAGCTCCAGAAAAAGCTCTCCACAATTTCCGGGATCCGAGATGGAAAACATCAAAATAACCAACTAGGATCATAACTAAGTGGTCGACTTGGGTTTTAGTTCCATGATTTACGAAAATGGGGAAATTTTCGGCGCTGGAATGGAGCAACATGCCAAAGCTGCCGGCTAAAGGACAAAGAATCTTTGGCCTTGCAGGGGCTTAACCCCAGTGCCAAAGTCTAAACTCCGTCTCTCAGGATTCCAAAGGAGATTGGATCCTTTCCTGTACGGCTGCGGAAAAAGTCACAACAGCACGTAGAGTTTCCTAGTTGATCAGAGAAGAGGCGGAAAATGCCAGGAATGTCCCATGAATAGCACTGAGGTTTCTGGACAGGTCGCTAGCAACGGCTTCTCGTCTCCAGGTACAAGTGCGTTGATTTCCCCAGCACAGCGACTACGCTTGCTGAAACATAGAAGTCTTCCCAGCCCATGAAACTTCGGATTAGTTCATACATTTATCCAAATTTATCCAGTTCTCATTCCTCATGGACTGGGGCAAATGCTCTCCAAACTCCCTGGAGGTGTCTCATTTTAGATCCTGGTTCCCCCATCCCCCTGATATAAAAATACCCCCAGGTGGCCCCTCAAGGACTGAGTCCTCCTCAGGCTATCAAGCTGTTGGCCGATGCTCATCCCGCATGAGCAGCGGCATCGTGGTACTTTCGCCTCAGGTCATAGGACGTCACTCAGATGAGGCCAACCTGGACAGAAAATCATGGACCAACCGGTGACCAACCAATTTGATCTTTAGGGGAGCTTTTCTGTCTCAATCTCATCCCCTGGTTAATCATCCGTTTCCACATAATCTCAATTTCTTCAGATAAAACCACAGGGCTCCCGTGTTCGTCCAAGCAGCTGAAGAAGCCACCATTGGGCCCTCGTTTGAAGGAGTGATGTGCCAGATGCTTCAGGGGTTTGGTCAGCCACTGCTTCCCCGCGCGCGTGTGAAGAGGAGATGTCTGCAGAGATCGGATTTTGGACATGGCCCAACAAAGGCGGTCGCAACCGCCATTGAACCATTTACAAACCAAAGGAGGTGGTAAACGTCCACCCCAAGAAAAGACGATGTTGGGGGGGACCAAAAAAATATTGAAGAGGACCGCACGAACAAAGTTGCCACTTGCAAGCTGCAACGCAAGCCCCTCAATTAGGACAAAACCCCAGCTGGTTTGATGTTTCTTTCCCTAGATAAATAGGCTGGATAATATCCACTGAAACCGTGCACACATCACAGCTACGATTTATCCTTATCCAAAGCTGGCAAAAAGTACAAAGGATATCATCAGTACCTGTTGCCCTATGGGGTGCCGTTGTCTGGAAGTCTGTTCTGTGAAGGTTTGAATCCTTCCAGGTCCGAATTCTTTTCCATTCTTCTACCTTTTTGTCATTCCGGATTGTCTTTGAGAAATGAAGGAAAGGTTTGGTAGTCACCTCACCATCAGCACTGGCTGTGAAGTTGTTTTCCTCAACCCCTCAGAGGGGGTGGACCTCCAGCTGCAGCTTGCCGGGATCCACCCACACCAGCTTCTGGGAGGCTCCTGTCACCGGCCACAGTACCATGAGGCAATGACTCAGGGATGGCATCTAAGGAGATACGCTGGAAACAGCTCAAACTTGTCTGATGCAGGACTTGATGATGTCAAGAATGCGCCATTGAAAATGAAACTGTCGTAGTAAAAGATTGACCCAGCTTTGCATTCCAAAGGCTAGAGGGTTCCAGGCTTCCATTCAGGTTTCGATCAGATTGCATCCTTAACGCACTAGACCCAGGCCAGAAACCCAACACGCACTGCTGTTGGAAATATTTGTTGAATCGTTTTCACAATGAGCTTTACGTATGCACAACCTTAGATTTCGTTTCGAAGACAGACATACGAAGCCATTCAAGAAAAACTGACTCAAATATTGCTCGTCTGTAAGGCTATTATTCTATTGTTCAATGAGGAAGTCAGCTCCCGGGGAAGTTCCCCTTCTAGCGCAGTGATTTTGCTGCATATGCGTCAGATTACATAGGATTGGTGAGTTACCCCATCATCCCACCATCACAAATTGGGGTTTCCCCAACTGATGGAGAAATTGAATGAATTATATGTATATAATATACATATATATATATACATATATCCTTATTAGTCCCTATCAACTGGGTATATGAATCCCCTGATTTAATTCATTGTTATCCCCAACTGATGGATATCTAAATCAATCCCTACTACCATCTGGTTATTTAACGTAGCTATGGAAAATCACCATTTCAATAGGGCAATCATCATAAATCATCTAACATAACCAAAGGGAAATCCTTGTTTTCATAGGAGGTATGACCATCTCCCGTGGTAACCCGCCACCTTTATACCACCCCCGGAGGGCGCGTAGCTTCCCCTGGGCCTTCTGGAAAGAGTCGTACCAGCAGCTGGCCGTGCGAATCAGGGTCTCTGTCCAGGACTTCCCCAATGGTCCTGCGGAAATGGATCGAAGTGGCGAATGATCAAACAAAGCCAATAGATTTTATATATCAAAAGAATAACTAAAATGGAACTCGCTGCCACTCATATATTACTAATAGTGACGAATGGTTGATGAAATAAAGCCAACTGTTGGACGATTGACTATCAGCCAGCACCAAAAGAGGTCGAAAAATCGCTCCCCCCGAAGATCCAATGGAATGAAGAGCTTCATGAGCCTCAAGACCCTTGTGAAAATTGTCTGGTTCATGACCAATGTTCAACATCTGCCAGGAAAAAAGGACGCAAAAAATGTGTTTACTGCCAACGAATCTAATAATCATCTGACCATAGCAATTCTACAAATGGTATGATAACAGTAATCCTATGACCTATGATATCCCTATGGTAATCCTACATGAATCCACCATTTCCAAGAAAACGTCAACTCCCACAGCCCCGCTGCGGAAGTTCCAAAAAGCGTCCCGTTGAACTCGGCGCGGCTCCGCAGACCGGCCAGGCGCACCGGGGAGCCAGCCATCAGCGGAGAGGAGCTGATCCTAGGCTGCATCTAGATGCCAGCTATACAAGACATATAGAAAATATTATATATATATACATAGGTAATGTGTACTAGAATACTATATGTCTCTAATTATAGGAAATGTACCTAAATATTTTTATCAATAAGAAATGTACCTAAATATAGTAGCATGTATTATAGAATATTATAGTTACATACATGCGGAATCTTTGGTTGAGTCCCCCACTGCACTTGTCTTTCTAGCAGCACATCTTTGTCGGTGGTTTTACTTTCGACAGGCATGGATATACCCCGAACCCCTTGAATGGTATGACAGAAATGCTCCTAGAAACACTGCCAACGTTACTTGACCAAGGTACACCCATGTACATATCTACACCTATTCATGATGTCATGTAAATATATTCATATGTATAGATTGCTATATTATATCACAGCAAAGTGCGTGCAGGAGCACTTGCATACTTTTCATTCATATGGCTTGAGGTGCGCACCTGCGGTTTAGGCGCACAGCTGGATGAAAAATGCCGTCTCTGCAAAATGATCATGGATTCTTCTGCTCTGAATGCCTTGAAACTGACACTGATGAATTTTTCTTTTCATGATCATTTGCGGACAGCTGGATGAATGGCTTGGCAATCCATTCAAAAAAAACTGATCGAAGGGCTTTGGAGCATTTGGTCAATCCGTCAGCCCACTGCACAGTCGTCGGCACCCAGTGAATCGTCTTCGGGTTGATATACTCTTGGATGCTGCGAATGTCCACGTAGGTTCGCTTCTCAGTCGTGCGTGGGTTTTCAGCTGCAACAGCATCATACAAGCTCTTGCAGTCTGTGACTTGCAGCTGATGCAATCGCCAGCCAGTTGGGTCCTTGTGGGCCTTCACGCCGCTAAGAAGTTCACTCAGCATGGCGTTGGCGTAAAAGGTCCTGTCAACGCAGTCGTCGCAGGCGATGGCTTCCGCTGCCAAGGTGGATCGACATACTCTTGCGCTTCGATTGCTTTTCCAATCAACGAGGTTGCCCTTGGTCACCACTTCAGTGCAGTGAGGGGTGGTGATCAAGACAAGTGATCCTTGCTGACTGGCGCATTGGGCTGCGTTTGCCCATGAGCTATCGGCATAGCCCACCAAAGTGGTGGCATTGTTGATAGCCACATCTTGGAACACCAGGCCGTGTTCCGGTGTGAGCTTGCAAAACTCCAAAGTTTCGTAGAGTTGTGCTAGCTCTGCAGGTCCGGTTTCTTTGCCACGGCTTGAGAGTGATACCCAAGCAGCAATGTCGGGCCGGGTCTGACTCGCAAGCCATTGCAGCGATCCGGTCACGGATCTAAACTCGGTCTCCTCAGCTGTGGTGAGAGGTGGACCTTGGGCGATTCTGCCCTTTTGGACTCTGCCCTTCTCGGTGTTGTTGATGAACTTGGTTTGGGTGACATGCAAGTGGAGCTTGTCCTCCTTGGTTTTCTTCAAGGTGAGCTCCTTGCCTTTGAACTCCAGTGGCTGCTCCAGGCTGAGCTGCTTCTGTGATCCCCATGTGAAGAGATCAAGGAGTTCTGACTTGGTGTATGTCTCCCGGCAGGTCAGCAAAAAGTCGTCGACGTAGACGATGCAAACTGAGACCAGTTCGCCTGCTTCAATCTTGTAGAAGAGGAGGTGGTCCAAGCTATGCTGCAAATAGTTGATTGATTTCATTCTGCGGACTACCTCAAGAAACCAGGTTCGCGGGGCATTTGCAAGTCCATATATATTTGATTTGACCTTGTAGAGCTTTGACATGAAAGTCTTGGCCATCAAGGTGATTTGATCCCTAGGTGGCAGCAGGTACAAGGGCTCGGTCCTTTCGTTTTCATCGAAGGCTCCTTGCAAAAACGCTGTGGAAACATCTCCAGCCCAAAGTATCCATTTCACCAGGGAATTCTGCATGAGTTGGTTGGCTCCTGCGATGAAGATGGAAAGCAAGAGATATTCTGAGGTTCTCGATGGAGTTGGGGAGTCTCTTGCGACCTTGTACAAATCAGGGTCGAGGTGTCCCAAAGCCACAACCCGAGTTTTGGCTATCAGCTTGGTTGGGTCACGGCTCTTGTTGCGATAGCATGCCCTGCTGCGAAGCACGCGTCGCTTCTTCTGTGGGTCAGCCAAAATTGCGTTGGCTTCATCGTCAGGAACTGGTTCTATAGAACCCCATTTCTGCCAGCCTGTCTCTTCCTTCTGGTTTGACTTCACATAGTCATTGATTTGGTCTGGTGGAAGTCGAAGTATGGAGCGCCATGGCACTTCTCGCTCCAAGGCTTTGGCTTCCTTTCTGGACTGAAGCCTCTTGAGCGGATCCATTTTCTGATCTTCAGGATCGCTCGACTCGGCATCAGACTCTGACTGTTGGCCGGTCAGATCGGTGAGAAGAACAGCATGTCCTTCTTGTTGCAGGGCTGGCAGTGCGCACTGGGCAAAGTGCGTGCATTCCATGTTGTCTATGGCGATGGTTTCTGGTGATCCATCCCATGACCATGGTGGTGGTTCTATGTGGTTGTGGTTGTGTGCTAACATTGCTTCATGTGGTCGCTTCTGTGGAAGCTGTGGCAATGTTGGTGTTTCTGGCTCCAGTGGTGCTGGTTCATCGGTGAGGTCGATTGTTTCCAGTGGAACCGGTGGTTCTGCTATGTTTGTGGCAGCTTGTTGTGTAGTGTCGGTAATGTTGGGTTGTGACGTGCTTGATGTAGGGTGTTGTGCTGTAGTCTGTGTGATTGCCGGTTGTGAGGATGCTGGTTGCGTCAGTGGCGGTTGTATGCCTGTTGGTTGTTCGTCATCCAGTGGTGATGTCGCTGAAAAAACTGGTGTGTCTGAGTCACTGTTGTGGTATAGTGACGATTCAGGTGGGAAGTATTGTTGTTGTTGTGTTGAGCGTGGCAATGGAGGTGGCTCATATATTTCATCTTGTGGTTGTTGATCGAGTGGAAGTTGTAGTGGTAAATCAGGTTGCCGTTGCTCTGAAAAAGGTTGTTGTTGCACCGGTGAGGTGCCTTGTTCCAATGGTAGTTGATCTTGGAGTTGTGGCAATGAAGAAGGTTCTGCATGTGTAGTCTGCTGTGGCTGTGCTGCAGCTGTTAGTGGATTGCTTGTGTCTGTTGATTTGGCTCTGATCCTTCTGTTTGTTGGTGTGCGAGACCTTGCTGGTCTCGTGAGTCCAAATCGTTGTGGGTGGTAATCAAACGGTGTGACTGGTTGTGCTGTTGGCGATGCCGGGTATGAATGTAGGTGAATGTTGCTTGTGTGTAGTTGTGTCGTATCTTGTCGTTGTTGGTTGATCTGCTGGTGGACGTGTAGCTGTTGTGTTGAATGTCGTGGTGTAGTTTGTGTTCTAACGTTGTGGCTTCTGCTTCGGTGTCGTGGTGTTGCTGGTGCTGAAGTGCTTTGTCGTGACTGCTTTGGCGTCGAAGGTGGTGCAAGTGGGTAGACCACTGCATCATGCCCGGTGGCAGGTTGTTGTTGTTGTTGTTGTTGTTGTTGTTCTTCTTCTTCTTCAGGAACCACATCGATCTCATGCTCCAAGTCATAGTCATATTGGTCTTCATCAGGTGGTGGTGCTGTTGATCGATGGTCCTGCCATATGTCCTGTCGGATGCTGGCTGCTGCATCCTTCAGTGCTTGTTGGTCTTCTCGAGTTGGCTGCCAGTGTTCGAAGCCAAAGGCACCACGGAGTTGTTCGAGAGACACCTGTACTGTTGTTGTGCCAGAATGGAGCCACGCTGAACGTCCATCAGGATCATATGACAAAAACCTTGCCACGATCCAAGCTCCTTTCTTCTTGGTGCCTCTTCCTTTGGGAATTTGCCATCGCCAATAGGCACAGCTTTGGCCAGGAAGGAGGTCTTTCTGGTTGGTGGTGGCTGTTTTGCGCAGGAGTGCTCTGCGAAGTGCTTGGCTGGTGTTGATGTCAGCCAATGCTCTCATTGCTTCTGCTCGTAGTATGTCTGGACGAATTCGTCCTTGTTGCACTGGATGTGTGATGAGCGACATGTCGTCCTGGAGCAAACCGCTTGCAACTCTTGGAATCTGGCCAAAGACAGCCATATATGGAGGTCTACCATGAGTGTAGGTCATGGAGTTGATGGCGTGAACTGCGCCATCCAATGCCTGGTCAAAGTCGTTGACGTCCATGATGGATTCCGCGTCAATGCGCTCCAGGATGTCGCGAAGGACACTATTCCTTCTTTCGACCAAGCCAATCCTCCAATGGGCTTCTGCTGGTATGACTTCAAGAAAGATGCCATGTCGCTCCACGTAGTTGCGGAAGTTGAGGGCAAAGTTGCCACCTGGGTCAACCCGGATGGTTTGTGGAAATCCGTAGGGCTTGAACCAGAGATCTCGGAACAGCTTCAATGTTGTTTCACTGCTGAGATCTGGTAGTCTGGCAGCTTGATGAAGTAGTGTGGACTGATCCACAATTCCAAGAATGGCATGGTTGATTCCGAGGACATCTCTGCAGTAGAAGACGTCGCTCTGTAGTGCATCATTGAATTGTCCAATATTGGCTGTTGGCATGGCTGAAGGTCGTGGCTGCAAAGGTGGTTTGGATCTGCTGCAGCTGGCGCAAACCATGTGTTTGACTGCAGTGATCATGTGCTTGCTGACTGCCCCCTGCCATGCTAGTAGTCGAAAAAGTTCTTTTTCGCTGGGATGTCCAAGGTTGAGGTGCAGCCTTGTGACGGCTGATTTAACTTCCTGTGGAACTTCAGCTGGACATCCAGGAAATGTGATTGTTGATATTTTGGATGTAGAAGTCGTTGGTCTCTGTGTTGGTGGATTGGAACTTGAAGGTTGTGGTTGAGCATCTGTTGATTGTGGTTGTGATGTAGTGGTATCAGGTCGTGGTTCACCATAGCCGTACCAAAAACAGCCATAGGCTACGGCTTTGCTGAAGCACTGCTTTGGAAAATGAAGTCCATCAAGTGCTTCAGCCTCAACCACTATTTGCCCATCTTGATATTCAAGAATGGCTCCAAGGTGGGTGAAGAAGAATTCGCGTGGAAGTCTCCGTTGTATTGGTGTTCGAACAATTTGAACCTTGGTCAATTCCCATGGCACCAGATCTGCAACTTGTTGGTGGATGGGATCATAGTCGGCCAAGGTGAGAGTCTTGCTGGAGGTGGAGTTGAAGACTCTGTGAATGTCGTTGAGCACCTTGGACCAAGCTGCAGGGTCTTGGACTGGTTCTTGATAAAGTACTTCCACGGTCTTCACAAACCTCTGTGGCCATCGTCTGCGAGCTTCAATTCTGAGGGCCTTCAGGATAGCTCGGCAGAGCTTGATGGGATATCGAGCACTCAGCCTCACCTCTTTGCCAATGAGTGGAACGCATTGTTCTTGTTCAGCAGGTGTCATCTTTTTGGATACTGCTGCAGCAATCTCCTCAGGGTTGGTGATCCATTGGTATGTCTTCAGGATTGGGTCACCGTTGCTGTTGCAAGCTCCATAGGCACCTGCGTGGCATTTGATGACGTAGACATCATCGCGTGAGGCCAGCTCTTGAACTTCGGGAAGGTCCCAAATGCGAGACTTCTCTGGGTTTTCGTAGAGAAAGAAGTTGCCATCAGCAATTTGTCTAAGGCAGGACTGCACTCCTTCCCTGACAAGTGGCAACTGGTCTTCTCGTAGGGCTTCGAGTTCATGAAGTCTGCCTTTGCCGGCATAGTTCAAGTTTTCGTTAAAGATATTCCAGTGGGTGCACTCCGTCTCAACTACGACCAGCAGTGGTGAGAACTGCTTCTGAGCTCGTCGCCATGACATCTTATATTTGTCCTTGGTCATGTCGTGGCCGTACATGAGGTCGTAGGGCTCGAGGGCCTTGAGGTCATACTGATGGGCGAGGAAGCTGATGTCGGCATGGCCAGCATAGAGCTCCATGATGTCAATCTTGGGCAAGTTGATAGCTGCAGGAAGCTTGTCATAGGCCTGCAGCTCGGCTTCCAGAACTTGAGAAGACCTCTCAAGTTGTCCGCTCAGCTGGCGAGCTCTTCCCAGTCGTAGTCGGACTGGTCTTGAATCAGCATGTCCAATTCGTCCTGTTCCTCCTCCAGGTCGTCTGATCTGATCGATGCCAAGGCCTTCCATGGGTTCTCTTCGATGGTCTGCGTGGCCGCTTTGCCCTTGGACTTGGCTTGGCTCTTGGGTGCTGCCTTGGCCTTGGAGGTCAAAGCTCGGTACCCTGAGCTCTTCAAAGGCTTTGAGGGTGCCTTCTTGGTCGAAGCCATTGGGTTTGTCCATGAGCTGTCCAACACAGTTGTGGAGGAAGGCGGTGGCAACCGTGAGGAACCAGAGGACTTTATGTGTTGCACCCATCCTTCGTTCTCCTTGTCGTACTTCCACTGGAGATTGCATTCCTGGCACAGCGCGAAGCTGCCGTGGCGATTTCCGCTTCGCTTGATGTAGCGGTGCTGGCATGACGTCTTGGGCCCCTTTGTCTCTGGTGGTGCCGTTGATGCCGTCGTCGATGTCAAGGTCATAGGTATCTTCAGAAACCTTTGGGCTTGTCGCGCCCAATGCATGGCCTTGCCCACCAGGTCTCGCCAGTTGATCATCCATGTCGGAGGTGAGCGAGGGGCGATCTCCATGTGGAACAGCGAATTGCGAGATAAAACTTTCAGCTGATGCGGCGTCAGCTTGAGTTCTTTGAGACGCCAAAGGAGTGAGATTGATGTACTCCTTGTGCATGTGCTGATTTCCTTCTTTCAAACACTCATCTCGAAAAACGTTCCAAAGTTGAAGTGCTTGTGGCATGTTGGTGAAATCTGCAATGTTGATGCCTACATGACCATTCACAATCTGCAAGTTCATGGACGTGTTGAATTTTGTGAGGTGAACGACATGTTTGCCAAGGTCTATGACGGCACCGACATCTGTCAACCATGTTCTACTTGCCAAGCATGGAATATGTGCATCCAATATGCAAGGGGCAATGACAATGCAAACTTCACCAAGTGCAGCTGGGAAAAGAAGTCTATGAGTTGCCTGAAGTGGATGTCCTTTTCCAAACTCAAAAACTTCGTTGGTGTCCCGGATGATGGGAACGACGCTCCATGTTTTCAGCATCTGACCATCCTTTGCCAGCGCATAGCCTTTGGCATGCGGTGTCCAAAATCAAGTAGCCGGAGGCCTTTTTGGCATCTGCTAGTCTAACCTGATTGTTGCATCCAACCATGGTTTTCATGACAAAAATCTGGTGCGCCTCATGCTCCAGCGGCATATCGTCATCGTCGTCAGGGCCGCCATGGTAGTTCATGAAGTGAACGGACTTGTTGGGCTTCTTGCCAGTGTCCTTGTCCCCTTTTCCTTTGGAATGCCCTTTGGCTGAGACTTGGCACTCTGGGTCACCGGCCCAATGTCCTTGGATCCCGCAGGCAGAGCATGTCGTCGTCTTCTTGCGGTCGGCAATGCTTCGCTTGGGCATGTTGCTAGGAGTTCCATATTTTCTGGCCTGCATGACCCCTGCTAGCTTCTTGGCGGTGATGGTGAAGATCTCGGCAATCTCCGGGTCGTTCATGTCGAAGACATCATCGTTGGTGTCCTCATCGCCATAGTGCTGTTGTTCATCCATTTCGCCATCATCGCACTGTTCTTGTTCAGGGCCATCTTCATCATTTGGCTCATCATCGTTTTCGGCTGGCTCAGCCGTTTCCTCCTTGACATTCTCGGTGGCCATGACTTGTCGTCTCGGTCCAGACTTGCCGCTTCCCTTCCCTTTGCCACCACTAGCTGAATTGCCAGGTCGCATCGCAGGTCTCTGTTGTTGTCCAGCTGGTGGAGGAGGTGGTGCACGGTGATCTGGCCATTGAAACATCAAAACGTCCTTGATGGTGTCAAAGTCGAGGCTCTGCATAGATCCGATCAACACTTGGCGTTGATGCTCATGGCTAAGCTTGCTTCGCTCAAGAAGTCGTGCGCCTCTTGCTTCCTTGTCATACATTTTCTCCACATTGATCTCCACAGTGTTCAACGCGCGTTCTGTGCGCTGATATCGATTGATATATGAGCGCATGCCTTCTTGAGGATTTCGATAGATGTGCTCGTAGTCGGCCAGCAACTTCCTTTTGACGTGGACTGAACGGGTCTCCACGGCCTTCTTGACAGCATCAGTAATGAACTTGACTCCATTCTCATTGTAGATGTTGGGGATGTCGGCATCTTCCAATTCCTCTTCCAATTCACCCTTGAGCGAGTTGAAGAGAAGGATGCCTGCCTCATTCTTTGGGACGTAGTTACGCACCTGATGGTGCCATAGTTCAACTCGTTTCATCCACTTCCTGAATGCTCGAAGGTCGCCCTTGTCATAGTGCCAGGACGGTGCAGCTGGAGGCTGTCCACCTCGAAACCTCACACCAGGAACAGGTCCTTTCAAGGAGTTCCAAGATCTTGATGATGAAGAAGAGGGTGACTTAGCTGGTGTGTTGTCCCGTTTGGGTGTGCCTACAACTGGAGTCCTCGGTGGTGTTCCCTGTGCATTGGGCGTACCAGGCAAGTTCAGTGGGATGTTTTCTGGAATAGGCACAGGTGCATCTTCTAACCTGTTACCGCTACGCCTTCTTCTCCTTCTAAGTCCACCTATGGGCTGATCTGGGTCAATGATGGGGTCATCAGTCCTTGACTCAGACTCTGCAAACTCCGAAGGTGCTGAAGAAGATGAAGGCGCTGAAGGAGGACCTGCACGGCGCTGCAAAGAAGGTTGCCATGCACGTTCACTGCCCGATGATGGGTTGTCCATTGGTCCAGGAAGTCCTGAATCATGCTATAGGTCTTGGGGTGAATGATGAAGGTGAAGGTCATTCGGGATAGATCTCTGAAATGCAGTAGTGCTAGGTGGAGCATCCATAGCTATGCCTGAGTGCATCGCAGCGGCTTTGGGGAGATTGGGCTCATGTCCTGAATCATCTGGCACAAAGACCCATCTGCCACCCACGGCCGGCTTGGCCTCGAAGTAGCTAGAGCCACACACAGTGCACCTCCACAAGTTGTCGATCCAGCAGAATTCATCCTGCCAGCAGTCAGCACATCTCCAATTGTCGTCCCTGTCGATGGGATGGTGGATCACGTCATCACCTGCAAAGGAGGAAGCTTCGCCGCCAGAAGAACTCGCTAGGTCGTCGCCATGGGCCAGTCTCGACGTTTCCATTCGAAGGTCACGGATGTTGGGCATGGCTCTAAGGAAGAACGGATGGCAAAAGGCCTATTGGAAGGCTCCGGTGCCAACACAGCAAAGTGCGTGCAGGAGCACTTGCATACTTTTCATACATATGGCTTGAGGTGCGCACCTGCGGTTTAGGCGCACAGCTGGGTGAAAAATGCCGTCTCTGCAAAATGATCATGGATTCTTCTGCTCTGAATGCCTTGAAACTGACATTATATATGTATGTGTATATATATATATATTATGTGTGTGTGTGAGTATCATATCATCTAGATATTCATAGAGCACTGCGATCCCTTCAAAACCCGTCCAGAAGCCTTGGCAGCGCATGCAAGGGCGCTGAGCGCGGCCGCACCAGGCTGTTTAGCCCACGCAGTGCATGGCGCCGCTCCTGCGACGGGCACCAGGCAGTGTAGGGACAGTGACATGATCGATGAGGGAAACCCACCAACAAATGGCAGTGTGTCAAAACCTTGTACCCCTGGTGAACATCAAAATAGCTGGTAAATGGATGTTCATCCCACTAAAAATGGTATGTATAGGTATTGATCCATAGCCAAATCTGAAATACAATGATAATCTGATGAAATGGTGACTTGATAGAGATTTGCAGGCATCCCAATTCCCAATCCTCATGGATTTCTTGAACGCTTAGTTTGGGACCTGGGAAAAAAAATGAGGGGAGGATACGAGGTTCATTCAAGACTTAGAAATGAACAGAACTTCCCAAACCCATTCCCATTCACAGCGGACGGACTAAATCAATATGGTTTTCCAAGAAAGAAGAGTCGTTTGTTCTCTAGGCTTATTCATCGCTGTTGATAAAGCCAGCTTAGGGACCAACTTTGTTCAAACAAATCAATCTCATCTCTCTTTGGTTTCAGGGGGTTGACAAGCTTGACCCATTGCCGGTTTTGATTTGATGTTGTCATTCTGCAAATAAAAGCGCCCATTTTCACATACCCTCCCCAAGTCCCTGTTCCCATTCCCCTGATGAAATTCACCTCGGGCCGCTCCCCGTACCTCCTCGCTCATCACCCTGTTTGCATCGCGGAAGAGTTTGAGCTCCTGGCCAATGGAAGAAGCATCTCCAGAATTCGTTGAAGGAAATCTTTGCAGGAAAAAGGGACAATGTGGACAAAAACCTCATGATTTTCCGCTTTCCTGTAGTTTTTCCCTGAGACCAATGTAATGAAAATGCAATGTGTCTACCTTTCTAGCTCCAGCTTGCATCGCACGCTGAGGAAAGCTGCAACTCAGTCTTGGATGGGTTCAGAATGGATTAGGTGACCTTGCTTTCTCCAGAATCCTTCATCAATTATGCTCACCTTCGCTCCAATCTGTACTCGGTTCAAAAATCAGGGACCCAACAATTGGAGCTTCAATTCAAAAAATCTGCCGTTTCTGGTTCGAAAATGGTGCCCTGGTGCACCCATGTGCACCCCAGATCTCCAGGGATCACCGAAACTCCCTGCCTTCAACAGACATTCCTGATAGGCCGCATCACTGCAAGCCATCGGCCCAGTTGGGGTGCAGCGCTAGGTCCGCTAGGTCGATCAACGCAGATACATCTGCTGAACCATTGAAGATGTACCACTGGTTATCCTAGTGAATGGCGGAAACTACAAAAAAAAAAGTCAACAAAATGTTGACTGCAAGTTCGTACTCAAGAGCCATGAGGCAGCATCTTGAATGTTTTGGCTCTCTGACAGCCGATGAGAAAGAATGTGTTTAAACCTTGTGTGTTTCATGAGTAATTGAGCTTGAGCCATCCGCTTTGGCAGTCGGCTGAGAAGTTGCTGACATCAACAGCAGATTCTCCCGTGCCAAGATAGATTCCCAGAGGCTTTCACCCAATCTTGTCGACCATGTTTGCTGGTCAACTCACTATTTTTTGGAGGTCAAAGCCAAAAATCGTATATGTGTATGTATATATATATAATTATATATTTATCTTGATGGATAAGTCCCTTTGATGTGTTCTTGATCTTGATCTGCCAACCACCACCCCTTTAAAGAGCCTTCTTGAAGACCTTTCGGCCGTGGTTGCTGCCGCTTTCTGCATACTCCCCGACCAACGTTCTAATCTCAGTCCCGCAGGCACCATAATGGACCCTACTCAAGGGGGTGCCATGTCTAGCGCTGAACCATTCGATTTCAACTACTTGGGCAGCCATACAAAGACCAACCCTTGAACTTGATAGGTGGGAAACTGGTCATCCCAAAACTTCTCAAAGCATGCACAGAGCACATCCAGCCTCGCTAACATGCCTCAAACCCTGCTTGCTAGCTGCTAAATCCAATAAAAAGAACATGTTCCAAACGAAAAGGTAGCCCACAGCACACAGCTGCTTCACAGCTCTAAGAGCAGATCCACAACTTCTTCGCTGTCTTTTCCACTGGTGGAAACAACCTGGGGGACTCGCGCCAACTGGACAGTGTCCAATAGCCTCTCTCGTCTCCTACTGATGGCAGGGATTCCGATATTGCACCAGGTTTCATCTAGTATTGTCATGTATTGCCCCACATGTTACACTCAACTACCCCAGGGATTTGGGGCCGCGATTGGAGACGCAAGACCTCGATCTCTTCCCATTGAAAAGTCTTGGGACCCCAGCGAAGCTCTCTTTGGCGTTTGCAGGCGGCACCGTGGCAGGGACGTTTGCAGGCGTCACATTCGCAGACTGTCGCTGCGGAGAGCGTCACCGAAAAGTTGGGCATCAGGGCTGTGATCAATATCTGTCTGTTAGAACCACCGCATCTTAGAATCTTTGATAGATTGATATATATATATATATAGAGAGATATAGATAGATAGATAGATAGATAGATAGATAGATAGATCTAATTGATATGTACAAACCCCCGTTGATCATTAAATGGAAGCAACAAGAGATGCAGTGTGCGCCCTTCATTTGAAGCAGCAAAGCAGCTCTGCGTGCCTGCTGGCCCCACTTGGTATTTTGCCTTAGATGTTGCGTTCGTCCTGTCCTCAGGACCTCGTCCAAGTACCAGCTATCCGTCTCCGTGTAAATATGCACACATATATCTGCAGATGACAAACAGGCAGAGACAGATGGATGGATAGATGGATGCATGCATGAATGGATCGATGGATAAGGGATGGATGGATGTGTATGTATGTATATATATATATAGATAAAACTTGATAAAACCATCTATATAAATCTATTCATCAATCCGATCCCCCGTCCAATGCCATCCGCTGTTCCCTCTATGCCAAGCAGCTGCTGTTGCCATGAGGCAGTTCCGGCAGGCCTCGCCTGCCAGCTTTGCTGCTGCCTGAAGGCCACATGGCTCTGCATCAATAGCCACATATCAAGAGTGAAAGATGTATAGTGGTACATGACTTTTCGATCTACATGTACATCATATAGACATATTGTATGTGTACTGTATATATATATACATACACACATGTATATATATATATACTTCCCAACACTAGTGACTGTTGGGTTTCAATCATCTCTGCGTCTGGGAGTGCTGCGCATATTTTGTCGCTCCGCGAAGGCCGTTTTTCGGAACCCTCAACCCCGTAACTGAGCTCCCCAAACTGTCTCCACGCCATAGGCACTAAGGGTGGAGCCTCACTGCTGGAACTTTGGAAGGTGCAACTGTTGGTTTGTCAAAAGTGTTCCGAAAATGTGTGTGTGTGTCTGTATGTATGTATGTATGTATGCATGCATGCATGCATGCATGCATGCATGTATGTAATGGTATGGTATGGTATGGTATGGTATGCTATGCTATGCTATGCTATGGTATGCTATGCTATGCTATGGTATTGCATTGCATTGCATTGTAATGTTATATGTAATGTAATGTAATGTAATGTAATGTATGTATGTACGTATGTACGTATGTACGTATGTACGTATGTACGTATGTACGTATGTATGTATGCAGGCATGCATGCATGTATGGATGGATGGATGGATAGATAGATAGGTAGATAGATAGATCCGTCGCTAGGACAAACTTGGCTTAGAAGACACGTCCTATGCGTGCACTGCAAGAAGCACTTCTGTCATCCGGGAGCACCACAGACATCTGAGCACGATTTGTTTTATCAAATTTCTGTGGACCAAGTTGTAATGGGGATCTTCCACAAAGATCTTCCAATTGTAATACCCCAAAAACCATAATATCCATGATCCATCCTCAACTGGCATCCAAAAACGAGGCTTAACCGGCGGCCTTGGGTTTACCACATGACCATCCCAATCCAAACTTAGTGTCTGGCCCTATAGCAAAACGGGCTTCCACCTCAGCTTCAAGCTGTTTCCATCAGATCGTTCCAGCAACGATCACCTGGGATCTCCGACTCCCCTCAGATGCGAAAGCAGGTGCAACCAGGAAAATCAGCGCCCGGAAATAAATGAGCTAACTAAGTCTGGAGCCAAAAGAGAGAGCAAATGCTCGAAAATCGACTCGACGAAACGCCATCGGACTCACTGGACATCACTGAGATTTTCGATGTGAAGATGGTGCCCACCTCCCGAACTCATTGGTTAGCAACTGCATGGAACTGCGCTTTATTTCTGCAATTGATTATGCCATTCTCAAGAAATACATAACATAACATCACATGTCATATATATATATATATGTATATATATATATTACATATATATATATCACATATATCTACATATATATATATCACATATATACATATTATATATACATATATATATATATCACATATATACGTACATATATATATATAATATTATATATGCATATATATATATACATATGTGTGCGCATATATGAGCTTCAAGAGAAGCAATGGGTTCCCTTTTGAACAACCTGTGTACAAAGCATCCCAGTGCAACCCACTTACCAACTAACTTGGTGCAAGAACGATCAGGCCGTCAGTTGGTCGCAGCTGGGGGGTTACTTGAGCTGTGGCGCGCTGCCGCTGATACCTGCACCAGCTTGGAGCACAGAGAAGCTCAAGCAAATCCTAGATTGTTTGAAAATTGTTTGAAAGAAAGACGAAAAAAGTTGCCGCAAAAATGTTCACAAAATGATGCAACGAAAACAGGTGGACACAAGCACGGCGTACCTCTGAGGACCCGCCTGACGTGCCACAGACGGAAGCCAGGACAAAACAGAGAGCATTTTGAACCCCAGGTACTGCCTGGCTTGTCCTTACTGGTACTTGACAAAACAGGGAAACTATGAATCAAACTCGACTTTCAAGCGCAAAGCCTTGGTAGTTTCAACCTGTCCCGAAAATCTTTGTCAATTTGCAGCAACAAAAGAAATCTTTGTGGAGATCACGAATCCCTAGGGATTAGTTTCATCAACTTCTCTGGCGGTGCTGATTTAGGACCTCCTTTTCCCAAGCTAAAGGTCGCCTTTGAGATTTACAGGCGTCTGTCTCATATACCCCATTCCGTCCAGCGGGTAATCACAAAAAACAAATTTGGGGCTTGAATCCCTCACTTTCAGACTCATGGTATGGATTTCTGAGGAGCACCAAATCCTGGTTTGATCCCATGCAGCAATGCAACGCACCTGGGACGTCAAGGGTGTCACAGGCCGCAAGGTGGATATGGCCAGCATCTTCAACAGGGTGAATGATAGGCCCCGTAGCCAGATGTTTGGAGGGGATTTGGACCAGCAAAACTGGACCTTTTTGAGCCACAAAATGGGGATACAAACCTAAGTTTGGGTGCAAATTCGTTTGCAACTAGACATTTTCCTGAGAGTTCCTTGGGGATTGCTGCGGATCGGAGTTGATGGGGCTTGCTGTATGACTGCTGGAAGTAACAGGGCCAAACATTGTGTGACTGCTCGATCTGGAGAGTGTTGAATGAGCCACTTGTGCTGCACGGTGTCGATATTTCTGTGTCCTTGCCCAGCACCCATAGACCATGCCACTATACGCAAAGTTGTTACCTGGATGGGGTCAGAACTCTGATCGGTTCACATCCAGCATTGCTCAATCTTCTGGAAACCCTCAGCCCTTTTTTACACCATTTGACTGAGACTTCCATGGTCCACTTAATTTGTGCATGTCACCTTTCGCTTTTCACTCTCATTACCTTGCAAAAAACAAGAAGGCTGCACTGGGACAAATAAACACTGAAATATTTGAGATACTTGCAAGATTTCGCGAGACTTTATTTTACATACTGTAATATATATATATATACATATATATATATACATACATACATATATAATATATATATATATATCCGTTAAATCTCTATTTCTTGTTGCTTCTCTCTCCAGTTTGGGGTCAATTTGCTGCAGCCTTCTTGCACAAATCTATATATCCAGCTCTCAGAAAAGCTGGACCTGCGAGTCAACCTGGGCGGGACACTTTGCGACTCGACATCACCCGACTCGCTTCGATTGTCTCCCTCCGGCCCTTCCCAAGAGTGATGGCTGGGGTGATGTTTCCAGCTGGTTTCATAAGGATCATTACAAACCAACCGTAAAATCCTGTCAACATATGTTCCAAAGCCCCCAACCTCTGTAGTTGCTCCAAGTTTTCCCCCCACCCTAGGAGACGGGAAGGTGGTGATGGCTTCATTTCCGTGGGCGTCCAACCAGCTCTGTGTTCATTGGTAGATAGAGATTCCCTGTTCATGTCCTATACTATACTAATCTCCAAAACCAAAAAGTGTCATCCCCAGGCTTCATCAGCCTCCACTAAAGTCAGCACCTGAAAATGGATTGGTCGTAGTTGACGGTCACAAAATCGGAGGTAAAGCCCTCACTTCTCCTTTATGCCTCGCAAAGATGATGGAAGCATCACCCTGAGGCTGCTGCACACCTAAATTTATCACCCAAGGCCATGCCATATCCTGTTCTCCAGGAGTAAAACAATCTTTGGATATCTTTGGAACATCGAGGTTCCCTGTGAACTTCGGTGAAATTGAGGGATGTGAATCAACCCCTGTGCCATCCTTACTATGAGGTGCTGGAGCCGCCAAAAAAGGCTTGCCACTGCTTGCAAAAGTGTCTCCAAAACATCCATCAATGGGATGGGACAGAAAAAATATGACAAAATGCAAAAAAAAACATGCGTGTTGATACATTTTGGATGGCATGTGTATCCAAGTTCCAAGTAGTTTTGTTGCAACATGTTGCAACGAACTTTCGTAAGAACCCCGGGTCCAAGCAACACCCTGCGGACTGTCCTTCCGGGCTAGGAGGTTCAAGGACATGGAAATTTCAAGTGCCTGCAGCGGTGCGGGTGGGAGTTCCAGGTGATCCTGACAAGCTCGTAGTGTTGTATACGGTGTACACACAGGCAGATAGAAAGATGGAAAGATGGATGGCTGGATGGCTGGAGGGCGGATGGCTAGACAAACAGATGGATTGATAGATCGATCGATCGATTGATAAATAGATAGATTGATGGATCGATTGATAAATAGATAGACAGATTGATAGATTAACCACTCAAATGAATCATCCCTACAAGCAAAAGAGGTGGGTTCTGGCCGTCGCAGGTGCGCAGCTGTAGTCATCGCGATTTGAACACAACACTTCCAACACGCGTTTCAATCATGATGCTTAAGTGACAAATAAAATTCTCCAAACTGGCACGTCTGCCAAACCCTTGCCAAACCCTTCATCACTACATCAGACCAGCAGAAACTCGCATCAACTCGAGTCACACCTCCATCAGCGCATGGCTGCCGCAAACTCTTCGCGGGACAAGGTTCCATCACCATTGGTGTCCAACTGCCAGATCACAAACACTCAAGGTATCAGGGATTATCAGGTTACAATTTACAATACAATACAATCTAGGCCAATGTTCAGACAGATTTCGGGAAGTCCATCTGATATACTCAGCTGTTCACCACACAAACTCTCCGTCGTTGCTTTTCACTGACCCTGGCCATCCCTTTTCGCTTCCATGAATCCCGCCTGTGCGAATGCATCCACCTGAGGCATCCAGCAAAAGGCTACAAGACTTGGAGGAAAAATGTCGACAACTGAAGCGCACTGAAGCTGCCTTTTTGATTTTATTTGGATGTGTTACTTCCTAAAAATAGAGGGGACCCTCAAGGCCATCAGCTTCCATCCCACATACATGATGAAATTGTTGGTTTCATGGTTTTAGATTTTGGGACATCCTCTCTTGATGCATGCTGCATGCTTGTTTAACCACAAGACATCAAGTGCAGCCCAGCCACTGTTGTTCCGGGGGTCACATACTGCACTGGGGCAGAGTACATCATGGGCGCCGTGGTGTACTGCACTGGTGCGGAATAGGTCATTGGGGCCGCAGCATAAGTCATAGGAGCCGCGGCATAGTCGGGAGCAGTAGTGTAGATGGGGTCAGCAGGAACATACTGAAGTGGAGCAGAGTATTGCATTGGTGCTGACGCATATGTCATGTACTCTGGAGGGGCATACATCATTGGCTGGGACATCACTGGCTGTGCTGCCGCAGCAGAGCCCCCTGTGGTGGTGATTGGTGCAGCATCAATGTACTGTGGCGCTGCAGTGTAGGTCATAGGAGCAGCCCCAGCAGGAGCGGCGTAGATCATAGGCTGTTCCACAGCTGGCGCTGGCTCGGCTCCCCCCACAGGAGCAGCATAAATCATTGGCTGCGGTGCTGGCTCAGGCACTGCTGCAGGTGCAGCGTATGTCATTGGCAGCGGTGCTGGCTCAGGCACTGCTGCAGGTGCAGCGTATGTCATTGGCAGCGGTGCTGGCTCGGGCACTGCTGCAGGGGCGGCATATGTCATTGGCTGTGGCACTGGCTCTGGAGCTGCAGCGGGAGCAGCGTAGATCATGGGCTGGGGTGCTGGCTCAGGAACTGCGGCTGGTGCGGCATATGTCATGGGCTGCGGCACTGGTTCTGGTGCTGCGGCAGGAGCAGCATAGATCATGGGCTGTGGCACTGGTTCTGGGGCTGCAGCAGGAGCCGCATAGATCATGGGCGCCGCATAGCTGGTCATCGGCTGGATCGCAGCTGCTGAGGAGATAGTCTGAGGGATCGCAGCAGAGCTGCTCATCGCAGGCATTGTCGTGGTGGTGACTGCAGGTGCGGTCAGGTACACTGGGTCAGCAGTGTAGGTTGCAGTCACGGGAACAGGCTGCGGGGCCGAAGTGTAAGCAGTCACTGGGGTGCCAGTGGTCACTGAGCTTGTCGCTGCTGGGGCAGCCTCAGTGGTTGCTGCTGGAGCAGTGATGTACACTGGGGGTGCAGTGTACGTCGCAGTGACTGGAGGTGCTCCCTGAGGGGCTGCTGCATAGGTCATTGGCTGGGACACTGAGCTCACTGTCCCTGCTGGGGCAGCTTCGGTGCTGGCCATAGGAGCTGTCACGTAGACAGGTGGCGCAGTGTAAGTTGCGGTCACAGGAGCTGGCTGTGGGGCTGCATATGCTGGTGCCATTTCAGTCGTGGCTGCAGGAGCTGTGATGTACACTGGCGGTGCAGTGTAAGTTGCAGTCACTGGAGCCGGCTGAGGGGCTGCATATGCTGCTGGTGCCATTTCCGTGGTCGCAGCTGGGGCAGTCACATACACTGGTGGTGCAGTGTAAATCATGGGAGAAGAGCCGTAGGTCATGGTCTGCCCGGCATAGGCCATCGGCTGTCCCGTAGTGTAGGTCATTGGCTGCCCCGTGGCGTAGGTGGTCGCGCCCTGTGCCACCTTAGCCCGGAAAATTAAATGAAGTTCTGACTTCAACATGGAAGCTCAGGTATACTGCTTTGGTGCTATTGCATTTCCTTCTCCTTGCCGCTTGCCCCTGAGCCACGGACGGTTCCAGTCATCATTGCGTTGAACTCCTCGTTGTAGTTTGCATGTCAAAACCATGTGCACCCTTTGCCGTTTCTTAATTAGTGTGTCTCTTTAAGTTCAAGCAGTGGGAGACTTCAATCTTTTGTCGAAAAAGACATCTCTCACGAGTAATCAGTAAGAGCGCAAGAGAGAAGGAATGAAGACGAAGACAAGCGACAAAAAATGCCCAAAGGAGGCAACGCAATCTGGCATTGTTTAATCTGCGATGACATCTGCTAGAGTGCTTAATACTTTCAGAAAAGTCATGAAGGTCTGATGAATTCTGAATTTATGGCCTCTCGGCTGATCACACCATCATTGTTGGCATCAATCTGGGCAAAGGCATCCTGCACAAACGGCAGAGAAGAAAGGCTCGAAGGACTGGTGAGAAAATCAAAATCCATCCACCCCAGTGAATCCAAATTCTATCGAGCCCAACATATCCTAGGATGTCCTACGGCGTATATCCACGGTCTATCCCAGGTGATCCAGCTGTACCCCCAATCTATCACTCCCAATTTTGTTCCAACTATCTATGTACATATAACCATTTGTATATCCCAAATATCCTATAGATCCAATCAGGAAATCAGATCAACAGCACCATCAACAGCCACTGTCCGTTGCTGCCATGGCTTGAATCACTGGGCACCGAGTTGCTGCACTCACCAGTCTGGAACTCGAAAACAGCTGCCAGACATGGCCCTGT